CGACAGATGTTTTAAAAATATTTACGAAATGCGATCGAGTGCAGTTATAGAATAAAATCAACATAAACGAAAATGGAGGTGGCCCGTTTTACAAATATCTGACCATTCCCATACCCCGGCATGGTGTTGAACAGAAAACGTTGGTTGACCATGAACTTAGATGGGCATATTCTACAAGTGAGTATGTCATGTAGGTCGGTCAAACGTCAGACGTTTATACGATGTCTGACCACAAGGCGTGGTGAGAATGACTCAAGATATATGCATTACAATCAGGTCGTGCTATTTGCGGCTGGATGCACATGGCATATCACCATGGCTAAAACACCCTAATGTTTGGCACTCGATGTTCGTCTTATGTACATCGTATATAGTACAGGACAGAACAGAAGTTTATTATTAAAGACTTGGGCTATAGCTACTAGCCCCTCATCTTACATTTACAAACTAAAAAACATGTATGAATGGCGGTGGGAGATCAATAAAAATACTTTGATTTTATAAATTTCGCGATGTACATTATCACTGTTTTACTGTTACAGCTACGTAACTGGTGCAATAATATTTATCAATATACATATATTTTTTATAATTCTTCAATTTGGGGCATGTTAATAAAAACTGATATTCATCTTCAATAACCTCAATGTTCACAATATCTAGGATCTCTATCGATATTTATATACCTTCCAGTTTCAATTTTCAACTTATGAGCAGATACTCTGATCATAGTAAAATATTTTCTTTTAAATCTCGGAGTGAGATATCTAAAGATATTTCACAGCCAAATACAGATTTAATGTTATTGTATAATGAGAGTTTTGAGGATTTAGATAAAGTACGAAACCATTTCTGTAGATAAATACCTATGTCTTTGTTTAAAATTTACACATAAAGTAAATTGGTTAACAGTTCATATAATCAGCAAATCCGTGAGATGATCAAACAAATTAATATGGAAACACCAATTTTGAACACTTATTAGACAGTCAAGTAATAATATATATCACGCTAGTAACAAAAGGCAACTTTTACTTTTTATAATCTAAAAACAGTACTTCGTAATTCGTATATATTTAGTAATATACAAAGGATAACGACCTAACTAGAACAACGTGTACTAAAAGAGAAAACATCACCTCGATTATCCTGTATATAATATCTTCATTCTTTTTTTATAAGAAATATTCCTGGACCTATTTGCTACCTTGGTGTTCCTTTTTAGTGTCACACGACACACCACATACAGTCGCCCAATCACTTACACATATGAGCTCATGTGCTAAGCCGTCATGGTTTAGATTTTGACATAATTGCATGAGTTGTTGCGAAATCCATGGCCATCCCCCTCCTCATCATTATCCCCCTCATCATCATCACCCCCCTCCTCATCATCACCCCCCTCCTCATCATCATCCCCCTCCTCATCATCATCCCCCTCCTCATCATCATCATCATCCCCCTCCTCATCATCATCCCCCTCCTCATCATCATCATCCTCATCATCCTCCTCCTCCTCATCATCATCCTCATCCCCCTCCTCATCATCATCCCCCTCCTCATCATCATCATCCTCATCATCCTCCTCCTCATCATCATCATCATCATCCCCCTCCTCATCATCATCCCCCTCCTCATCATCATCATCCTCATCATCATCATCCCCCTCCTCATCATCATCATCCTCATCATCATCACCCCCCTCCTCATCATCATCCCCCTCCTCATCATCATCCCCCTCCTCATCATCATCCCCCTCCTCATCATCACCCCCCTCCTCATCATCACCCCCCTCCTCATCATCACCCCCCTCCTCCTCATCATCCCCCTCCTCATCATCATCATCCCCCTCCTCATCATCACCCCCCTCCTCATCATCACCCCCCTCCTCATCATCATCCCCCTCCTCATCATCCTCCTCCTCCTCATCATCATCATCATCCCCCTCCTCATCATCATCCCCCTCCTCATCATCCTCCTCCTCCTCATCATCATCATCACCCCCCTCCTCATCATCACCCCCCTCCTCATCATCCTCCTCCTCCTCATCATCATCATCATCCCCCTCCTCATCATCATCCCCCTCCTCATCATCATCATCCTCATCATCATCACCCCCCTCCTCATCATCATCCCCCTCCTCATCATCATCCCCCTCCTCATCATCACCCCCCTCCTCATCATCACCCCCCTCCTCATCATCACCCCCCTCCTCCTCATCATCCCCCTCCTCATCATCATCATCCCCCTCCTCATCATCACCCCCCTCCTCATCATCACCCCCCTCCTCATCATCATCCCCCTCCTCATCATCATCCTCATCATCATCATCATCCCCCTCCTCCTCATCATCCCCCTCCTCATCATCATCCCCCCCTCCACATCCTCCTCCTCATCATCATCATACCCCTCCTCATCATCATCCCCCTCCTCATCATCATCCCCCCTCCTCATCATCCTCCTCATCATCATCATACCCCTCCTCATCAGCATCCCCCTACTCCCCATCCTCCTCCTCCTCATCATCATCATCATTATTATTATCATCATCATCATCATCATCTCTGTCCTTCTCTCCCTCCTCCTCGTCGTCATCATCATAATCATCAGCAGCATCAGCATCGTAGTAATAATAATCATCATCATCATCACAAACTACCTGTCAGTTCCATTAGTGGTGTATGTCTTAATGGCTCGAAGGCAGAAGCTGCTTCCCTCTAAGCGTGACATGGTGTGACATTAAGGACATTGTAACGAATTAAAACACGCATGGTGTAAAACATTACTGTCACAATCTCGCCACATAATATAAAATATCAAATTCAATCACACCTGTCGCCCTAGCTTAAATAGAAGCGTCGCAAGTCGAACAGGTGACGTGACAGTCATACGAATTAATATTGTGTATGCATTCAGAGGTAGCCAACCACGTGTTTTGTCTAATGGAAACAAAGACAGACGCAACATGTTGCAAACGATTCCATAAAAAAATCATCGTAAAAAATACAACGTTGCAACGGTTGATGAGGTCCAGTTATATCGTAGCCCCGCCGTGACTGATGGTCACTGTGGGTCTGACCTTGGAAAATAACATTACCTCGAAACAAGCTTAAACATAGGACTCACTTGAGTATCTTGACCAACGAAACGATGAAGTTCTAACTATTGACATCAATATTTATCATCCCGGGTGACGGAAGTGAATGTTATTTTTCGACGTTGGTATACCCGGGATATACACAATCCTGTTGCGGCCAATCACACTAGAGGTTGATAGCAAGAGCAACGATCCAGGCTTTAGGGTGACTATGGCACAATCAAGAAGGGCTTACAGTGTGACCACTCGATCCCCATTTTACCCAGATTGTGTATATTGGGGACATTTTCTGCACTGATCGGGTATTGGGTAAATCATCTTCCCGAGGCAAGGGCGTTATCTGCCTTGCCTCAGGAAGTTGTGGGTAAATAGTGTCGTGCATGTAGGACATGGGGCCGATATACAGTAAGGTCATGGGAATTGATGAAAACGGTAGTTGTGGGATGATTCCATTTCACCAAGCAATTATGGTTTCTGGATCCCTTTATGATTATGATTATGATGATGATTATTATGATGATGATGATGATGATGATGATGTCTCAAATGTTATATTACCAGTCATGTGTGTACGTATAGTACGTCATCAGCTGGTAAATATACACTAGTGTACATGTGCCTCTTGAAATCGACATGAACATGGCTATGAATATTGATACAGCCCACGCGGTTCGGGCACAGCTGTTCCGAGATAGTCAATATCATTTCACAGATATAGAAATGTATTCTTGCTTATCTTATTTTAGCATGCTGATTGAATAGCTTCTATACATTGTTTCTCTGACAATAACGATTTTTGTACTTCATTCATACTCTCGCATATCTGACCAATTATATCAAAGTTCTGTTGAAATGCAGTATTTACAGTCTAAATAATATAATATAATGAAGTCGGCCAAAGTAAAATATAGTCATCGAATATGATTAAATATGAACAATAGAATGTTATAAAACGCTGTAAAAACGCATCATTTGTTTCTCCACTTATTTGTGTTGTATTCGTCAATAACTGTTTCAGTTAAACTTTTCAAATGTGTTTTAAATATTTGTAAATATTTTCTATCGACAGTGATCAAAGCACAAATTAGAGTTATCTTGTTTTTGTGTCTGGAATCACAGAAGCATCCAAACATGTTGTTTTTTCTATCAAATCGTCAAATAGCTCGGGTTGCGTCTCTTGGGCATGCCAGAAACCTGTGAAAGTGGGTTCGAATCCTGGTTCCCCCGATTATGCTTCTAAGATTGTCAGCACCATACCCGTGCTCGTGGGTTTCACCAAGTGGTAAACGTCATCATGTGACGGCTTTCCTCCCACATCAAGCTGGCACGCCGTCACATAACTGGACTTCGGTTCAAAGCGACGTTAAACCCAACTCACTCACTATTGAATAGTTATAGTGTTCAGCGTATTTTATTAAGCGTGTTTTCCTATTCGAATAAAACAATATGTCTGTAACAGAGTTTGGGGTTTTGCAATGTCGGTGTAAGCCATGCAGTATTACTAATTATTATACCTGATAGGATACTACAAACATCCACAAACTATCATAGATTTAAGCCTGTAAATGTACACACATGTGATTGGCTGAGTGAGGTGCGTTTAGATCCGATTTGGAAATCAAACTTCAGGATATTGTCAAAATATATCACATCTTGGACAATAACTATTTCAATTTTCTGCCACTAAGTGACAACATGTTTCCATCACTGTTGCTATCGATGGGTGTGGCAATATTCAATCTAAAAACAAATTAGTTTCCCGCTGCTAGATTTACATTTGTTAGGAATAATCAATACACGTATTTTTCTTTCCTATTATCCGTTGCAAACACCTGGTGTCATCCTTGTTGCTCGTATTTTGTGAAAGATTCGCTGTTGCCTAATCCAGGGTCCTCTCTTCCAGCTACAAGTCTTGCCATTATTTTGGGATGTTCCGCTGGTGCCTTCCTTCTCATCGTCTTTGCCGTCATCCTGTTCCGGTTGCGCAGGCGCAGGAGAAAATTATACGAATCTTCATTTGATGATGGAGACGACCCTTCTTCATCCCGATCTATGCCAACATCAAGGTATGAACATATTAATAGCATTCAGGGTTTGATGAGGACATATCATTCCATGATATACAAAATGATTTCTTACATGAAAACTGCCGGGCAAAAGAAAGTATACACTTGAAAATTAGATTTGATAAAACAAATTACAAACGTTACCAAAATGTTACAAGGCTGAAAACAGTGGCCGAAACACTGCAACTTAAGGTCCAAAACACAACTATGACACCCGCATCAAATACATCACCATCGCTTAACCATTTCTTTTATGTTTCATGGTTAACCACCACTGTGTATCTTTTCTTACTGTACCACTTACTGTGTACATTTCCTCTACAGGAGCTCATCGCCCAACTTTTCCAAACGTCTGTCATGTCCGGAAGTGGGGGCATCAGGGAAGCCTGTCACCCCCATGATCCGCTCCGTCACGATCGACGGCATCCCCTTCCAGCTGCCCACAGAGAGGGTTCAGCCCGGGGGTAACGGACGCCGAGAAAGAGGGGGAAGCCTGGCCAGCCTCCCTCGCCAGCACAGCATCCTTGGGTCAGTACAACCCGAACTGTACAGGTGAGAGCTTCTTCGTTCGTGAGTGTGTTCGTGACCAAGTGAGTGAGTTTGGTTTAATGTCACTTCCTAATATATCGCCCCTGAGGGCCATCTAAGGAATATTTGAATTTTATATATATTTGAATATAATAACAATTTCGTCTCAAACGAAGCCACTTTACACTCGTGTATACTCCCTACTTATAACATATACAATTTCGGACATATTAAAAAGCTCAGATAAGTCTGTTTTTTCTTCCCAATGAATCTGTAGACACAGTTCAGAAATAGAGAAAACTAGATTGACATGGGAGGGACGCTACTCTTTGACCTTTGGTACACCGTAAACTCTACCATCGCTACCATTTATTCTACCAACAATTCTTTAAAGAGATGATCACTTTGAAGCATGGTTCGTATTGATGTACGTTATTATTAGGACTGCATCCATGATTGTTTCTTCACTATTGCAACTCCCTCTTCAATACGACGGCTTTCAGACCTCAAAGTGGCTCGGAGGATGACGAGGCCTACCTCCCCGCCACCCCCCACGGACGCCTCTGGTTCTCTGTCATCTATGACGCCGCTGTTGAACAACTCCAGGTCACCCTCATCAAGGTCAAGAGCTTGCCAGGTAAACTTAAAATGGTTCCCGACACTCTTTGCGCCTCTCGATATTAAGAGACCAGCTTACATGTAGATCCTACGTAAAATGGGCTACCCTACATGTAATCTCAAGACCTTCCACAACGCTGACAGCTAGTGGCGTCAAGTTTAAATGATATGATAAAATACTATTACATAGAAAAGAAGAGGTCTATGACAATATAGCTGCGTCAATAAGTTCCTAGGACAGGCTCGGTCTGGTGTGTAGACAAGGGGTTCAGGTTTCCAGTGTTTGGAGCCATTGCTGTGTCCTCGCCGTCGCATTGCTGGAATATTGCTAAGCAGCATCTAAAACCACACTCACTGAGTAATAAATGCAGGTGAGCTAACAGCATGTCTTATGTTTAACGTATTCTCACGGACAGTTGATGTTCCAGCCACGGCGCAATCACGTCGACATAGCCACGTGATAGCAGGTTTTGACGCATGCACACAGTTCTCTCTTTGTGTCTGCAGTACATCTGCACACACACACACACACACACACACACACACACACACACACACACACACACACACACACACACACACACACACCATTATGGGGAAACCTCGTTTACCCGGACAAGAGAACTTGTCGATCTTGTTGTATTCTTTAGTTAATATACACAAGAAACATTAATCTCTACTAATGCTTCGTTACTCCGGAGATTCAATTTGAACATGTGTGGATTAATGGGTCTGGGATATAATGGTATAATGTCAAATGGTTGTGAAATATTGTCCCTTCTCAAAAGGTCAGTTGTGACTAAAAGCACACGTGTCAGATACAAACACTGCGTTCTGGAACGATGCCAGACTTTGTATATTTATTGATTCATTTCTCGGCAGAGACGCACGTGTTTAATGTAATCCATAAATCAATAATTAATTAAGTTTAGGTTTGCGAAAGAAATATCAGGTAAAATGCATTTAACGACCTGGTTCATTGTGTACATAGACTTCAGTTCATTTGGTTCAGTTAACATGGCTTATCACATACCAGGGGTAATATGGCCACATGTGATGCGTATGGTCGACATGTAGACACCCTTAATGACAGTGAAACCTTGTTAATCTGGACGCTTTTGTGTCAAAAGAATTCGCCCACATTAACACAGTAATGTGCGTGTAATAATGTCCAGATGATCTCAATAGTACATATCCCGAAGACGGGTTGCCGGACTGGGTCTGGATTAACGAGTTTCGTTGTGTATAAAATATGTAACTAGCTAGGCTATCACCCTTATCTTCCAAAGGCAAGGGAATTAACTGATTCTATTTGGCTGGAATTTATGGGCTCGATCGTAGCGCCACCAGTGGTTATTACGTGTTATGTTCCTTCTATTTCCCGCCTATTGACCAATCAGATTCCACCTGTCATATCCCTTGCATTTGCTTCAAACAAAATGGCGGCGCCCAGTCAAGACGATCTAAACGTTAATCAAGATCTATATTGTGATAAAACGGGTTATAACTTGCGAAGTACATCAAACAACGTATACATAACGAGCACCTTGACTAAGATTTGGAAAATATCTGTCAAAACCAGTTGACGGTACACAGCTTTGTAAATCTTCCAATCGAACGAAATCTTTACGGTTGTCGCCATGTTACTTATGAACCGAATGTCGATTTCGTTACGCGATTTTGATTGGACTATGCATAGACTCATTTGTCCAGCCAAACTAGAACTCCGTGATTCCAAACAAGTTCGACAAGAGTGGAAACTGGACTTTTATAGTCAGTTAAATCCCTTGCCTCGGGAAAATGTACCACCCTTGATTGAAAACTGAATTTGACATTCTTTTATTAATTATTGTGAAGTAATTTGACATTCATTTATTAATTATTGTGAAGTAAGTCGGAAATCTTGCCGGTACACGTAAACTATTTACACCTAAGCCAAATGAAAATTCAAACTGGTACTGGCAACGAGGTAACAGACAGACAGTTATTTTGAATACTTAAAAAAGAAACAAGAAAATACGAGTGCAGTATAAAATCACCTTTATTTTCACTATAGTCAATTCCAGATATAACGAAGTCATACAGAGGGAATATTCCGCTTTTCAAAGGTTCGTTGTATCAGAAGTGAAAGAAAGCATGGCCGGTTCCTGGTCCCAAGCAATCTTTATGCTGGTCGTACGAGGCGACTTAGTCGATCGGGTGGTCAGGCTCGGTGCCTTTGTTTAGTGCGGGTTATCATGCCCCGATCGTACTTCACAATATCATTCACTGGATTGTCTAGTTCGGACTCGATTATTGACAGTCCGCTGTCATGTAGCTGTAATATTACCGAGGGTGGTTAGCAACAAACAGACGACTTGTCTTGAAGCAAGATCCTTAAGAATGCAGCCCGTGCATCTCTTGTGTCCCAAGCCAAGTCATAAAGACAGAACATTGAGGATGTTTGACTAATATACGATGATCATATACTTCCAGGTCGAATAAAACATGAAGCACCACGTGACCCCTTCGTCAAAGTTTTCCTCCTACCAGACGAGAAGACATGCAAGGTGTCAAAGGTCAGGAAGAAGACCCTGTCTCCTATCTTCAATGAAACATTCCAGTTCCAGGTGGGTCATCACTGTCAGAGCGCTAGCATTGTCATTTGACAGTTACACCATAAACTATAACTGACCATAGACATTACAAGCTTGACGAACTGGTCTCGCTCACCCAACACCAAGAACCCAAGAACATTGGAGGGTGGGACCCAATGATGTCATAATGTTTGCAGAGTAGTGTCCCTTAGTAGCAAGGATATGTTGGTCATGGGGTCGAATCCAATATTGGCTCCGATAGGGATTCTTGGTTTCGCAGCAACATACTCATACTTGTACGTTTGCCCAAGTCCAAGGTTACATGTATGGTTACTTTGAGCTGAGTTGTGAGTGAGTGAGTTTGGTTTAACGCCGCTTTTAACATTTATATCACGGCGTGTCCTTGATCTTTAAGCTGACACGTCGTGACATAACTAACACCTCTTAAAAAGCGTCCAACCCAACTAAAACACTCAACCCCTACCTCAACATAATCTAAAGGGATTTTTCGAGTACACACTTGACCATGTGATGTTTTTCCCTCAGGCCTCCCCTGATGACGTATACAGAAGGACGTTACGCTTCTCTGTGTATGACGTAGACAAAAGACGTGTACGTCACTCACTCGGTCACGTGATGGTTCCACTGAAGGACGTTGACCTGACGAAGAGCGAACCACTTTGGAGCGATCTGGAGCCTATGGCACACGTATGTTATTCTTTCCCAGTGATTGCTTTATCATGTTTTTGTAGAAATCCTGTAAATTACTCAACAGCATGAGGCATCATCAGTTCAAGCCAGTTCATATTGAATTAACCTTTGCTTCCAATATGCTATGAAAAATAACTTCTTCAATTATTTTTGTGCACAATTTATGGATAAACAGATCTTAAAGATGCAAACATTTCACACAAACGTGCCATTGGTTCGCATTGATAATGCTAAGCTGATGTGAGAAAAAGCGCTGAAATCTGAAATCAGTAATAAAATTATGTGTGGTATTCACTTAGTTTTTGAAATATTAACAGGTGCCAAGTGACAATATTGCTGAAATATCTTGAAAAGAATAAAATGTCATTTCAGAAAATGCAATCGATGTTAGAATCGCCACATTAAGAAAAAGAACGTCTGAAGAACAAATAATCTGTTTTGTGTCCTAACCATGTCCTGTATGTCTACAGGCAACGTCGTGTCTGGGGGAGCTGTACTTCAGCCTCACCTACCAACCGCAGACAGAGCGGATAAAGGTGGTCATCATCCGAGTCAGACAACTCCGACATCTGGACTATGGTGGCGAGACAGGTACATCACACCCCCTCAACAAAAACACTTTCCATACTGTTATCAACCCGGATCCATTGGTCTTAATATGAAAAGATTTTTACTAATTTGTTTCAAAAAATGTTATCGTAAATCCATTCCCCCGAATGCATATTCTTGTCATGCTGAATGAAGCTATTTTTTTAAACAAAAGCAAAATATTGAAGGTTTTAATAAGCATCTATTTTCAATTTTACCTATTTATAATTTCGCAAATGAAGATCGATTAAAAATGTTTTTATGAAAATAAATCTGCATTTGATATCATATTGTTTGTAACATGTCCTCATTGACGAATGTTATTTACAGATATTGCTGTATCCTAACAGGATATCAGTGCTTAACATGTGAAAGATGATCCCTATTGGTCTAAATGAATATTGCGGACCCAAATAGCCCGCCAGGCGTGGTATTAATTAGCTACTGCATCTAGTTGCGTGTGTCCCCAATTATCACTATCATTATCATGTTTTTGTCGGATGAGATGTCCCTTATTGCTTTTATCACGTCTTGATTATAAAACTTCCCTCTCCAGGTATGTACGTACGCATCCAGTACTGTCATGGACGAAAAACACACAAAACTAAACGCACAGTCTTGCTTATGGGAGCATCAGAAGCGGAAATCAACGAGTCCTTCTCGTTTTCAATCTCCGGGCGACAGCTGGACTCGTGCAGCTTCGTCATGACCCTGATGACGTCGCCTATGGGGACACGCTCCAGCCACCATGAGGAGTATGGCCGTGTAACTGTGGGACCGTTCCTCTTCGCCCGTGGCCAGGAGCTGCTTCATTGGCAGGAAATGATATCCCAGCCCCGCTCCCCAATAACGAGGTGGCACACCCTCACACCAACATCCGCTCTGGAGCCAGATCGATAAACGGATCACCCAACGCCACCATGCGGTTCTGTGAAATCACACCTGATACAACGTCTATTTTTATGATCAAATTCACACCCTCTGTTTCGGCGTAGTAATCTCTGTAGAGTTGATGCACTACTTCTGTTTCGGCGGAGTAAACTAAGACTACATACTCGAAATGTCACATCAACCCGTGATAAATTTAAACATGTTTTCTCATTATCGTTCGGGTCGTTTAAAACATGTCGCGTGAAATACTTCTTCTCAGGTGAATAAGTTTGGTTTTATTCGTTAAGAAATCCCGTTTTATTAGCTATATGGGTCTCAAGAACGTACGGAAATAGTTAATATCCTTCATTGCCGAAATCATGACAATAGTAACAAATGAGCTTTCTGCAGAGAGAAAAAAGTGACAACGGTCAACTTGAAAAAATAATTTCTTTCACGGCCTGAGGGTGTTTTATGTTTACTTAATTAATATTATGTTGTTATATTGCTGTCTTAAAGTACGACCGTTTGATCCATCAACTTAAGATGAACTGGGAATCAACATAATCTACGGTACCTACAAGTGTCTTTTCTAATGTGTCGATATGTAGCGAAATGTATTTCTGTTTTAAACCCTAGTTTAGCTCTGTAAAAAGAGAGAAAACTGTCCCATACGAAGGTACACAACAAAACGTAACTGTATATTGTACTGCTCTCTAGAAAACCCCTCTGTTGATCAAGTAACTGTGCTACAGTATTTGGTGTCTGATTATAATCAAAGTTTTGTAAATTGTTCGACGCCACTGTCTTCTTCATCACGGATTTGCACTCTGGTCCACTCCGCGATCTACACACTTTTTGGAGTAGCAATGGCGTGTCCTGTGACATTCAAATGAATGGAACTAATTCTAATATGTAAAATGGACCTTTCCCTCCTCCCCCCCCCCCCCCCCCCCCCCCCCCCCCCTCACTCCCCAGGGCTGGCCAGTTTGATGTGACTTTTTTTTAACAAGGTGACTGGGTCTGTGTTAGGTGTTCATGTTAGTCGCACCCTGAAATAATTGATGTGATGTAAACGTAATTACGGTTAAAAGGGGTCATGCTCGAATCGTCATGAAAGTGAGCGTGATTATTTCATGTAGGTCACAATTATTGGGTAACGGGTTCATCCAAAAAGGATCACTGTGTAATTCAATAACTTAACTCTGCCTGTGGAGTAATTGTGACAATGTTTTATAATACGTCCGTGTGGTTAGCCTGTAATGTTTACCTTTAAACCGCCCCTTGAATTATATTTTGTGTTCTGTTAGTTATTATTATTGTTGTTACCTTGATGAAAGTTTGCTTGAAATCAAACATAACGTAATCTCAAAATCGACTTTACATATTTCTCAAGTTTCCCCATCAAAGCGCAGATCGTAGCTCGACTGTGTTTAAACTAGACAGCGTTTGATTTGAAGAGAAACAAGACGTAAATGTTGTTAAACAGCAGAATCGCCATGTGGCAATAGCAATATTGGTTTTGGAAATATATATATATGTCATCGTAAATGAGAATTCAATAAAATATTTTTAAAAGTGTGCTTGTTATTATTCATATTCCTTTTCCATACCTTGAACCTCGCACGCAACCAAACAAGCACCGATGTCTACCACTGCAACTGTCTCGAGAAGTTCCTCAAGTTGGTGTGTTTTATCATCATATATTTTGTAGGGAACCCTTGAAGTGGTTCGAGCAAATGACGTATGCATATATAACAAACAGGGTCCTCCAGAAGACAAAGAATCCTATTCAATTAATTGTCCGGAACATGGAGTATTTGGAATCATTAGGTTATGCTGTATATGTCATCTCTCTTGGGAAGTTGTCAATGGGCCCCGTTCCATAAAGAGATTTTAGTGCTAAGCCGATGGTAACTTCATACTTTAACATAGACTTACATATACGAGAACAGTTAAGAAAAGGAACGTATTTATTTCATAACGAAATACTAATACATTCAGAAGAAGAAAAAGCAAAATATTAATGTCTATTTATCTTATTAATTGTCAATTGAAATTATAAAATTGTGGATGATTTAGAGATGATACCACTTATTATGAATGAAAATAAATAATGACAGCAATCCAGATTTGTTCGGTTGACGTCATCAGTTAGCCACACTCTTCCTTCAATCACACTGGCTTAAAGTGGCCATCATACACATCTTTCTTACATCCTCAAAACAAATGTTGAAAACCATTTATATGCATTAAAAACTCATTCAAAAAGCAGATCCAGTTATAACTCCCGTGTAATTTATGCAATGCCTCGTGGACCATCACACACTCCCACATATGTATAACCGTATATGTAGCGGGTAGGGGTACAGTTTGCTACACAACTCGATGCAATTATTCATACAGTTCCATATATCCGACATTCGCTATTTCCATGAAATAACGTCACTCAAGGACTTTGTGACATCCGGGTATGGCTGTATGTGTTACGTACCCTATTCATTAATACTTACTAAAAACTAGCTGTATGTAGATATAACTACATTTTCGAGCTATGGAGAGTCAAATGAGAATATATATAAGTGATTTTAGATTTATGTTGAGATGACTGAGTTTGTGTGTGAGTGAGTGAGTTGGGGTTAACGTCGCATTAACAGTATTCAAGTTATATCGCGGCGTGTCAGCTGAACGTGGGAGGAAAGCCCGAAGTGATGCAGGTCTTTGACGTTTACCACTTTGGAGAAACCCATGAGCTGGTGCAGACAAACCTAGAAACATAATCGGGTCGAACTGGGATTCGAACCCGCAATTTGACATGTAAGTATCTGGCGTGCACAAGGGCACAGCGAACTGCGCGGTTCAGACGACTAGGTCACCCGTTCCCATTAACTGGTTGGGATATCAATTTTTTTGTTACAATATATACAATATTTGAGTATTAACGTGCATCATACAATGTGTATAAAAATAGAGTATATATAATTTGTATATATCTCAATATATACATGAAATATTAAATTGATAAAAACTAAATTATAATTAAACTCACTTCTTCACGCTATACACTGTGTATACACATTATTGCACTCATTTTGTTGAACTTGACACTATACCATGATGACTGACCAGCAGTATCATGAATCCTTTCACCAGTAAAAGCGCCATTAGAAACAGCTGGCAACACCATAAATGTGCGATGTTGTTGTGTGGTACATTCCTATACAGTGACGCTCAGCTGAGACACACATTATCGATTAGTATTGACTCGCCTCCCACAGCTGGTTCGATTGATGTGACAATAGTTCTTATCATTTTACAGGTCAGGGTTTTATGATGGTGATATATGGATGATCATATATCAAAAGTGAAGTGTTTGTCATATTTTGTGTATCTGAGCAGTATTTCAGTCAAGATTGTACGTATCACAGTGATGTACGAGTATATCGTTTCAACATTAACCGTGCATCATATTCTGCTGGAGGCCCACGCGAGCTTTACCGGTCATCAGTTATGTGCCTTTTTTTCAACAATCTCTTTACAGCGTAGTGACTAATTCTCCCGTGTGCGTATCTCTCGTTGTGTCCAGCCATGGGTTATAATGTTCTTCTTTCCTCAATGACTCCATATTTTCACTGTCGGAAGAATTGCCACTGTCTGGTTGATCTATATTGACTGCGCTCGTAAATCTCACATTTTTGGACTTGATATTGTTTTTGTCGGCCCCAACAATTTCATCATCTTTTCTGCCCCGGGAATCATCCATTATGGGCACAAGATAGATATCAGATTCAGTGTTCGGTTCTTGAGAAGCTATCCCACCGGATGTAGTCGTTCTTTTAACACCACCCGGCTTGTTTCCAGAGGTTGATGGTATCTGTGACGCGTTCGGCACTGCGGAACTCCTTCCGGTTTCGACGTCATATACTACCTTGTCGTCTGATTGGTCTTTCGGACCTATATCGTCAGTAGAGGAATCTACAGTGTCAAACATATCGATGACCTTGTCCAGTTCCAGACTAGCAAGTTGGTTCCGCAGATCAATGATGTTGTCGCTTTTGGGCTCCTCGCCCAGCGTAATCACCTTCTCCTGCTCCTCCATGGATATCACCGACCTCCGTCTCGACTGCAGCGACTTCAGCGATCTGACATAAAAATTCACACATATGAAGGTTCCAAATTTGAAAGTGTTTAAAAGTATGTCTTAGATTGGAAAAAAACGCCTTTAAGATTGGGAAAATGTATTGTAACTTGTATTGGTGTCACATCCTGACTGAAATTAGAGTGAGGTGAATAATTTCCATTAGAGCAGTTTGCAATATTCTTGTTAATCATGCTGGGAAGTCTGTAAATGATCGAGTCCCGCAAAGAAAACCAGTAGTTGACAGCGTGAACGAGCCATGCCGTTGGGATACGTAAACACAATAACCCATGTCACACTGGACTTAGAGTTTAATTGAAACGAAGATAAGGATACAAGCAAGCATGCAAAGCAAATCCTTGTATATATGTTGGTTTGTTTACCAATTGGGCTGACATGCACTGCGACAGACTCATGCAAAGTGGTTCTATCTAATGTTACTTACCTCAATATAGTATCCTGTGTTGCATGAACAAAACATTCAAATCAGGTTAACATGAAATCTTGTCCAATAGAAAAATAGTCAATAAACATACAACTAATTTTAAGTAAAACCAAAATGGACTCATACGAGAAATAAGCCTTCTGAAAGTTTCATATGTGACTATTGATTTCATGCTTCTGTTTTTACTTCTGTAAACAGTCCCTAAGAATGTTATATTGACATTAGGACAGTAGAAGAGTGACTGACTTACTCCGCCATCCTCGAGGCCCGCAGATGAATCCCGGGACTGAAGTCTCTGGAAGCAGAGTCTTCACTCGCATCTCTGAAACACAGAATGTGTAATGTAACACTGACCTTATAAAGACAGTGCTGAAGCACCTCTATCATCGATACGAGTCGTTTTAGGGATATGGCATATTAATTAAATGTCACAACAAACCCTTTAGTGTAACCGCAACATATGGTACAAGCTGAAGAGGAACGCATGCGCATGTCCATCAAGCACTACACCCTGGGTGCTGTGTATATCATTCGATAGTATGGGTGATTAACAATTGTCCGGCTCAAACCCATAAGGTCAGTTCCTGAACTCTCATCTCGAATACTAACCCCTTGGCTTCATGTAAACATGCACACCTACACTAAGACCGAGGTCTACCAGGACTCACGGGTCAATTGGATCTGCAGTGTCCGAGTCTAAGTTGGTCTCATTGAAGCCTTCGTCCACTGCTCTCTCCTCCGTCATCTTCTTCTGGCGTTGCCGGGCCATCTTCGCCTTCTCCTGCTTCACGTTCCACTCCTCATACCTGTGACACGCAGATTAATAGCACTCCTGAATTAACACAGTCGACCTTATCTACTTCCTAGAAGAGCTAGGGATAGAGTTGACGAGTTGCGTGTAACGCTGATTCGGAACGTTGTATAAATTATGTCAAGCAGGGCGGCTTAACGTGGGGAAAAATCCAAAAAAGTTACGCCATTTAAAGACATTCACCACTTGGGTGAAACCCATGAGGACCGCTTACAGTTTCAAAACACATTGCCGGGACAAACCTGAGATTCGAACCCAGATCTTGTTACAGGTCGTGTTACACAAGGGATAAACCTGGCAAGGTATTATTCGTTCCAGAAATAACTACTTTGCCGCCTAGTGCATTTCACAAACATTGCTACCTATCAAACTACTTGTCTTCTCTGAGAACCAAGACCCAGTTTCACTCACTGTTTCCATATTTTGATGATGGCGACAACTGCAGCCACGCTACCTATAAACATGACCCCGGCGATGACAATGATGGCAATCTCGGCCTCGCTGATGGTGTAGGGTTGACTAGTGCTGTTGAACCTCGGCATGATGGTCGGCGCCAGGGTAACGGACAACACCTTCAGCACGCCCAGAAGCTGGTTGATGGCGACTTCGTTGGCCGTCACGAGACTGGGGAGAATGCTTGTATCAGTTACTGATGTCGTCTACATGATACGGTGAAACTAGCTCGAACTCCATCAATTAACACGACCTTGGTATATCACTCAACACGAACTTCATAAATACACATGTAGCGTCTTGGTCCTTCATTTAACAGCACTTAAGTGGTAGCATCACTTAAGTCGATACATGTTTACTTTTCCCTGGTATCAAAATGGACTGTTTATTTCTTCAATGTACCAAGTTATTCCATCTGGAACGGAACACCCACACAGGTGCTTGGCTAGCTACGCTCTTGAATGGTGTCAATCACTACCCAGAATTACGTGGAGTTATTATTCCAGGTAATCACGTGGCTGACACTGGTCTTCTTAACATGCCTTTTATAGATGACATTGCCTATGTCATGCCTGGAACATCACTTCTATTTCAATTACGAAATCGTGTAATTCGAAGTATTCCCATTGTTATAGTTTAACAAAATTATAGTTTGGTCAGCATGATGAATATACTGATATACTGTCTCTTTGGCTAATAAACAATCATGACAGAAGCAAAGACGTTTCAGGAACATGAACACAAATTTACAACAAACATCCTGCATTGGTAGATATCGCAACCTGTTTCCCACGTACCAAGGAATGATTACAACAGTTACTTGGCGGCTGATGTAGGAAGCATGGGTGTTTCGGTAACATAATTAAAAAGCAGTGCCACATGTACATGACTGTGCATACATGTAGTTTTACATGGGATAAAAGTATTTTAATAAATACATAGCGGCATAAAATAAGAAAATACCATGTATTTGTAAGGTTAGTAATAAAATATGCAACACTTATACAACTGACCTCTTGATCTTCTCAAAAGACACGGCCTTCCCTGTTTGCGGATCAACAGCATGGAAATACACGTCCGATCTGAAACAAATGTAAAAACGTGTTTCAATGTAGCGCATACCAACTCAAACGACGTTGTGGAGCAGAGATTGCTTTTCTGTAAGTTACACCACAGGTCATCATACTGACACAGAGAACCTAACCACCCCATCCCGTTAAGAGGCGACTAACGGGGTCGGGTGGTCAGGCTCGTTGACTTGATTGATGCATGTCATTGTGTCCCAATTGCGTGGATCGATGCTCATAATGTGAATCACTGGATTGTCTGGTCCAGACTTGATTATTTACAGACCGCCGTCATATAGCTGGAATATTGCTGAGTGTGGCATTAAACAACAAACAAACAAACAACAGCTGGAGCATCCTTAATGATGATGTATTTAACGACAGTAAACCACTGCAGCCAGTGTATGTGTGGATCAGTGCCTCATTTCACGAGAGACCTGAACAGAGGCGAGTGCTGTTATCTTCCAAGGACGTGTTCACAACGATGAAGTCACTCACTTGGTCAAGACCAGCTTGCTGTTCTCCGTGTGTGGCTCCACCGCCTCCAGCTGGACCTCCAGGCCTAGGATCCGGCTCAGATTCCTGCACAGAACAATGTGACGCTTCATTTAGTAACATCACACTTTGAGTGGAACCTTGTTAACCGGGACGTGTCTCTTAACAGCAAACTTGTGTTGTAAGACAAGTAATGGGATTTCAGGACAAGTAATGGGATTTCAGGACAAGTAATGGGATTTCAGGACAAGTAATGGATGGGATTTCAGGACAAGTAACGGTTGGAATTTTAAGACAAGTAATGGGATTTTAAAACAAGTAATAAGATGTTAAGACAACCGAATGATACATTGGGCTGAATAAAACACATATTATATCTGAATAGGAGATTTAAGACGCGATGGATGAAATGCTTTCAAAATGTTTCCCTTTCCTTCCTCCCTATCATAGGGGTCGAATCAGCTTTGAGATGAGCGATTACGAATTAATTATCTTTCATTTGGAACTCTTGTTCAGTGTTAATATAAGCTGAACTGGATGTACCAATAACATAACATGGAGATGTATACGGTATGGATATACTCACGCAATGATGGCATCCTCGCGTCTGTTAAACTCCGACGGTTGCATATGAGCTACCAGGCCAAACCTCTCAGTCTCCTTTATAACTAGGATCTGATAAATAATACATTCTATTAAAATCATTAAACAATTAAACGCAGTTCTGTCACCGCAGATCAAATTTATGTGAATGTATATATAAATGTTAGTTTATGAACACGAGGAGGAAGATAGGAAGAACTAAATGTCTAGGTAGAGGTGTGTTGTTAAAAAAGATAAACAATAACCTTAAGCTTCATGGACGTGGATTGTCCGTTTCCGTCGTCATCTGTTGCGTTGACTGTCAGTGTGAATTCAGTGGCGGTCACTGACACCATCTTGACCAGAGACCGCACTGCCCCGGAAGTAGGGTTCACGCCAAACAGAGTTGTGTCCCCGGAAGTAGCTGTGAACAGGACAACACTGTTTGCCCCTTCATCCGGGTCCGCCGCCTGAAGCAGAGGATGACACGCTGTTGGTACACGCTACGCAGCACACGTGTGTCCAGTATATTTCTAACTGACACCACAGTTGCATGTTTCAAATTCGGGAATCATGGAGATTCCTTTCAAATGGGTGCTGACAGAAACCAAATACACTGGAACCCCTTTAATTCGAAGTCGTCGGTACAATCGAGCACTTATCTGTGTTATCAAAAAGAGTGAGGTGCACAGATGGTAAGTCCATATCATTCAAAAGCGGATCTGTAATGTGTGTAACTAACATGTAAAATGTAGGGAGCATCCCTATCTAAAGGTGGACAGTATGTTGACGCATAATTATTTTGTCATATTACAGACATATCACAGAACATAAACCTATTCAATCGTAACATTCTAAAAGTCTGCTAAGAAGTATATGTCCTCTAAGAAGTATAAGGATAGCCGTATATGTGAAGCACAGCATCTCCCCGAGGCAAGGGAGTTTACTGACTGTTAGTCCAGTTTCAACCCTTGCCGAGCTGAGCTGGAATTTCGTGGTCCGATCATAGCGCGATCTGTGTCTTTTACGAGATATGTCCCTTACTTATCACACCTACTGACTAATCATGTTCCACCTCTAATATCACTTCCAGCAAAATGGCGGAGCCCAGTCAAGACTATCTGATCAATATTCAAGATCTTTATTGTAATAAAACGGGTCTTACCTCGCGAAGTGCATCAAATCACTTGAGGACCTTGATTAACATTATGAAAAGATTTGGAAAATCGCCCGTTAAACGGGACACATGCTCTCGAAATCTGCACGGCAGTCGCCATGGTGTTTATGAACCGGATGTCAATATTGTCACGTGATTTTGATTGGACTATGGACAGACTCGTCGGTACTTTCAAAATATAACTCCATAATTTCAATCTAGTTTGGCAAGGGTGAACACTGGACTTTAATAGTCAGTTACGTAACTCGCTTGCCTATGGAAGATGATACCACAGACAGTAATACCGTGTACAACAAGTGATGCACCTGACATCAAGTCCTTACACGGACGCTACCCGAAATGCAGAGCGTGACCCGTTCCTAGAACACCTGGTGCCGTCCTTGTTGATACGTGAGTGTACATGTAAGGCTCCAGGCTTCCATTTTGTGTGGCAGTTTGAATGTGACTTAGATACTAAGATGAATACACCTGAGGCTTTGACGGTTTCCTTTAAAGTGATGGCTACTTCTTGCCACAGTAGGTCAATATTCCCATGGAATCATCATTACTGTAACATTCAACCCTAACAGTGCCTCACCCTGAGTTGAACCACCAAGTAGTTTGGTGCCGCAGAGCTTGGGATGCCGTAGACCAGTGTCCCCCCACCGGGCGCCTGGAGGCGGGGTGGGTTATCGTTCCTGTCTTGGACTGTAACTATCACTTCAACCACGTTGGCCTCCGCTGGAATCAAACATTCGTGTTTATAAAAATATATATCGTATTTACATCATAGAAACTCAATATTATTTAAAGTGATACAGGTCTTAGACGTTTACCACTTCGGTGAAAACCACGGGCACGGGTATGGTGCTGACAAACCTAGAAAAATAATCGGGGCGAACCGGGATTCGAAGCCAAAATCATAGTTTTCTGTCTCTGCAAGTGTGTCCTGCAGTTTCTAAAACCCCCGTAAAACAATACATCTATTTGGTCAGACTAATAGTAACTACGTCAACAGTCAATAGATCAAAGTCAACTCCACAACATGTGTGTACAACCCATGTGACTTAGTTATCCTGATTGTGTATAGTCTGGAGGTATATCCTGATTGTGTATAGTCTGGAGGTATATCCTGATTGTTTATAGTCTGGAGGTATATCCTGATTGTGTACTGTATAGTCTGGAGGTATATCCTGATTGTGTACTGTATAGTCTGGAGGTATATCCTGATTGTGTATAGTCTGGAGGTATATCCTGATTGTTTATAGTCTGGAGGTATATCCTGATTGTGTACTGTATAGTCTGGAGGTATATCCTGATTGTGTATAGTCTGGAGGTGTATCCTGATTGTTTATAGTCTGGAGGTATATCCTGATTGTGTATAGTTTGGAGGTATATCCTGATTGTGTATAGTCTGGAGGTATATCCTGATTGTGTTTAGTCTGGAGATATATCCTGATTGTGTATAGTCTGGAGGTATATCCTGATTGTGTATAGTCTGGAGGTATATCCTGATTGTTTATAGTCTGGAGGTATATCCTGATTGTGTACTGTATAGTCTGGAGGTATATCCTGATTGTGTACTGTATAGTCTGGAGGTATATCCTGATGGTGTATAGTCTGGAGGTATATCCTGATTGTTTATAGTCTGGAGGTATATCCTGATTGTGTACTGTATAGTCTGGAGGTATATCCTGATTGTGTATAGTCTGGAGGTATATCCTGATTGTTTATAGTCTGGAGGTATATCCTGATTGTGTATAGTATGGAGGTATATCCTGATTGTTTATAGTCTGGAGGTATATCCTGATTGTGTATAGTCTGGAGGTATATCCTGATTGTGTATAGTCTGGAGGTATATCCTGATTGTGTATAGTCTGGAGGTATATCCTGATTGTGTATAGTCTGAGGTATAACCTGATTGTGTATAGTCTGAGGTATATCCTGATTGTGTATAGTCTGGAGGTATATCCTGATTGTGTATAGTCTGGAGGTATATCCTGATTGTGTATAGTCTGAGGTATATCCTGATTGTGTATAGTCCGAGGTATATCCTGATTGTGTATAGTCTGAGGTATATACCTTTTGTATATTCTTGAGGTATATCCTGATTGTGTGTAGTCTGGAGGTATATCCTGATTGTTTATGGTCTGGAGGTATACCCTGATTGTTTATAGTCTGGAGGTATATCCTGATTGTTTATAGTCTGGAGGTATATCCTGATTGTGTATAGTCTGAGGTATATCCTGATTGTGTACTGTATAGTCTGGAGGTATATCCTGATTTGTGTATAGTCTGGAGGTATATCCTGATTGTGTATAGTCTGGAGGTATATCCTGATTGTGTATAGTCTGGAGGTATATGATTGTTTATAGTCTGGAGGTATATCCTGATTGTTTATAGTCTGGAGGTATATACTGATTGTGTATAGTCTGGAGGTATATCCTGATTGTGTATAGTCTGGAGGTATATCCTGATTGTGTATAGTCTGGAGATATATCCTGATTGTGTATAGCTGGAAGTAGCAAGTGGGATAAATTTCAAACCTACAAGTTGATTGCCTTACCTGCACGTTTAGATCTTGTCGAGGACGGTGTCACTATGGAAACTTGTATCTGCAATTTGTATTCTGATGTTTGTTCCCGGTCCAGAGATTTGATGCACATCAGCTCTCCAGTAGAACTGTTGACCATGAAGGCATCTTCAAACGGAAGAATAATCAACACAGGTGAGTTCGACCACACGACCAGATGGGCAAGGTTATGTAGGGAGGCGAGATGACACGGGGTTTAACGTCGCGTTCAAGATCATTGCACTTCTATAGTGATGTGCATGCGTGAGTGTGTGTGTGTGTCTGCTTCAGGTCCGGATTTATGCCGCAGTTTAACATGAATACCCCAACCAGTCTTGTTTTATCACTTTAAAGCCGAGTGCCATGCAAGCTAACAACGTTGAACAAGTTGGTTGGTTGGATTGTTGTTTTACGCTGCACTCAGCAATATTCCAGCTATGTGACGGCGGTCTGTAAATAATCGAGTCTGGACCAGACAATCCAGTGATTGATATCATGAGCATCGATCTACGCAATTGGAATCGATGACATGCTTCAACCAAGTCTGCGAGCCTGACCACTCGATCCCGTTAGTCGCCTCTTACGAAAGCATTGTCGCCTTTTACGTCGGGCATTGGTTGCTGAAGACCTATTCTAGCCCGGATCTTCACGGGTCCATTAAACAAGTAACGTCTTGGTGTCACACGGCCGGGAATCGAAGTCAAGTTTCTTCTGTATTTTCCTGATGATTAGTAAAGAATAGAAAATACGAATGGACATTATTGTAATCAAATGTTTCACACAGGTACCATTTGAGATAATGTGCTGCCATGATTGAACAAAATGGTTCGCCCATTTCAACAATTTTTCCCATGTATTTTGTTATGTACTTAGCACCGCTCCCATCTGGCTGCAGGAAAGGTATCTATTGTGATGTTATGTGATGTACAAAATAGTCTTACCTGTCTGTGACGTCATCGTGTACGTCACCGGGATCCCCTGCAGCTCGGCCGAGGTGTTCAGGTCCAGCAGTTTCACAGGAGGGGTCAAGTTTTCAGGCAAGCTCACGCGATACTCGGGTTTTGGAAACGTCACATCCGGTTTCGTTATGGAGATGAGTATCTGGTGGACATTTGTACTTTCTCTTAACGTTTTATAAGGGGTGATCTTCGTGCACTGATCACTACAGTATGAGAATGTTGCGTTATGCAGACAGCAGTATTTCAGCTACATCACTGCTGCCTGTAAATGATCGAGGCAAACCAGAGGTTGACAGCATGAGCAACGTCTAACGTCGTCGGAGCACGATGGCGATCAGTTGTCAGGCAACATAGTGTGACCCGATCCTGAGTTTAGTCGGCTCCTGAGATAGCTTATGGTACTGGGAACCTATTCTGCCCCGAGCCCACCAGATCAGAAAGATATGTCCATGGAATATTATAACTGATTAATCTTTTCATTCCCACCGACTGAAATTCTACGCTCATGAGCGAAAGGTTTTTGTCACGTAGCAATGAAAACGTTTTACTTTCTACACATGACATTTCTATATGTACCATGGATTGTTTTCACTAGTCGTTGGTCAGACTCGATCATCCTGGAAAATGCATATGACACGACTGGACAGAAAATATATGGACATACATGTCTGTGGTTCTGCTCTAGTGCGAGTCATTACATTATATGGTCTGGAACACAGGCACGCACCTACCGCGCAGCAAGCTGAGCCATTTTAAAGTAATGACCACGTTAAAAAAAAAATCAAGATTATCCGCAGTAATCGTTATATACTAACAAAATATACATTGTGTTATTGTCGTTAAATAAACAAGTGTATGAAAAAATATATGACTTGTGCAATGACTGTATAGTGTTATGTTTTGTCGTTTTTTCATGTTGTTAAAACACTAATAAGTGCATATGTTTGACACAATGTAATATAATTCTTTTCTACTGTGTTTTCGCGCTTCTGTTTCAGCTGTACACTTATATCTGCCTGAAGCGAGGGAGTTAACTGATTGTTAAAGTCCAGTTTCCACCCTGGCCGAACTGTGCTGGAAAATTTTGGCTCCATCTTAGCGCCACCGGTGGCTATTATGAGTTATGCTCCTTCAATGTCCCTCCCATTGACCATTCAGATGCCACCACTCTTATCACTTGTATTTGCTTCAAACGAAATGGCGGCGCCCAGTGAAGACGATCTTATCGATAATCAAGATCTATATTGTAATAAAACGGGTCTTAGTTCGCGAGGTGCGTTAAATTACGTGATCACCTTGATTAATAAAACATAAAAAGATTTGGAAAATATCTGTTGACGCCCAGTTGCAGTACACATGCTTTGCAAATCCTGCAGTCGGCCGAAATCTGCACGTTGAAATCCATATTGTTTACGAACCGGATGTCTAGTTCGTCACGCGATAGGACTCGTTAGTCAAGCCAAAATGTAACTCAGGAATTCCAGCCTAGGTCGGCAAGGGTGGAAGCTGGACTTTTAACTCCCTTGCCTCGGGAAGATGTACATATGGCAAGGTGCTATTTTTTACCGATGCATGGATTACTTTCCTACATAAATGTTAATAACCGATGAAAGAAGTATCATAATATTTTGACTCACATTAGCTGTATCGGTACTTGGGGAAGGTCGTCTATCCGACGCCATGACTGTCAGGAGAACGTTGCCCTGTGTTACTATATCCCCGGCCACCCTCATAACGCCAGTATCGGGCACAATGTCAAACAGGTTGCCGTCGTTCCCAGAAGTTAGAGTGTAGTAGAAGTTGCCGTTTCCGGCGTTGAGTGTAACATTTAGTGGCGTCCCTACAGGGGTTGCCACAGACACCTTCACGCTGTAGAAGTCGGGCGTGAACTGCGGCTTGGTGTCGTAGGTGTCGTTCACGTGGACGGTGATGGTGGTGTTGGAGTTCAGAGAGGGGGTCCCGAGATCCTCGGCCATCACGGTCAAGTCATACACCTCTTTGTGCTCGAAGTCCAGTGAGCGCACAGAGGTCACCTTGCCATCTGTGTAGGGTAGAATTCAAATAATATATGTGTACAATGAATCCCTGTTAGATCACACATGCATACACAGACACATTACTCCAATTAATGGTAAACTAGACATTTTCTCTGGGAACAGTACTGTCCAGATTGACGAGGTTCTACTGTTCATAAGATACAGTGCAATCATTATGATATGACGATGTAAACTTAGAAATGAGTGGGTGAGCGAATAAGGTTTTACGCCGTTTCAGAACTATTCCATCAGAGAATTGGCATCTCATTCACTCGTCTGCGGCTTAATAAATGAACTCTTTGACACAAGATCACCAAATAGCCCCGAAATATCGTTGATGATGGATTAAGTACCGAAGCAACGAAAACAAATAATCAGTTATTCATCTGCTGTATCTATACTGACTTTACCGTTGTTTTAAATCATTCCAGTTTAAAAAGTTAGATGTGTAGTTAAACATGTATTGAAAAGATCAAATCTCAACGAAATCAACATTTTAAAGGAAAACATCCGATATTGGCATGACAGTTGCCAGACTTGAGGTGGGGTAACAAAAACAAGCTTTCAACCTAATGGACAAAGGGCACACACATCTAAAATCGCTCAAGTTCAATGACACGTCACATTGATAGCGTGTATGACCACCCAATGCTACAAGACACGCAAAAACTCTCCGGCGCACAGAAAAAGGCAGCTGTTTGAGAACGTCATGTGTGATACGTTGCCATTCTTCTTGGAAGGCCTGGATCAGTTCTTGGCTGGATGATGTGTCGCTTGAACACGGCGATCCATGACGCCCCAGAGGTGTTCTATGGGGAACAAGTCTGGGGAGCGTGCAGGCCACGGCAACACGTTGTATTTGTTTGCTGCAAGGGAGTTCTGCATGATTCGGGCTATATGGGGTCTGACGTTGTCATGCTGATAAAGAACAGCACGTGGCAGCTGTTGTAGAAATGGTAGGACAATCGGACAAAGAATACCATTCATGTAACGCTGAGCTGTCAAATTTCAGTTAACGATGATGTCTCTTTTGCCCATAAATTCCACCCCACACCAAAACAACCCCCTCCACCATACTGCACGACTTCTTGAATGCAACATGCCGCCGTCTTCCATCATCTCTGAACAGACAGAACCGGCTTCCATCAGTGAAGACGATCATCTGCCAGTCACATCGCTGCAGTCTGGGCCCATCTCAATCTCTGACGACGATGTTGCGCTGTCCTCTGTGAGCCCTAATTCCTTGAGCCCTGTGTTGCCTAGTCATTTCTGTCGAATAACCTGATGCAAAGTACGCAAATATGCGTCTTCAGTGGGCGTGGTTACCCTGGGTCTGCCTTTTCTTGGCCTGTATGATGTTTGCCCGGTCTGTAACGTTGCATCAAGTTAAATACAGCAACACGGGAGCAACCAAACGTTCTAGCAATGTTGGCATGGGTGGCTCCAATCTGCAAAATACCCAAAGGCCCGCTCGCCCTGTTCGGGTGTCAGTCGTGGCATTTCTGCGGTGGTTTTGTATCAGTGTGAGTGTTTGACATGCCGTCTGTCTCATTTATATACCCTCATTGCACGTGTAGTTTCGGCTGCCTAAGCTGCACATGTTTTTAACATTTTCTACAAAAACACGTGCAGTGGATATGTATAACTTTCTGCATAGAGCATTGTTTGGCCGTTTATACTGTGTATAAACGTTTAACAAGGCTTTTAAAGGGCATACATAAATGAAACAATTCTCTTGGTGTGAGGATTACCTAGCGCGTCGATCTGGAAGACATCTGTTCCTGCATCTGGTTGGAGGAAGTATACCACCCGTCCATTCAGTCCCTGGTCCGGATCTGTCGCCAGAACGTGCACCAACTGGACAGTGACAGGAATATAGCAAACGATGTCTTACAATAGGATTATGAATAAACGGCAGAACACTTGATATAAATAATTGATTACGATAAGGAAACTCAAGAAAGACAACCTGTTTTTTTTCCAGAGAGAAGAGTCTTTGATTGTCAAATAAAAAAGCAAAACAAATTGTTCTCTGTGATGTACACATGGGTATTCAGGGTACTCACCGCCTGACCAGGGGGACTGCTCTCTGTGATGTACACATGGGTATTCAGGGTACTCACCGCCTGACCGGGGGGACAGTTCTCTGTGATGTACACATGGGTATTCAGGGTACTCACCGCCTGACCAGGGGGACTGTTCTCTGTGATGTACACATGGGTATTCGGGGTACTCACCGCCTGACCAGGGGGACTGTTCTCTGTGATGTACACATGGGTATTCGGGGTACTCACCGCCTGACCAGGGGGACTGTTCTCTGTGATGTACACATGGGTATTCGGGGTACTCACCGCCTGACCAGGGGGACTGTTCTCTGTGATGTACACATGGGTATTCAGGGTACTCCCTGCTTGACTGGTCGAACTGTTCTCTGTGATGTACACATGGGTATTCGATGTACTCACCGCCTGACCAGGGGGACTGTTCTCTGCGATGTACACGATGTAGGGGACGTTGACAAACGTTGGGGCGTTGTCGTTAACGTCTGACACAGTGACGATAACTTGTGACGTGGAATTCAGTGGTTGGGAGCCGCCGTCCGTTGCCTGGTTCAAATATGATTGAGATAATGTCTGAACAAATTCAAAGAAGTCAGTCTTTGGACATGTTCTTGTATGCATACTGTTTCTATGACAAGGCTATAGTTAGTTCGTCTACTCACCATGACGGTCAGGACGTAGGTCGCTTGCGTCTCTCTGTCAAGGGACCCGTTTAGACGCAGCTGGCCTGACGTAGGGTCCAGGACAAAAACATCTTTTGGAAGATAAGAAAGTTCAGAATATAAGACACCCTCCTGGCAATGGTAATGTGAGTTTGTAGATTTACATGTGATTAACACCCAAGTGACAAATATGATAAAAGAACCAGGAACTCCATATTTGAACACGTTGGTAAGACTGAGTCAAAATACCTTTAATCTAAAAATCTTCCAGAAGAATCACGAGTATCATATTGACGTCAGTCACACACACAAATACGGGGAGCACGCACACACACACACACACACCCATTCCGCTCCAGTCAGATGTTTCTTCGGATGTCAGGCACATGTAACGGGATGATAACATGGTGACTATATATTATATATATGTGTGTGTGTTATTTGTGACACATGGTGTTGCATTTTATTCACCATAGGTAATAAACACTGCCAACGAATGGTCCTGCTTGCGCGTACCTGTTGCAGTGGTGAGAGTGTAAGTAACCCTGCCGTTCACGCCAGCGTCCACATCGGTGGCGGAGACTTGGGTCAGGTTCTGAGGAGTGGCGTCCTCTGAAATGGTAATCCTGTACACAGGCAGGGAGAAGGTGGGGACGTTGTCGTTCACGTCACTCAACGTCACCATTACCTGAAATAAATAATCAGAAGCGATTTTCTATGACAGGAATCATTAGATACAAAGGTCGGTATTTGGGTCAATATGTTTGTCAGTTCGTCCGTGCGTTTGTATGACTGTAGGCACGTGTATGATAGGTCTGATTCTTTGTGTGTCAATAGGCCCGTCGATACCGTTTTTTGAGAAAAGGGGTGGTATGTGAATGCAGATGTTTTTTGAAAAGGTGGTGCAGTTATAATGTATGGATTTAATTGTGTTTGTTAGACAAATAATAGTCACTAAATTGTTATTTTTGTTGGAAACATGTCACCAAATGACTTACTTACATTATTATAACAAGTCGACCAAATTGGTGTACCTTCCTCTGGATCCGCGTACACAGTACCTGCGGCATGGAATCTCTTATAATTGTCCCCATCTTATAGAGCTGTAGCCCTCTTCCCGAGGCAATGGAGTTAGTTGAGTGTCGAGGTCCAGTGGAAAGTCAGTTAACTCCCTTGCCTCGCGAAGATGAACTATATGTAAGATATTAGTTCATATCATCTATTCAAACTTTAGGTATACTGACCACTGCATAGGCTGTTCTCTCCGGCACCCTCCCGTCTCTGACCTGCACAGCGAACGAGTACCGCTGCCTCGTCTCTCTGTCCAGCACCTCCGTCGTCTTAATAGAACCCTGGAATTCAGACAGTGCTACAGTAAGACACCTACGAGAAGTATGTCGGATACAAGATACTCAACCTACACATGCGCCGGGCAAGACACTAGGCTTGTCTCGGACATACTGATGTCCACGGTCATACATCTGTAAGGGTTCAATGTAGGAAAGATGTGTTTCTTCACTCAACTCAGTTTTAAACCTACGATGAAGATAACATGAAAAGCCGATTTTGTCGGATTGAAAACTTGGAGACTGCTCCCTACACTTGTCGAATAAAACCGCATTTGAACATATACTAGTACCAAGATACCTGCGGTTTATAATAATAATAATAATTATAATTATAATAATAATAATAATAATACTTAAGTTGACACGTGCATGAATACTAGTATCTACATATGCTCATGGACATATTCCAACTTCGCAGACTACTTGTATGTTTTACTGTTGTGTTTCACGAAGCTGCATCATTGTAACAAATTAAACACACTTAACGGAGACAGTAACCTGAAGCCTGCGTGTTGAAATAAGTTATGGTTGTATTCGGAAATGTACGGAAATTCATTCCCAAGAGACGCTGTTTGAATCATAATAACAAATGGAAAAATTGTAGATTGAATGTTACTGACATTTCTTTTCTGGTGACAGGTTGAATTTCTTCACTCTGACATTGAAATCCGTGTCTATAAGAGGCAGAAGGCTTCTGATCTTGTGCAATATGTCGTTAGTCAAATACGTGAATCAAGTGAAGCGTGCAACATGCCATTAGGGCACTCGTATTCATGCCTTAGCTGCCCCAAAAATATAACTGTACCTACATAGAGTACCTTACACGACGTCACTATCAGCTGTAGTACAACGTCTTTGAGAAGGTGACATACCGTGTTTGCGTTGATCTTAAAATGGTCATCCGCCTGGCCACTTCCAATCATGCTGTAGGTCAAGGTCAACCCGGTTGCGTTTTTGGCACTTGCTTCCACATCACCGACTAGATAGTCTGACACGAGTAACATCTTGTATTAATAATAATAATAATAATAATAACAACAATAATATCCGATAATGATACTGGGTAACGTATGGAGCGCAAACTCCACACCACGTTTGATTTAATGTAGTTACAGTAGTTACAATGAAACATTCAAAACAATGTTGTCGTTCGTCTCACCTGCATTTTCCTCCTCTGGGATGGTGTAATTGTAGACGTTGTTGCTGAATGTGGGGGCACCGTCGTTAATTTCTTGAATAGATAAGTGCAAGGTCACGTTGCTGCTCCTCGGATTTGTCCCATGATCCTCTGCGACGATAGTAAGGTCAAAGGTCGCGTTATTAGAGAAATTCCCGGACAAGATGCCCCTCTGAAACAGCCTGTTTATCTCAATTTGTTCTTTTATCCGGACCAATCCGGTCTCGGGGTCAATATTAAACAGATCGCTGCCATTTCCGGTCAGACTCAGTGTCACTTTTCCGTTCTGCCCAATGTCATCGTCTCGGACTTGCGGAAGTGCTACGACGGTGCCGACGGGGGACTTTTCAAGGATGTTGGCGTAGATGGCGCTATTATTACAGACGTTGAGATGACAGAACATCGGGTCGTTGTCGTTGGCATCCAGAACGTGGACGTTGACAATAGTTGACGACACACAGGGAGGGGACCCTTCGTCAGCGGCATAAGCCTTGAACACGTAGTCAGGTGTAGTCTCCCGGTCCAAAGACGCTATGGTAACCAGACTTCCGTCTTCTGTCACCGTAAATATTCCTTGTGCAACTGTGGAGGGACAGTTCTAACTTTAAAACGATTCTTCACACGTGATTGCTTGTACATAAGTAAAGGGTGATAATAGAGATGGTGGTGGTTGTCTAATAGATACCAAATACTAGAGGGTCTGCAGCTCTACTGAATATATGTTTTACACTGGCAACTTGATGGGATCAAAGTGACGCGGGACGACGTTACACCCTGTTCAGATACAGAGTTAGATCTATGATGATATGTAACACTTAACCGTGTATAAAATCACTCACCAAAACATTGATAAATAATCAATTAATAGGCAAATATAACGCCAAGGTTTCAACCGAGATATCCTTCTTACAGCGACTTACAGGGATCACCCAACCAGCTTCAGTTCCACAGTCCATGTTGTGTACATGATTAAGGTTTTAGAAATACCACACCACGCACACATATTGGATCTGACAGTTTACACTGACTCAGAAAACTAAGACAAAAATGACATTTATATTTTGGCTGTATATATTTTAAAATCAGATCGAAATTCTGTGAGAACCTTTAGTGGCACAATTATTTGTTCAGCCCTGAAAAAAACATTTAGAACTTGTTCTTTCAGAGATTACAATCAACATTACAGTGCACCCACTGAAAAAGTCCCAGTTTAATCAATCAACGCTTCATCATCAACTTAATTAAATTTGAATATATTGCAAGTGGAAGAGATGCGATCCTTACTAATGAATTGTTTTGCTGTCGCACTAACACTCCAAAAGGAGGTAGAGTAACTGTTCAAATCATTTAAGATGAGAAATAGACGGGTGAGAGAAACATCAAAAACAAATAATATTCATTTTTTTCCAATCACCCTTCACATACCAGTATCGTTTGTGAAGAAGCGAAATTCTCCGTTAACACCAATGTCGGCGTCAGACGCCTGCAGCAGGCCAACAGTCACATTCCCAGCCTCGCCTTCCATGATGTCAAAGTGAACATTGGGGTTCGAGAAGACCGGACAGTTGTCGTTGGCGTCGTTCACGGTGATGTTGACAGTAGTGTAGCCTCTGTGTAAGCCGTCGGAGGCGGAGACGTTCAAGCTGTATTCGCTGGCCACTTCTCTGTCCAGTCCACCAGCAACCAGGATGGTGCCTTTGAAGGTGAATATTAAATTTGCATAAAATACTAATGCTTTTAAAGATATATATATTGCTGTTATTTTGTTTGCTTAATATCACCTCTGCTCTCATGTGCAAAGCGCTAGTGCATGTTAAAGTCGAGTCACTGAGGAGGCCATCAATATTACAGTATATGCACGCCGCTTTATAAGTGCAATAATCGTTAAACCCCATTTCACCTCACCTCACCTGTTCAAAACGGGAATCACGTAAGAAAAAAGTTGTCAGTGCGTCGCTATCGATTTCGACCAAACCAAGTACAACGAAATGACAGTCAACGATACCATTAAGAGAGTCTTTTATGTAGAATCTTGACTCGGCCCCGCTGACGACGGTGTATGTGACCCACGTGCCAACATCGCCATCAGTAGCTACAACCTCCCCGACGCTGAACGACAACGGCGCTGCCTCGGACACATTGAAGCTGTAGTGAGTCTGTCCGAAGACTGGCGTGACATCGTTGACGTCAGTGACTGCGACAGTGAAGTTGGCGACGGTGCGTCTGCCGTTGCCGTCATCGTCCACTGCAGCGACCTGGGGGTTACAACAACAAAAAGGTTACGCGGCGAGGTTCCTAATGATGGGTGGGTTAAGCGAAGAGCACATTACAGACAGGCATACTTTATTAAACGTGTCACATGAAGGTTAACAGCAGTAGAAACTAACAGCTGTAGTCCACAAGTCCTTGTAATGTTAACGTACAGCAAAAACATTAAAATGGCGAGTTTCTACTATGATACCTCAACTATTGGTCAGTTTGACAAGGACTACAGGACCAGTGTAAAGTTCTAACGCTGGTTTGCAACAGTAAATACATAATAATTAAACCCCCATTCAACAAGCCAACAATTGACTTACATGTAAGGGACACTGTGAAACATTATCATTTATTGATATGTCACATACTAAAAGTTGTAATAAATCATAGCTCCATAACCCTTTCCATACTCATAAGAAATATCTGCCAAAAGCAGAGTCGATTGTCTTTTTTTCATTATAAAAAATAGTACCCGTGTTTTGTACATGTCGTGAACAGTAGATGATAAAATATACGGCTCTGACGAAATTAAACCATTTAACAATTTCCCATAATCATTAAACGGAGGTACATGTATCTAAACGCTTCAGGAATTAATGCAGCTTGTGCTTATCGTCCTGTATGCCTCTTGCCCTAAACGAGGAACCAGGATGAAACGTCTTCGCATCTAATGCTTTTTCTGGAGTGTTACCTTCAGTTGATACTCTTGTGTTTTCTCCCTGTCGATGTTGTCGGTGTCGTTCCTGTAGTAGACGAACACGGTACCATTGACATCATCTATTCTGAAGGGAACACCTGCCGTCTCTAACTCATATCTGATCCCCGCGGTGCCATTGAGTCCGCTGTCGGGGTCGGTAGCTGATAGTGCCGGTACCTGCAGCAACCAACAGACATGTGCATGTTGCGATAACGACATTAAGATAGCATGTATAAATATGTATATGGTCGAGAATAAGATGCAAAGATTCCACACCCATCGCCAGTTTCCAGTATATGATATATTCGTTTAAATAAACTCTCTGAATATTAACGATTTATATATTGCAATGTGACGGTAATAAGCAGGTTATGTATTTGTGATCTCTCCAAAATCGTTGACAAAGCAGCTTTAAACTCACCAAATTATCTTCGAATCCTGTCTTTTTGTTAATTAGTTTACAGCATTTCATTATATAAATTCGCGATTAATCTAACATCATCGCTTACATGACAACACATATTGCCATACCAGTGTGACTTGAGTGTTGTTTATGGAGTTCTCGGTTACGCTGCCAGCATAGTCTTTCTTGACGAACGTGGGGCTGTTGTCGTTGATGTCCGTCACGTGTACATATACCGTGCAGGTGCTCTGAATAAACACAATAGATTCAATTACAAACATAAGTCACCATTGTTATCCATGCTACAATCTGAAAAAATGGTTCATTTTACTTTTGATGACAATAACAAGCTAACCATTAACTATTTCTCCACTGTTTGATGCGCCAGTGGTCATTTGTAGACGTTGGAATAGTTAACGATGACACTATAAAACGATGTTCGTGTAAATTCTTCAAATGGTGTAATTTCCAGGTTCACCAGGATGTTCCAAAACCCCAGCCATTCATATATTTATGTAACTTTACATAAATATCCCACAAATAATCCCTGTTACCGATAGCTGTCGTTCCTGGCCATCGTCATTCACTTGTAGCGTCAGTTGAATGATACGGTCACTTCCGGTCAAGGTATTCCCAAGCTCCTCTCGGTCCAGTGCGCGGTCAACCGTCAACACACCCTGCAGTAGGAATTCACCCGATAGAGTGGCGTGTTGACATTGAGCCGAAAGATATAAGGCTGGTCTGCATCGCGTAAAGGTGGCCTCACAAAAGGAAATTGGAAGTCCAAAAATTATGTCATATTCTGTTTTCCCCAAGCCTCAAAGGCCATTGATTGTTTCGGGCCTCAGTTTAACAAGGTGAAAGGTGAGATGAGGTGAAATGGGGTTTAACGTCGCGTTCAAGGTTATTGAACTTACATAGCAACGTGCATGCCAACTTTATAGTGCTAGCCTACTGAGATAACATAGATACCCCACTCATACACAGTATACAGACTCGAGTCGACCAGTCCTTGTTTTAGCCCCTTAATATCGATTGCCGGGCAGTGAAACATTAAGTACCATCATTTATCGTCTTTAGTTTTTTAAACAGGGGTGAATATCACGAGTTAAAACACACATTACAAAGAATTCGTTTAGTACTCGTGTTATTTGGCGAAAGTATGAAAGAGTTACTTCAAGCGTTGTAAAATTTTACCGACTTCTTATAGTTTTTTGTTTGTTTGTTGGTTGTTTACCGCCGCACTCAACAATATTCCAGCTATATGAAGGCGGTATGTAAATAATCGAGTCTTGACCAGACAATCCAGTGTTTGATTCATGGGCATCGATCTGCGCAAATGGGATACGATGACATGCATCAAGCAAGTTACCGAGCCTGACCACCCGATCCTGTTAGTCGCCTCTTACCTTAAGCATAGGGTGGTGAAGATCAATTCCAACCCGGATCTTGACGGGGATGAACCAATGTATATTTACTATTTAGAACGCTCTTGTACCCACCTGTTTCCCAAATGTCTGGATGCTGAAAGCGTTGTTGGAATTCCCACCAATAATGCTGAAGGTGAGGTGACTGTTGACACCGAGGTCAAGGTCCGATGCAGATAGTGACGTGGTGGCGTTTACTCCGTCCAGACCTGCACACGCCAACAACAATGAGTAAGATTGTGTTTTGGGTGAAATGATTGTTATTGTGTCTTGTGTTCAAATAGTGTCCTGATTATCTTACGTACCTTCCTCCACCTTGAAGACGTAGCTGCTGTTGTCAAACGTCGGCGTGTTGTCGTTGACGTCGCTAAGAGTGACGGTTAAGATCATGGTGCTCTGAAAGAAACGGCAATACAACATAACACTAGATGGACCCTCTATCAGCGCTTCGGTGTATTTAAGGGACCGGCCATTTGTAGAGGTGGTACTGTTAGCTAACAAACAAGGTGTAAGTGTATTGTTGGAATTATATAATTATTTTAAACGATTACATAAAGTTATTACAAAGTCTGAAATTCAGGTCATATATTTCAGTAATTTTAAGTAATAAGTACAGGTATGGACGTCGAATATGAGGAAGCAACAATTTAATATTCGGTGAGAGTAACATAACGAAGGTATTTACATTTCTGCCTCCAGTGTCTCGAACCATCAACTCAAGAACGTAGCTTGAAACATTCTCCCTGTCGAGTAGGCGAGTCACAGTTACCTCCCCTGAATATTCGTTCACCGCGAATGGATCTGAAGTGTAATAGATGGGATTTTTTTTTATCATGTCACACGAAACCTGGAACAAAAGCAAGCAGTTGGAAAAAAGGAGATCCATATCGCTTTCAAATCGTGAGAAACACGTGTGAAAATACCTGTGTTTGCACTGGTCAGCCAGTAGGTCAATCGGCCTTGGTCAGTGCTGTCCTCGTCAGTTGCGTTAACTTTAGTGATGACTTCACGAACGCCGATGTCCTGAGCGGAAACAAAAGAAATGACGAAAGACGATATCTAAATAAACCTTCGGATGTTTTGGAGTTATTTTGTGCTTTCTTTCGAGTTTCTTGTCGATTGACCGATCGCATGATAGATTGACCGACAAGGATTATCAACTGGATTGTTTTTAATTCACGCCGAATTAAATGTAAATAGAAATTAAGAAAACACTAAAGAAAATAGATATACGTCCCTTTGACGGCTACTCCAACGTTCAACGCTGACCCGACAAATGTAAAATATCCTAACTTATTGGTAAAGCTATGTTAAGCCTTCTTATTAAATTAACAAATCAATTGCAATTATTTCGAAGGCGCCTGAGATTTCTCTATGACGTTATGGTTACCATGGTAGCATCCACATCCTTGTACCGTTATGCTCAGTGTGTAGGAGTGTGTGCGACTGATTGTCTGTGTGTGTGTGCGTGTGTGTGTGTGTGTGTGTGTGCGCGTGTGTGTGTGTGTGTGTGTGTGTGTGTGTGTGTGTGTGTGTGTGTGTGTGTGTGTGTCGGTGTTTGTGTCTGTGCATGTGTGTGTGTGTGTGTGTGTGTGTGTGTGCGTGCGTGTGTGAACTACTAATATAACAAAAACTGTACACACAGTTACAGCGTTAAATTTGAACTCACTTCTGGGATAGTTATGTTCAGCTCCGAGATCTCAAACTGAGGGCTGTTGTCATTGACGTCTTTCACTTCCACGACAACGGTGGTAGAGACGTTGTTGCTTTCATCAGATGCTACAATCTGTGGAAAAGCAGAATGTTGTTAATAGTCACAAAAGAAAGTGTACCGAGTTTGTTTTTGTGTAATTGACAATTTGAAAAGAAAACCGTTTTGACGTTTAATCAGCTTAGTCAGCACTCAAAGAATCCTTCTGAAGTTCATTTTTTGGATATGATATCGCTAACTTAAGATATTTTCAATTGAAAATTAAACATATGGTAAAATCAACTGAGGTATAGATTTCTTCGCTCCTCAGCTTCCACCCATTGTCTTCATGTTCAGAGATGTAACTTAATAGTTCCATTTGTCAGGATGCAAGAACCACCTTGTTATCCTTTGTGTAAGACTGTGTGTCAAGATCAGGTTTCTCCCTTTTCACATTGTGTAGTTTCATAGTAAGAGAGTGCCCACCTGGAATGTGTATTTATCATGGAGCGACTCCAGCATTGTTTCTCTGTCGACTTCCCTTGCCAGTTTCACCGCGCCAGATGTCGCATTGACAGTAAAACTACCGTTAGACGTGTCTGTGGTGGCGTTGATCCTGTACCGAAGCTGAAAACAATATATCATTATGGTAATCAGTTCAGAAGTCCTTCAGAATAAGATGACATTCAAAGTATCAGTTAGCTCATTTAGGAATCATGGTTACTATAACGGTCATTTAATAACTCACTTCCGGCCTCGTTGCCATGGTTTCGTTTGTTATAACCGTAGGTATATTGACCTATACATTTCTCCTTTTCACTTAATGTGTAGGCGTATACACTGTTTTTATGTATCACGTGAAGACTCTTTGCGAATGCTTTAGTGCAGTTCTAGTTGTATACATGAGAGCTAAATGTGTCGCCACCTACACTTGTAAATGACGTACTACTGCAATGCCTTTGTGTGAAGGAATAAACACTTGGAAGTATTTGTATTGTGAGGATTGAGTGTTTGAATATTTTATGTCCGCTTCAATTCTTTTTCGGTTTCGATATGTGCAAAACACATTGAACATAAAAAAGGGTAAGTGAATAGTTACACGCACGTTGTTTAGGAGCTAGAGTGTGCGATATACTAGCCATTGGCTGTCTACGTTTGCTTTACCATAAAAAGGCTTTCATTGCATATATATTGGTGTGTTTGACGAGCAGTGGTTTACTTGTTTGAACATGCCCACACCACAGCCCCGACTGAGTATAGCAATTCGTTAACTTACTTTTAGAGGCCCTGACTCTTACCACTGTGTTTTCATCCGCGTCCTGGGCAGTGACAACGAGGGGCCCCGTGCTCCCCCTCCTCCACACTGTGTCCCCGGGGGTAGCTGACTCCAGTATCTCTCCGTCGTACTCGAACAGGGGGAACGTGGGGACGCTGTCCTGAACGTCAACCACCCTCACTACAACCTACGCGACATGCAATGCTTCACAACATGTTTGTATAAGATGTAAGAAACAGTTCAACAAAACGTAGCCCGACTAACTACAAAATACATTAAAGATAGCAAATACTCTGATTTTGAATAAGTGAATCAGGCGATGTTCTGATGTGTGTATGGATCTTTTCTGATCCTTGATGATACATGCCGGTGCTCAGCGGTACACAATTGTACACAGTGGTACATGTTGGTGGTGCTCAGTGTTATATGATTGTACACAGTGGTACATGCCGGTGCTCAGTGGTACACAATTGTACACAGTGGTACATGTTGGTGGTACTCAGTGTTATATGATTGTACACAGTGGTACATGTTGGTGGTATCAGTGGCATATGATTGTACACAGTGGTACATGTTGGTGGTGCTCAGTGGTATATGATTGTACACAGTGGTACATGTTGGTGGTACTCAGTGGTATATGATTGTACACAGTGGTACATGTTGGTGGTGCTCAGTGGTATATGATTGTACACAGTGGTACATGCTGGTGGTACTCAGTGGTATATGATTCTACACAGTGGTACATGCTGGTGGTACTCATTGGCATATGATTGAACACAGTGGTACATGTTGGTGGCACTCAGTGGTATATGATTGTACACAGTGGTACATGTTGGTGGTATCAGTGGTATATGATTGTACACAGTGGTACATGTTGGTTGTACTCAGTGGTATATGATTGTACATTGTGGTACATGTTGGTGGTACTCAGTGGTATATGATTGTACACAGAGGTACATGTTGGTGGTACTCAGTGGTATATGATTTACACAGTGGTACATGCTGGTGGTACGCAGTGGTATATGATTGTACATTGTGGTACATGCTGGTGGTACTCAGTGGTTTATGATTGTACACAGTGGTACATGCTGGTGGTACTCAGTGGTATATGATTGTACATTGTGGGACATGTTGGTGGTACGCAGTGGTATATGATTGTACACAGTGGTGCATGCTGGTGGTACTTAGTGGTATATGATTGTACATAGTCGTACATGCTGGTGGTACTCAGTGGTATGTGATTAACACAGTAGTAGATGCTGGTGGTACTCAGTGGTACATGATTTACACAGTGTTAAATGTTGGTACTCAGTGGTATATGATTGTACACAGAGGTACATGTTGTTGGTACTCAGTGTTATATGATTGTACACAGTGGTACATGTTGGTGGTACTCAGTGTTATATGATTGTACACAGTGTTACATGCTGGTGGTACTCAGTGGTATATGATTGTACACAGTGGTACATGCTGGTGGTACTCAGTGTTATATGATTGTACACAGTGTTACATGCTGGTGGTACTCAGTGGTATATGATTGTACACAGTGGTACATGCTGGTGGTACTCAGTGTTATATGATTGTACACAGTGTTACATGCTGGTGGTACTCAGTGGTATATGATTGTACACAGTGGTACATGCTGGTGGTACTCAGTGGTATATGATTGTACACAGTGGTACATGCTGGTGGTACTCAGTGGTATGTGATTGTACACAGTGGTACATGCTGGTGGTACTCAGTGTTATATGATTGTACACAGTGTTACATGCTGGTGGTACTCAGTGGTATATGATTGTACACAGTGTTACATGCTGGTGGTACTCAGTGGTATATGATTGTACACAGTGGTACATGCTGGTGGTACTCAGTGGTATATGATTGTACACAGTGGTACATGCTGGTGGTACTCAGTGGTATGTGATTGTACACAGTGGTACATGCTGGTGGTACTCAGTGTTATATGATTGTACACAGTGTTACATGCTGGTGGTACTCAGTGGTATATGATTGTACACAGTGGTACATGCTGGTGGTACTCAGTGGTATATGATTGTACACAGTGGTACATGCTGGTGGTACTCAGTTGTATGTGATTGTACATAGTGGTACATGCTGGTGGTACTTAGTGGTATATGATTGTACACAGTGGTACATGCTGGTGGTACTCAGTGGTATATGATTGTGCATAGTGGTACATGCTGGTGGTACTTAGTGGTACATGATTGTACATAGTGGTACATGCTGGTGGTACTCAGTGGTATATGGTTGTACACAGTTGTCCATGATGATGGTACTCAGTGGTACATGCTTGTACACAGTGGTACATGTTGGTACTCAGTTGTATATGATTGTACACAGTGGTACATGCTGGTACACATGACTAGTTTTACATAATTGTACATTGTTGTGCATGCCGGTACTCAGTGGTACATAACTGTGTACACTCAATGGTACATAACTCTGCATCACTTAGGGCTATCCTCCTACATCAAGTTACATTTTCAGTGGCGTCGAAACAAACCTACTCATCGCTTAACAGAAAAAATCGAGAAAACACGTAACTACCCAACACGAGAAGTCACTTAAACCACATATCTAAATGCATTACCAGCCATGATTACATGAAACAATGAAACTAGCCATGACAGCATCCCAAGTACCTGTGTCTGTGCCTGCTGAGTTCCGTTGCCCGCAACAACCAGCAGCGCATAGCGGTCTGTCTTCTCCCGGTCTAGACGCTCGGCTACAGTGACCACGCCCTGGTAGACATTCAACAGCATCAGCTTCATACGATAGATGATCCAACTTTAACGTAGTAATATTTGTCAGTATAATGATGAGTAATTTCCACAGTCATAACAAATTCCTGACGTAGCAGAACAAAAAAAAACTTAATTTGATAACAAGCAATAAAATGGACCTCCGTGTAAATTCTGGCTTAAACTCCAATGTTGTACCTCATGGTAGCCGTTAGGGCCTAATACAATGGAGATCGTGTTGTTACAACGTGTCATCTGGCTGATCGATTGTCATCGTACCCAGATGACGTAGATCTTCGTTAATACTAACCACTAAGGTATCTGGTCCAGACTCGATTACTAACACACCGCTGAGGTATAACTGTAATATTGATGTACAACGGCGTAAATGAACATGCGCTCACTGGTAGTTCAGAAAGGATTGCATGACACGTGATGGCAGGTGTAAACTAACAAAGCTGTATCAGACACGACTCTTTCTGAACTGGCAAACACAACAAGAGATTATCAAGGCTTCAAAAACTCGCCGATGTACCTGCAAACTGTCCTGATGACCGAGGACTCACTAACATCCAACTTACAGTAATCGTATTGATGGAGAACTTCTTCTCTGTATTCCCCTCTGTGATGTTGTAAGTGACGTCGCCATCGCTGACGGTGGTGTTGAGGTCGGCCACGACATAACCAACCGCTGCATCCTCCTTCACATCTTTAACGAGGAAAGCAGGACAGAAGAAGAACGTGACATCACTGGTCACTACAATGGTCAGCGCGGCCTCTGTACACAGGTCAGGGTGGTCAACATTACAGGCTTCTAACCCCAACACGTAGGATCCTACTGACAGAGAGGGGTCGGAGACAGTTAACGCCCCCGTTGAGTTCGCCAGCGAGAAGACGTGGGTATCGTTCAGAAGTCGGTACACCACTTCCGATGGACTATTCGTTATCGAGGTGATGTCCCTTGAGAACGCGGTCAGCCTAGATTTGTTACATGAGTTGGTCTTTACCATATACACAACAGGGAGTGGTAACGGCCATTGGGGAGCTTCTGGAATATCCAGGACAGTTATAATAACAGTACTTGTACTACTTTTGGGAGAATACGAGCTGTCCGTTGCTTGAACCATGAGGGTATAGGTATTTCTATGTTCATAATCCAGGCTTTTCTGGAGAGATATCTCTCCTGTTGTGGGTCCTACTGTAAACATACCGTCATTATTCCCAGATATGAAGGAATACTGAATATCACCTGACGATCCCCTGTCGACATCGTATGCTACCAGCCGACCGACCATTGTATCTATGGATGCATTCTCGGACACACTGAATGGAAACTCGGTCTTGTTGAACACAGGGGCGTTGTTGCTGTCTATTATAACAACGGTTAAAGTATCATCGGAGAATTTGGGAGGGATTCCGTGATCGCTGACGTGAATTCCTACATTGTAGTAATCTTGAACACTCCGGTCAAACTCTTCATCAACAATCAAAACACCGGAGGAGGCGTTGATGGCAAACTTCCCGTCCGTCCTGGTCAACCAATAGGTAAAACCGCTGTTGGATCTATCAGCGTCAGTTGCGTTAACGTTGGCTATCACCTGACCGACCACGGCGTTCTCGGGCACGGAGATGTTTCTTGGACCTATGGTCAGGACCGGGATATTGTCGTTGACGTCCATGATGGTGACTCTTGCTACAGCCTCAGCCACTCTGGCGCCATCCGTCACTGTCACGTTGGCAACGATGACGTTGGTATTACCGTCAGCGTCCAGGTTACCGTCTACAGACAATGTGCCGTCTGGACTGACAGCTATTCCTTGGCCGGGCGTCATGATTCCGAACTGCAGATTGCCATTAGGTGTATCCACGTCACGAGCAGTCAACTGAAATGTACAAATTGAGGCCATCTGTCAAATTACTAACGGATCTGTTACAAGGTAGCAGCGTAACCTGTAGCCTTCAAAATACTACCAAGAAGGTGAGGTGAGGTGAAATTGTGTTTAACGCGCGCGCGTGCGTGCGTGCGTGCGTGCGTGCGTGCGTGCGTGCGTGCGTGCGTGTGTGTTAGTCTGGACCACTGACGGTTTTATAGTGCTAGCCCACTGATATACCGTGCCGCAGGTTAACATGAATACCCCAGTGAGACTTCGAGCTCTTAATGCCGAGCGCCAGATAGGGTAATAACAAGTACCACCAAGTACCGTCATCTTTTGGTATGACGCGGCCGGGCATCGAACCCCGGACCTTCCGGTCTCCGAGCGGACGCTCTACCACTAGACCACGTAGGCGGTCACTACCAAGAAATCACTGAACATCGTAATTAACCTGTAAATATGATTAGTGAAGTATACAATTTAATTCAATGAAAACGACAAAACCCTTTCCATGTTCATAAGAATTCTCAGCTGAAAGCAAAGTCGATTGATACCATTAACATGTTTATTGATCACTATCAGATCAGATAAAAAAGGAGATCGTATCACACATACATGCAATGGCAAGTCAATTGTTCATTGGAAGAAAACACGGTACAAAAAAGATGGTTCGAGTCAAAATAGGGATTTGCGTCGGACGTCAAGTTTACCTTGAGGATAGATGTTCCGTTAGGTGAGTTTTCGTAGACGGTGCTTGTAAACTCCACCCTGTCAAACACAGGAGCGCTGTCATCAACGTCGACCACCGCGACACTGACGGTGGTGAAGCTCAGGCGAGGGGGACGTCCACCTTAATCACAGGCAACAATCTTGTTACACAAATAGCACGACATCAGACATGACCAGTACGGTGGATGCACGTCAGCTGACAGCTTTGTAAGAACAGCTTGAACAGACGATTACTGCTAACATGATCCGGGATATACAAGTTTAAACAGGCAAACTCCACAAAAACGATATATTATTGCCACTTTGCTCAAACGGATCCGCCCATTTAGAACTTCACAAATGGGGAACAGAATTCACCTTTCGAAAATTTATCCGTAAAGCAAGTAATTAAAAGAGAAACCTTAATTACGTGTACATCAATGTGTCTCCTGATGCCTCCAGATAAAATCAATCAGTATGTACTTGTAATGCCTCAAGATAAAACCAATCAGTATGTACTTGTAATGCCTCCAGATAAAACCAATCAGTGTGTACATGTAATGCCTCAAGATAAAACCAATCCGTATGTACTTGTAATGCCTCCAGATAAAACCAATCAGTATGTACTTGTAATGCCTCAAGATAAAACCAATCAGTATGTACTTGTAATGCCTCCAGATAAAACCAATCCGTATGTACTTGTAATGCCTCCAGATAAAACCAATCAGTATGTACTTGTAATGCCTCAAGATAAAACCAATCAGTATGTACTTGTAATGCCTCAAGATAAAACCAATCAGTATGTACTTGTAATGCCTCCAGATAAAACCAATCAGTATGTACTTGTAATGCCTCCAGATAAAACCAATCAGTATGTACATGTAATGCCTCCAGATAAAACCAATCAGTATGTACTTGTAATGCCTCAAGATAAAACCAATCAGTATGTACTTGTAATGCCTCCAGATAAAACCAATCAGTATGTACATGTATGTATGACTTGTTCGAAATGTGCCTCTTTTAAACCAGCAGTTCATGGGTACCCGGTAGGATGCTAACATTCTAGCGCCTCACCGGTAGCTTGGGTTATATACTCCCCGGGGAGCTGAGAATGATTATTGAGTGCATGCTGACCCATTGAAAGGGGTAATTATCTCTTGCATGGTATATAGCGTGTTTGTGCCAAAGCCGGGCATCCACTGATAATGTGTTGGACAGTCTCATTAAATTCATGGCACATTCTACATTTCATATTTACATTGACGGTTTCAAGCGGGAAGTGACTTGTCCTGAGCACCAAACCGAAAGCCTTCTGTTTCACTTATCAGTCAGGCCAGTCGCTTATCTTATCAAAACACTGCACATAAACCCGATGCAGTAGTCGTTCAGATAGCCGCTCCATGAAAAACTGAGTCTGGGCCGATTTCATATGGCACTTTCGTTTGGTTGACACACATTTCTGTACCGTCCAGCATTACAGAACCATCAACACTGACATGGAGATTATATCCCACATACTTGGCTCGTTTAGAAAACTGTGGAATGCCTTGTTTTCTTGACATGCTTCACAAGGGGCACATACATGTGTGCAAAAGTGCACAATACAATTCCATCCTGAAGAACCTCCACGTTAATCAAGCCACACCCTCACATCATGATTGGTAAATATTTAAGCGATTGATGATCTATTGTCTGACATGATTCTTCGTGTGAGGGGGTCAATATCGTGAATTTCTTGTTTCGGCCATTATTATTATTATTATTATTATTATTATTATTATTATTTTTATTTTTATTTATTTTTTATTTTTATTATTATTATTATTAACCCTTACATTTTTAAACAACGGTCGGGAAATGCTTCAATGAATTCACTAACCGTCTTCGGCTTTGACCAACAGTCTGTATTCTTTGATTGCTTCGTAGTCCAGTTGACCATCAAGAGTTATCTCCCCAGAGGAGTTATCGATTTTGAAAGTTTGATTTGTGTTCCCGCCTATGAGGCTAAACGACACATGCCCGTTCGGCCCACAGTCTGCGTCTTCGGCTTGGAGCTGTTGAGTAAGTCCCATAGGTTAAGTACGTGTATCTTATACCAACAATCCGTCGAGAGAAAACAACATTTCCTCATGAACACATTATTTCAGGAAGCTAACGGTGTGTTGGGATTGCATATGAAATAGTAGTGGCCTTCTCTTTCCATTCCCAGACATTTGGTAACACTTGGCAAGCGTCTGGCGATCAAACATTTCACAAATGTGGGATAAAAATAATTCTGTCAACTAATTTCTTTTGTTATTTTATCCAACGTACCATTTGTATGAGTCCACTCCATTAATTGCAAGAAATAGAAACGAATAATTGTATAATTATATATTCACAGTTCGACCACCGACACTACAGATCCGGAAAATATATCGCAAAGCAAGATTTTATAAACAGATAAAGAGGCCTAGTTTTAGTGAAAACCTCATTCCTAACGTAACAGTTATGTCACGAGTATGTGATATATGTTTGTAGTTGGTGTCGGTACACTGATGACGATCAACTGTTAACTCCCTTAGGATACCTTGCAGGAAAAAATATAGTAACAAAACAGACATCGCCCGGTAATGAAATTGTAAAATCTCTTGTTCAGATCTTCAAAATTTCTTAAGAATAAGATTCACTTACCGTTCCTATAGTCTCGCCTTTCGTGGTGTTCTCAAGCACGGTGAGGCCCTGTTTATTTATAAACACCGGCGTATACTCATTAACACTCAAGACGTTCACTGTAACGACGGTGTTTACAGTGTGAATGCCGTCACTGACGGAGACTTGAACGTCGAGGGAGTCGCTGCAGTTGAAGACGACAAGAGTTTTCAGGTCAACTCTATTTTGCAAGATGAACACTGGTAGAGAAGAAAGAATATTTAGTTGTGTCACACCATCGGGTAACATTGGTTGGATATGCACTCCATCTTATCCAAACAAGACCGTTTACTCCGATACCACGTGCACCCTGTGAAGATCTAACGACACCTCCAAAGGACATAATACTTATTGAAGGGGTACAAATGATGCCACATTCTAACATCGTCAACACACAATCGCACTCACCCGCCCCTCCCGACCTTCAGTTGCCCTCAACAACTAATTTTAGATATCGACGTTTACCAACTACAATTTCAACCGATAGTATTTTATCAAATTGAATGTTTAAGTCATTTTCTATGATCTACTAAAAATAACCCTGATAGTATAATTAAAAAAAATTGGATAGAAATATGTGATCCCCTATAGCTAAATGTCTCACACAAAAGTTTGTAAACACAGCCAACAACGGCTTTAAGTAAAGGTGGGTACATAGCACTATCTGCTATTTCAGTGTCTTTTAAAATGCATCACCATGCATCATTTTAGTGTATTTTTAATAGCACAGTGAAAACCCGATAATCCGGACACGGCTAAATGGGAAATCCTACAATCCGGACGTATATACAAAGGTACATTATGTGCATTCCAATGGGACCGGAATCAAATTAACGAAGCCAACTGTGTATAACATCAAATCAAATTCCCGTTAACATTTGACCTTCCTCCCGTACCTGAACAGCAACCAACGACAGTCGTGGTGCCCCAGACCTTTGTGAAACCCGTCCCTAGGGTAACCATACACACTTACACAATCGGAACACATTCCTAAATGTATGTTACAACGGAACGGGTCTTACGTTCAGTGTGGCTGATCAATGTGAAGGTCAGGTTCGTGTTGGTGTCGCGGTCAGTAGCGGACAACGTTCCCACGAATGACGCCTTTGGTGACGTCTCCGGGATGGAGAAGTTGTATGGTGTAGAGGTAAATACTGGCGGGTTGTCGTTGACGTCAACAATATCTACCACAACTTGACACGTACTGAAACAGACAGTTTGACATATTTTATTCAAGCCTTACCTTAAATTATTTCCTTATTATATTTACTAAAACAAATCAGCATTTTGAAACATTAACTGAGAGAGCTTTAACATTACGTTTTTAAAACAACAGACTTATCGTTGAACATGCAAACGAGGTAAAAGGAAAACGTTTTAAGAAACCGTCTTTTAAGAACAACGTATTTTAGTGTTAATGAAACTGCAAATGCATGCATAAATCTATAATCTTTGGTAAAAATAAATATTGCATCTAATAATAAGAAACAGGATTTTAAAACATCTGATGGATTCAAGAACCCACGCATCCTTTATTGAGCTGTGGCAGTCAAAGTTTGCTCAGTGTTCACTCTATATTACACTTCTTCTAGAGAGTTATCACCTCTACACGCAACTGGAAACTAGATCTGCGTTTAAAGAGGATGCAGCACAGACTAGGATCGCTTGATTCGAGTTCCGGTCAAATGAGTTTTGGGTGACGAATGTCACATCCTCATCTCCACATTAAAAGGGGGTAGTAGTTATGTTCTTCTCAAATCACAACATGATTAACAATATGACCTTGTAACTTTTAAGTTTGAGTTTCCAGCCATGGAGTGGGAGAGTACCTACCTTGACCTAGGGGGCGCGCCCTGGTCCCTCACGCGGACACTGAGCATGTAGGTGGTGATGGACTCGTAGTCCAGGCTGCCGGATACTGACACTTGTCCAGTGCTTGGGTCAACTTGGAACGGCTACAAAAATAGTTCATAACATGCATTGATTTACAATTTTCCGAATCAGTAACATTCATTTACTCACTGAAGAACTTTCAGGAATGACATTAAACAAACAGAAGACTTGGAGAGTGTAATATCCCGAGGAAACATCATGATTGTCATATTTTTAATTTAAAAAATGCGAAAAATATAAAAAAAATCTCATAAGTTCAAATTTTAGAAGAGCTACTCACAGCGTTCAATGGCTGAACAATGGCGTAATTCAAAACGGCATTGTTACCAGAGTCAATGTCTGTTGCGTTCGTGTTGCAGCCGAACGTCGTTCCTGACGTCGCGTTCTCGTAAACTGTGCATGTGTATACCGCTAAAACACAGATATAGGTATTTATAAACGGGTACGAGTACTTTGCATTGCAACATAGTTTGTATTTGTAACTGCTCACCTAATTTTGTCACAACACATACCATCTTCCCGAGGCAAAGGAGTTAACTGACAATAAAAGTCCATTTACCACCTGTGCCAAACTAGGCTGGAGTTATATTTAGGCTGGACATCGAAGGGGCATAACTCGTAATAGCCACTGATGGTGCTACGATTCCATCCTAGTTCAATACATACACTGAAACCCTTCACATCAATACAGACACTGTAACTCTTCATATTAATGCATATACTGAAACCCTTCACATCAATACAGACACTGTAACTCTTCACATCAATACAGACACTGTAACTCTTCATATTAATGCATATACTGAAACCCTTCACATCAATACAGACACTGTAACTCTTCATATTAATGCATATACTGAAACCCTTCACATCAATACAGACACTGTAACTCTTCACATCAATACAGACACTGTAACCCTTCATATTAATGCATATACTGAAACCCTTCACATCAATACAGACACTGTAACTCTTCATATTAATGCATATACTGAAACCCTTCACATCAATACAGACACTGTAACTCTTCACATCAATACAGACACTGTAACTCTTCATATTAATGCATATACTGAAACCCTTCACATCAATACAGACACTGTAACCCTTCATATTAATGCATATACTGAAACCCTTCATATCAATACAGACACTGTAACTCTTCACATCAATACCTTTACTGAAACCCTTCACATCAATACATTCACTGAAACCCTCAACATCAATACATATAGTAAAATCCTTCACATCAATACCTCTACTGAAACTATTCACATCAACACATATACTGAAACCCTTCACATAACACATATACTGAAACCCTTCACATCAACACATATACTGAAACCCTTAGCATCAACACACACACCGAAACCCTTTACTGAACCCCTTCACATTAACATATGAACTTATTTCAATCACTCATATGAAACTGGTGAAAGAATCATGATTATCATTAGACGACGTAATAATTAAAAAGGTGTGTGAAAGTATAGAAAGAATGGGTTACCTTGAATGACATTTTCGTATCAATTTTCTACTGTAATGTATTCGTTCTAAACGTTCATATTCGTGAGGAGATATTTGGAGAAACATGCAACTCACACTTGTCGAACGTAGGGGTGTTGTCATTGATGTCGTTGACGTAGATAGTAACTTGCGCAAAGTCAGTGCTGCTCGCGTCCGCCGTGTTACTGGCCTCGACCTTGTCAGAAAGTAAATGCAAAAGGTTGAAATACGGGTCGAGCAACATACAACGACAACAACATGTTCAGATTACAACACGGGTGACTGTCGTCTAAGGCGCCGCAATTCGCTGCGCAGAACTGGGTGCCATGGCCTGCCAGAAACCTATCATCGTAGGTTCGAATCCAAGATTCATCATGGTTATGTATTAAGCCTTGTCAGCGCCATGCCCGTTCTCGTTGAGTTCACCAAAGAGGTAACTATCAGCATCACACCTGCTATTCCACCAACATCAAGTTAACACGCCGTGAAGTTACTACTGTTCAAAGCGGCGTAAAACCAAATTCACTCACTCAAATGAAAGAAAAGATATGACAACGCTTCATACCGTAAAGTTGATCAGATGGACTGAAGATGGTGGGTCATAGTCGACGTCAGAGAAGATGTACACCTCCCCTGTGGTGGGGGAGAGGTAGATGCTGTCCCTGATGGCGACTTCTACCACGCTGTAGGTGATGCTGTTGAAGTTGCTGTCGGTGTCGGCGTCAGAGGCAAACACCCTGAAACGTAGCGCAGCTTTTACATGAAAACAAATGTTTAATGTGACAACACATGTTATGTCCTGCTGTGGCCGCTTTAACAAAAACTCGGATGATTGAGCTGTGTGTCTTTATTTATTTTTAACGCCACCCCCGACATATTCCAGATATGACGACTGCCTGTTTATAATATAATCTGGATCAGGTGAACCTGCGGTGGAAATCTAACGCAAGGGTGCTCGTGACCCATTACATCCCGATCTTCCTAGAGGGACGGAGTAAAAAACAGAACAAAACATGGATCGTGAAGTATCTATGGGACCCCTCAATCCGCTCATCCCCCAAAACAGAACTTGCAATTCATTAAGATTCCCCAGAAGAAACAAGCGAATTATGCTGAATAAATCATGCCCTATGTAAATGTATTGTATATATTTTGTGGTTATTCCGTAAGTGGAAAATGTTATGTACACATTTAGATCGTTTGTCTAATAAATATAGCTAGAACTATCACAGCCTAAACTAATGATGTACAAACCCTAAAGGCAATATATGATGTTTTTGTTGAAATATATACATGCACATGATTGATGCAATGATACTAGGGGGCACGGGTGGCCCAGTCGTCTAAGGCGCCGCGATTTGCTGTGCAGAGTTGTGTCCCTGGGCACGCCAGAAACCTATGATTGTGGGTTCGAATCCCGGTTCGATTATGTTTCTAGGTTTGTCAGCACCATACCCGTGCTCGTGGGTTTCACCGAAGAGGTAAACGTCTGAGACCTGCATCACTTCGGTCTTTCCTCCCACATTAAGCTGACACGCCGCGATGTTACTGGAATACTGTTCGAAGCGGCGTTAAACCAAACTCACTTACTCAATGATTCTAGAGTCCCATGCTTTACCTGAGTACCGGGTTGACAACTCGCCCTTCACTGATCGTGGTAGTGTAAACTGTCTGGTTCAACCGTGGGGGCTGGTTGTTCACATCCTGAGGACACAAAGTGACATACAACAGACATGTACAGTGAAACCCTGTTAATCCGGGTTGTACCGTTCCCAGTAAAATCCAGATTGACGATGGTACATTTTGTGTGTTTGTTTGTTGCTTAACGTTGCACTCAGCAAAACTCCAGATATATGACTGCTGTCTGTAATTAGTCAAGTCTGGACCAGACATCCAAGTGATTGATATCATGAGCATCAATCCTCGCAAATGAGATACGATGACATGCATCAACCAATTCAGTGAGCTTGACCACCCGATTCCGTGAGTCATGGGTTGCTGAAGACTTATTCTAACCCGGAGCTTCTAACCCGGAGATTTTTTCAACTCGCTGTCGGCAAACGCATGGAAGACCGTCAGTTTAGGAACTCAACATGCCGCGCGCCGTTTATGCATCTTTAGTGAATCCTGTCTCAGTCGCCGTATTTTGCTGTGCAGGGTTGCGTCCCTTTGGAACGCCTGAAACCTATGAGCGTGGGGTCGAAACCCATTTCGACCCGATTACATTTCTAGGTTTGTCAGCACCATGCCCGTCCTCGTGGATTTCACCATAGCGGTAAACGTCTAAGACTGGCATCACTTCCAGTTTTCCTCCAACATGAAGCTGACACGCCGTGATATAACTAAAATACTGTCCTAGCGGGGTTAAATCCAAATTACTCACTCATTCTAGTCAATTCTAGTAAAATTCTGGACATGCTTGAAACCAAATCACGGGAATCTTCGACTTCGTCTCCTGAACTTAACCATTGCCCGACTTTAAGGAGGCTAGATGTGTCTTGGTAATTGTCTAATTACATCCGGTCTGGTAATATCCGAAGTTGACATATATGAGCTTGTTTGTCACGGAAGAGGTCAGCAACGTTACTCACAGAAACATGTATGCTGACGGTGAGGGTGGCGTTGTCACAGCTGCTACAGCTGACGTACGGGCGGATGTTGTAAGCGGTGACGGTGACGTTGTAGTTGCCGACGTCAAGTGCCTGTGTAGCTCTGATGCTTCCATTCCTCATCACCTCGAACTTATCCGAGCCTCCAGTCATCATGTACTCAATAACCTTGTTGTCACCGGAGTCGGAGTCGTGCGCCTGCGTACACAAACATCAGTATGATGGTCATTCTCTGAACTGATGATTAATCTAAGTCGCCGAAACACTGCAACCTTGGGGACCAAAACACAACTATGATACCTGTATCAAATACATCACCATCGAAAAAACATTTCTTGTTTCATTTTAGCCCTAATCAAACATGGGTGTGTACTTTCTTTTGCCCGGGAGTGTATATTGGCACCAATGGAATAACAGTTGATGATGGTGGATATGATGACACGATGCTAATGAAAAGAGGGGAATAAATGAGAAAATGAAGAAAGGTAAAGCTACTTTAATCAGAATACATAAACTACATTGCATGCCAAATTATTCTAAACGTGATAAGACAAAAGTTTCACGCAAAGCTCTCACTGAAATGGATCCTAACATTGCGTTGTGAAAGTGGTTACTTTAATCAGTCACAGACTACTTTGTATCTGAAGGTGGTAAATTAAACTAAATCTTTAAACTTTTGATTTCACTGTTTTAAATCTTTATTTGTTGGATACTCCAAGTCACAGTTTAAAAAAATAATAGTGTTTTGAGGAGGGAGTTCAAATTTATATTTAAACCATTCTTAAGTGAATGTTTTTTATATATTTTTACACAAAAGATAACTTAAAGTGAAAAAAGAGTGGAAATAGTTATGCCCTGTATTTGTCAATCTAACCATTAGCGGACCGGATGACTTACCACAGCTGTGTAAAGGAAGCCGGGTTGAACGCCCTCGTTGACTGTTATGCTGTCAGCGGTCGACACAAAGATCGGGCTGTTATCATTGACGTCATTCACGACGACGGTGACGGTGACTGTGGTAGAACGAGCGGGGTCACCATGGTCCGCAGCGCTCACCAACAGTACGTGGTTAGTCTCGTTCTCATAATCGAGATCACGAAACGTGGTGATCTCCCCTGAACTGCTGTTGATTTGAAATGATGCTACTTGAGTTCTGTGAATGTAAAACATGGTATTGTGTCGACAATACACCAAGTATATAGGCCCTTCAACGTAAGTGTAGGGTAAGCACAAACTGTCGAACTTCTAGCAAAGGACATGTACATTATAGTGGGTAATAACATGATTGTTCTCAATTATATCAAATGGATTTAATGTGACGATATAAATACAACTGTCGGTGCAAGTATTAACATCTTTAAAACAGCGCAGCGTACATAGCTAGGAAGAAACGATTTGTGTACAAACTATATTTATCAGCTGTCTTTTTCATTTCACAATTCCATTGTGAAAACTGTACTTGTTTAGTTGTAAATACTTTCTGAGGGGGTATACTAAGTTCTTCTTTTGTAGATAACCTATGCCCAATCTATTTCATCATTGAATAAATCATTAAAACTAAACAACAAATCACATCATTATGTCTAATAATCAGAATATTCCACGATTGCCCTAAAATAAAGCAGCCATGTTATTATCAATATGTACGGAACAATGCCGTGAGAGTTGACAATCAATATTTGTGTGAATGGTTTGTAACAACATAACGGTTAACCTCAAACGGACCACAACTTACCCCTCCAGCAGGAGAGAATACGTTAAATCATGATTTGCTCCTATATCGGCATCTGTTGCCTGGAAGAAGATAAAAACAATACTTTATTCAATCGCTTCTTGATAGTTGGATAAATATTAACATGAATTCGTCTTATTCGACATATGCAAGTTACCTACATGGAAAATAATTACCCGTTCCTTAACCTATCAAGAGCTAGTGTGTTAGTGTCCGGTGAGATCCTACTATATCCATTCCGAGTAGGGTATGACGGTAGCGGGGTCTACGGTGTTTTACTGAGTGAAATTGTACATATACTGGAACGAAAGTGGAATGGACACAACCATTCGGCTCATATCGTCCCGTACCGTCTTCAGAAGGTACAAAGATTTACGTCTCAGTGACACGTTTCAGCGGACTTTCAGCGTGGTAACTCAGAGAGTGAACAGGGACAATTGTGACATTTTGATGTCATGGTATCCGAACAGGCCTGTCAAACAACTTGATTGTATAACACGAAAGCTGGCTAATGAGAAAGCTAGATTATTTAAAGAGTAAATGAATATAAGTCAGTAATTCGGTTCGTGCATTATGGACGTAGAGGACTATCCCTCCCCAAACTCATATAAACAAACGCCAAGTCTTACCCCCACTCGCCCAATGTGCTGGCCTGCTCCTATGTCCTCAGACACAGGGAACGTGTAGGAGGTGTTGCCGAACTTGGGACTGTTGTCGTTCACGTCTCCAACCGTTATAACGACCGTAGCGTTTGAACTCTGGAGAAGCAAACATACTTACATACCAGCCATTTAATATTCCTGGGTAGGGGTAGGGTATCGGGGTGGGGTTGGTGACTGTTTGCTTGGAATTTCTTTTAAAAATTCATTTGTTCCAGAAAATGATAGAAATAGTAACTTGGCTTCTTAACTGTTCACTGGATATGCCTGTTGTTTGACAAGATGGGTTGTGGTTCCCCTTATTGTTGTTTACTTCCTTTCAGAGAGAAACATTGTGTGTATTTAAACAGTGATAATATTGTGTCTCACAAAATCCTATGCAATGCAGTTAGTAGACACGTCATCTCGTGTATATTGCTATGTTCTATACGAACAGCATATATAGACTATATAAACAATATACTGATCATATAAGCTGTTTCGTGTTATTAACGGTCAAATTGTTATTTTTCTGAAATATTACATCATGCCTTTTCAGGGCAATCTACACTTTGCGTTATCACATACTTTATGTCCATCGGATGCTTGCACAGTGAGGGTATACAGGTCATGTGACTCCCTGTCCAGGATCTTGACCAATGTTAGCACTCCACTTAAAATAACACAGTAAATATTACATCGCAAATAAACAGCCACATCATTTTCAAAATGCTCCCGTCTATTTGATAAAATACTGAATAAACACTATATTTTGTTTAGGGGATGAAAAACTAAATCTATTCGCGAAAATGCTGAAAATAAAACATTTCGTCCTCGAGTTTTACAAACAGAAAAACATTCATTGAATATGCCCTATAATTTAAAAAATAATATGTTTTGAGACCCTCGAAAAAGTGTTTGTCTCCTCCATATATATACAAAATTGTATGCCCAGAAAAGATGCACGTACCTGTTTGAGTCCAAGCTGAATGTGTTGTCTCCGTCTCCGCTGATCACGGTGTAGGTGACGCTGTCACCACTATCGCCGTCACTAGCCTGCCAAGAAAATATACCAGTCGGATTAGCAAAAATTCTATTTATTGAAATAAAACATTTTTAATTTACCATCCATTTTAACGAAGAAAATATCAACATACAATGTATAAAATATCATATATTTTACAAAAGAGACCTCGATTCTCCAAACTGGTACAGTATGGTAAAATGTTGTCCAATGCCGCATTCTCGCGATCTCTGATCTGCACAACATTTATGAACTATAGCTCTGTCAAAACATGTTGCAACTATCTAATGCCCTTACACGGTTCCTTGAGTGTCTTTAATACTCACAACAATCTGCATAAGTAAAGAGTTTATTGGTGTATCTTCAGGAACTGTGCGGTTGTACGTCGGAGAGTCAAACACGGGGGCGTATAGGTCCACGTCATTGATGACAACAGCCACGCTGACTACAGACGTTCTGAAATACATTAATGCCAAAGGACACGGGGCATAACACGCGGAACACTATCACATGGGTGAACAAGTAGAAGACAGTGAGAACTAGCATCACAATGGAAATAGCACCTGAAGTTAAACGGGTGCTGGGCTTTGAATAACTGGTGGACCAGCAAAGTTTGATTCACGTCGTTCAGCCCACACCAAGTCTGTTACACCCCCCCAGACTGGACTGGCAGGTAGCAGACTGAGGAACCTCGTTAAGGCCCTCTAAACTATATAATATAGTATTGTGTCTTGTTCCTGCTGCACACTGCCAGGTTTGTTTCTGGTACTTCACAGATAGCTGGTAACTCTAACCACACTTCAGTGATATAGCGCATGTACCTTCTTGAAAAGGTATTTACAAATGAGCAAATAATGGATTGATTGAAATCTCTATAAGACAGAAAACTCATAGAACATGATTCAAATCTCGCTCGACTATGTCAAACCCCGAGAGAAACAATCAATACTAATGTATTATATGTTGATAAACACACTGAATTCATTGTGTCGGCTCTGTGTATACGTACAACTAGTCCCACGAAGCTTAACACTGAAACACGTAAATACCTTCTATGTGAAAGGGGGCCTTGGTCCTCCGCTGTAATTGCCAAATACACTTGTCCGACATTTTCATCTCCTAGTGTAACGTTCACGGTTATCTCCCCTGTGTCTGGGTCAAGTTTGAATATAGGTGACGTTATATGCTGGATGGAATATTTAACAATTCCATTGTTCCCTGCATCAGCATCCGTAGCGTTTACCTGTAATCAAAGGTATGTCAGTCAGTTGTTACATTTGGTATAGAATCCGTCGTGATTTCGATTTATAATAGTTCCCCAGCCATGCTGGTCGTAAGAGGCGACTAACGGGATCGGGTCAGACTCGCTGACTTGGCTGATACATGTCATCGTATTCCAATCGCGTACATCGAAGCTCATGTTGTCAATCGCTGGATTGTTTTGTCCAGACCAGATTATTTACAAACAACCATCATATGGGTGAAATATTGCTGACAAGGGGAACAACACATTTTGTGTGAGTGATAAGTAAAACAGATTAGAAATATATCGAATAACTATAGATTCATTATGGATAGCGGGCACCCGAGCATTTCAGTTATGTTCGACGATAACTGCTTCTGGTAAGGTTAGGACATGTCTTCAAACATTTAAACCATAACAAAGGCATAACGATTATTAGCATTACTTTTTACTTTGTCTTTTTATAATAGTTCATCTTAAAGATGCAAAGTGTGAATGTATACACCCGACAACAAACAGTTAATCATCTGCTGAATTTCAATACATTTATGCCCGACCTACCCAGCCGACAATTTTGCCGATGGTGTCGTTTTTGTCGATGGAGAAGCTGTAGGTGGGGCTGTCGAAGGTGGGGCTATTGTCGTTGACGTCTTCCACCGTGATTATCAAGGTGCTGTTGCCGCTCCTCAACCTTTCAACAGTGAACACCTCCTCGGCGTATATCTAAAGACAATAATAACCATGATGTATATTAATAATAATGCTTCATGTTAATCGTATCGGGCCGTATATGAATATGTTATAGGGTGTATTGCGAGATGTAATCAAATACACAACACCTATAACCTATGTTTTGACAATAATAAGGGCTGAAGTATAGATCTTGTTAATAACCTTACATTTACACCTGTGTATCGTATCTCTTCTGAAAGCTGATTGGTCAATTGTAACTTCATTCTCCATTCTGTCATGAATGGATCCCTGGATCCTTTCGCTACTACAGATTTGTTGGGGAAGTAACACCCCCAGCCTTATGGGTATCATGACAGAACTTCTCCCGCCCATGGGTGTCATTTGATTGCACGGCTATTTTCTGATTGGACTCAAACTGGACTCAAAGGGAAGCTAGTGTAGCGAGTGGGTCAAATATATTCATCACAATAGAATAGAATACAGTGCAAAATCGAATATGACATTATTTATGACGTCACGTTTTAGTAACATTACGTCATCCGGTCTACAGATTGACGTTCTTTACAATTTCTATATACATGTATAATATGTATAATTGCAAACTGAAAAATTATAAGGCTTTATAAATTTCATCACGTTATGTCAGCTTAATGTGAACGCCCAAAGGGATGCAGGTCCAACCTTTTGTTTACCACTCTCTAGAATGGTTGCGACACTGACAGATCAATGGTCACAACTGGCACAAATCTTAGATTCGATCCTATGTCAATGATTGCAACAAGGCTCACCTCCAGAACATATTGGGCCTGTTTCTCCCTGTCGATGTTGGCCCCTGTTCGCACTCGCACCATACCGATGTCTCCCTCCGTGTCGACCTCAAAGGGCACTGAAGTGTTGGTGAAGTGGTAGGCGAAGGCGGCGTTGAAACCCTGTAATAGTACAGTCAATGACATCGTCTACAGTTTAATGACACGCTGCTTTGATCTTGATATTTTTGTCTACCCCAGACACACACAGTGGGGATTCACCAATGCTGGTCGTAAGAGGCGATCAAATGGGTCGGGTGGGCAGGTCCAGTAACATGGTTGACTGTGCCCCGACGGAGAGGGTCGTGGCTCATGATATCAGTTACTCGATTGTCTGATGGAAGTCGGTTATTTACAGGCCGAGTATCGAGTATGGCGTAAAACAAGAAACAAAAAACAACAACAACAAAATATACAATCCAGACACACATATCTACTATAGTCTCTGGGAGATGAAAGGACGTGTTCTCTGTATTCTTTTAATGGATGGGTCCATGGACCACGATCAAGCACGAGTGATCAAAAGACTTGTGGAAACATTACTGTACATGGATGTCCGACAATGGTAATTTCCTTACGAATATGCAACAAGAACCAGGTGAGCTATACTCACAAATAGGTGAAGCAAACACCTTATCAGCAAGCGGTTGCATGAATAGTTACTGTTATTTGTCAACCGGGTATATACAAGTTGGAGCTCCCCATATAACGATTTCTTATTACTGACAGTAAGTTTCCCATTCATTAAATATATAGCACTTCACTTATATGTATTTCAATATCCTATCCATCATACATGAAATTGGTTACGTATAATTTGTTCTGCACGGTATATCATGCTTTAGTATCCGTACTAAAACCTTTTTAAGCTTAGTGGTATATACGCTGCTTTTCAGCCGTGAACGCGTTACTTACGTAGTCGTCATCTGTGGCGTTGACGCCGATGACTACGGTGCCGGGAAGGGAGTTTTCCGTCAGACTGGCTGTATACGATGACGATGACATCACAGGAGCGTGGTCATTGACGTCTATTACAGTCACCAGCACAACAGCGTCGTCGTAACGTTCTTCTGGTCGATCGGTTTGAAACGCCTAGGTTAAATAAAAATATATATACTGACCAACAAAAGTTTCCGTGACATGAATAAGATTTAATGCAAAGTTATATTTTTTACCAAATCTGAAACAATTTCGGTTTGCAACAGATAAAAGACTCCTGTAACTGTTCAAATGGTTTAATTTGCCATACTGACTTCAATAAATGCGTGATTTCATAAAAAACAAAAAACATGAACATGCCAAAATGTCAATTTACAAATCAGTAGCATGTGTGTCCACCTCTGGTTGCGAAGCAAGCAACACATCTTCGGCTCTTCGCACAAAGTCCTGTGGGATATCTGTCCATATCTGCTGGAGCATGTTTCGAAGTTCCGGGAGTGTCTGTGGAACACGTGGTTGACGTCGAAAGCGCCGATCCATCTCATCCTACATGTGCTCGATTGGTGAGAGATCAGGGGAGCGAGCCGGCCAGGGGATGACATTCACGATGTTTTGTTGAAGGGAATCCTGAACAAGTCGAGCAATATGAGGTCGGGCGTTGTCATGTTGAAAGGTAATGCCTTGGACATGACGACGTAAAAACGGTAGAACAACAGGGCCGATGATGTCGTCGCGGCAGCGCTGTCCATTCAGATTTCCCTCTACCACTATCAAACGGGTCCTCTGTCTTGCTGTAATCCCAGCCCATACCATAACGCTGCCGCCCCCGAACCGATCTTCTTCCATGACACAATGATTGACGTAACGTCCACCTCGACATCTCGACACTCGAATCCATCCATCGCTGTGGCTGAGGTGAAAACGAGACTCGTCGGTGAATAGAACTTGTTCCCAATGCATGGCCGTCCAGCGTAGACGCTGTCTGCACCACTTTAGACGTGCTTGACGGTGGTTTCCCGTCAAAATGGGACGTCTGTCGGGTCTTCTAGCGACAATCCCTGCACATCTGAGGCGACGACGTACGGTTTGTGAAGATATTGGTCGAAAGCCAGTGATGCTTCTTGCAGTCACTGTTGCTGGCTGAAATCGATTTCGTAGGTGTGTTGTTCGAATCCAGTTGTCTTGTCGATTATTGGTTATGCGTGGCCTGCCACGTCGAGGATGGTCTCTGACTGCATTCATCTGTTGCCAAAGTTGCCATAAACACCAAATTTTGTTTCTGTGAACGTTAAATTGTCTTGCAACATCACGTTGACTCGATCCTGCTTCAAGCATACCAATGGCTCGCAGACGCTCATTTTCGGACAGGCCTGGCTTTTCGTAATGTTGAATAATTGGGTAATTGTGTTGTTTTTTTGAGTGGTTGTTGTCAGCATATGGAATCCCGTTTACGCACATGATTTTATACCCATTCTTGGGTAGTGAAATGCATGGGGCTTGCATAAAAGTCAACTTTTGCATGGAATGCATGCTTTTCTGAAGCAGTTGCGTTTTTGTGACTTCATTCCATACATGTACTACAATATTGAAAACCAAACTTTACTTTGATGTTGATGGTATATGCATACTAATTGTTCCCTACCTTGATGTTGATGGTATATGCATACTAATTGTTCCCTACCTTGATGTTGATGGTATATGCATACTAATTGTTCCCTACCTTGATGTTGATGGTATATGCATACTAATTGTACCCTACCTTGATGTTGATGGTATATGCATACTAATTGTTCCCTACCTTGATGTTGATGGTATATGCATACTAATTGTTCCCTACCTTGATGTTGATGGTGTATGTGGACATTTGTTCCCTACCTTGATGTTGATGGTATATGTGGACCAATTGTTCCCTACCTTGATGTTGATGGTATATGTGGACCAATTGTTCCCTACCTTGGTGTTGATGGTATATGTGGACTCATTGTTCCCTACCTTGATGTTGATGGTATATGTTGACCAATTATTCCCTACCTTGATGTTGATGGTACATGTTGACTAATTGTTCCCTACCTTGATGGTGATGGTATATGTTGACCAATTGTTCCCTACCTTGAAGTTGGTGGTATATGTGGACTAATTGTTCCCTTCCTTGATGGTGATGGTATATGTTGACCAATTGTTCCCTACCTTGATGTTGATGGTATATGTGGACTAATTGTTCCCTACCTTGATGGTGATGGTATATGTGGACCAATTGTTCCCTACCTTGAAGTTGGTGGTATATGTGGACTAATTGATCCCTACATTAATGTTGATGGTATATGTGGACTATTTGTTCCCTACCTTTATGTTGACGGAATATGTGGACTAATTGTTCCCTACCTTGATGGTGATGGTATATGTTGACCAATTGTTCCCTACCTTGAAGTTGATGGTATATGTTGACTAATTGATCCCTACCTTGATGTTGATGGAACATGTGGACTAATTGTTTCCCACCTTGATGTTGATGGTATATGTTGACTAATTGTTCCCTACCTTGAAGTTGATGGTATATGTGGACTAATTGTTCCCTACCTTGATGTTGATGGTATATGTGGACTAATTGTTCCCTACCTTGGTGTTGATGGTATATGTTGACTAATTGTTCCCTACCTTGATGTTGATGGTATATGTGGTCTCTGGTTGTAGGACTCCGGTTACCATCAGGCTTCCATTGTTGAGTATTGAGAACGGATTGCCTGGCAACGCTGTGAAGAATAACACAGAGTTAATTTGGGTTAACGCCGCTTTTAAAAGCAATTCCAACTTATGTTGGGGACCCGGATTAGAATAGGTTTGATATAAGAAAGGAATCGGGTGGGCAAACTCGATGACTTGTCTGATTGCCAGCGTGTCATCGCATCCCGACGTCGTGGAGTGCTGCTCATAATATCAATCACTTGTTTGTTTGACCCGAGACTGGTCTTCAGGTTTACATGTCTTTGTAATATAGCTGGACTATTGCTGACTGTTAGACTTTATATATAATCTGTAGTTTTGTCTTTTTTATTGAGAGAAAACAACCAACGCTGTCTCTGAAAATGATTTAACGAATGCCCCCATGATACGCAAATAGTAGCATGGGTATATGCATTTCCTGGGATTTTTTCTAACCTATTCGCTACAGCCTTTGAGTTCAATGTAAATATAGGCCCCGACAGCCCATGTACGTGACTTTGTAGGTAGCGTGGCATCGTTATCGGACGACGTGAACGTTGCTCGCAATATTAACCACGGGTTTGTGAGACAAAATTCGATTATTTTCAGACCGCCGTCATATAGCTTGAATATGGTGGTGTACGGCGTTACGCAACAAACACATAAGTAACCCCGTTTGTTCAATGACAGTTTCAATGATTACATGTGTTGTGATGCTGGACATACCGTCAGTGATGTTGTAGTCTATTGTTGCAGACACCCCCGTGTCCTCGTCCTTGGCTCGTATAGCCACATCCAGAACAAAGTCTCGGTAGGTCTGCAACAGAACACACAGCTCAGTACTCATATACAGTTTCTTTTTTCTTTCTTTCTTTCTTTGACGCCGCACTCAGCAATATTCCAGAGGCTAATGACGGCTGTCTGTAAATAACGCGGATGCACCGGTGTGTGGCTGCTTCTACTAGTCCGGACTGATGCCGATTTTATAGTCCTAGCCCACAGAGATACCATGCCGCAGGTTAACATGAATACCCCACTCAGACATAGTATACTGACTTCGAGCCGAACAGTACTTGTTTCAGCCCTTTATGCCGAGCGTCAGGCAAGGCAACAACAAGTACCATCTTTTAACGTCATTTGAAATGACGCGATTGGGGATCGAACTCCGAAACTACCCCATGTCCACGGATGTGGTTTTCCTGAGTGCTTTAGGTTCCAGGTACATTGGAGTATGGAAATTCCGACCTACCCCTTCGTTGATGGTGGCATTATACAGCGGGTGCTCGAATCTCGGGTTGAGGTCGTCTCCGTCCAGGACATTTATCATTATCAGGGCAGTACTATTGAGCCCGTTAAGTGTATTTTCCTGAAACACATTCACAGTACAACTGAAACAGACAACCCTTCCACAAAATCATATTATAGTGATACAACATGTAGGATGTGTCATAAAATATGTACATGGATACTTACATTGAAACAGACAGACCCTTTCACCCCAATGTCTAAATAACTTTACGTTGCAACTGGTATTGTATCCGAGAACAGTACAGAACAGGCACTGCGCACCGACACATTAAACATGTTGGCAAAACGAACATCAAACTCATTCAAATCAGATGTTAATGCTCTCTACCGCTACGTGAAGATTTGAGGACAAACTGTCAGATCTTATAAATGGGTTAAATATTATCTAAAAGGGACAGACCATATAATGCAGGGACGTCATATTTTAAAGACCGCTGCGGCACTACTACAGTTCGCCTTTGCATTGGCAATATGTAACAAGGGAATTAATTCCCTTTTTGTTTGAAATAGAACCCTGTATGTTTGATGTTTTGACTAGATTTGATTTGAGTCCATAATTCATGGCTTCACCGCTTACATCATGTCGTTAGAGAACTCCTATACACACAGGTTCCGCCCAACAGACATCCAGAAAAGAACAATGAGATGTTTATTTCTATTTAATACACGTGTCCTACTTTCGCTGTTATAGTGACGTTGTACTGCTTGCTGCCCGAGAAGTCAAAGTCAAGTCGTTGTAATGTCACAAGTTCCGTTCCAAATGTGTTCAATCCAAAAAGCGGTGGATTCTGAAATGAATTAGTGACTTTGTAAGTTCTCGATATAAAAAGAGACTAAAACAATAAATGTGACTTATTTCTCTACGAGAACGATTTTATAACACCTTTCAGCATATGAATAATACGGATAACACAAACTGGAGCTGTGTACTGATAGTATTATCATTAATAGCATCATTCTCATTTAATCGCAAATGTTAACCGCCCGTTATCAGGTACAGTTTATATTATTTACACGTTCATATCCAACCCGTAACCGAGTTATTCTGATTGTACAGTTTGAATAAAAAACACGAAAGACATTGGTGAAACCATTGGTAAGGTGAAACCCCGGCAATTCTGAAAACCCACCATCTGGGTGATGACTAATGGTAGACGCCTGTTTACAACAAGGGACACCACTCCGTTTGTTGAACTTTCAATCCGCGAATTAATTTTGTTAATCCGGAAAATTCAAATTCGTCAGTGCCGCCCGAATGAGCGGAGTTTCAGTGTGTTATGGAAGTCTCACCTGGTTGTGTGACAGGGAGTAGTAAATGCGGGTTGGGGTGATGTCCGGGTCGGTGGCAAGGCCCGATAAGGTGAACACTGTAGTATTTGGCAGTGTCATCTGAAACAGTAGTTAGAGATTACAAAATGCATTTTCGTTATATATCTTAGGTACTTTATACTATTTTAGGGTTGCACAACATATAAAATGAATCGAAATATATATACCATGCCAAAAAAGTAGGGAATATTTTGTTTTGAGGTGGAACTACAGGAAAGTACGCCAATGTCTGGCAATGTAAGTGATTTATGTGGCAAGACCATGTCCGACGAAATCAAGGCAAAACACACCATTGTGACTGTCATGAAGTACGTGACCTCGGACAGCACGTGCAAGGGGTGGTATGCCAGATTTACTCTTGTTGTGAGCAGACGAGTATTGTTTTCTTGGAAACAAACGTGCAGAGACACTTTGGGAAACACCTATAATCATTCAAGCAACAGCATTGATCATGCGACGTTTGCAACGTGCTGAACGTTAACGTGTCATAGGCATGTTACAGGCGAGAACACGTCAGAGAATTGCTGCCCAAACGCTGCATGTTTTTCAGTCTTTGATCAGCAGATTGTGGCCCTGATACCAACAAACATATAACGTCGATGACGTCGAAGGGCAACAACTCCAGCCCAGGACAGATTAGTCAGGACAGAACGGTAGCATAACGGAATCGGTTGCAAACTGCCAATCAGAGATGGTACCGGTTGCAACAGGCAGCTGGTGTAAGAGTACATGCCCAGACGATGCGAAATCGTCTACAGTGATGACATTTGCGTGCAAGGCGTCTATGTGTCATCCCACAACTTATTGCACTCATTATCATTCAACTCATTTGACTCAGAGGCGTCAGTGGTGTAGGAACGTCAGCACTGGGATAATCGACATTGGGCTTATGTCATGTTTTCTGGCGAATCGATCGCGAGGTTCACTCTCGACCTCCATGACCGAAGGAATCGAGTTTGGAGACGTCCTAATGAGCGTTTATGGACGTTAACGTCTAACGGCATGATCGCCTTGGGGGTGGGTCCATACTGGTATGGGGTGGTATCACAATGACTGGCCAAACTGTGCTCCATATTGTCCATGGCAGAATCAAGGTCAATACCTCGGGACAACATCATTTCACCACTGGTGTCATTTGCACAACGTGCTGGGCAACGTTTCATCGTTCAAGATGATACTGCACGAACTCATCTTGCCAGGATTGTAACCCAATGCCTCAAACAGCAAAACATCGATGTCATGCCATGGCAAGCACTCAGTCCAGACCTTTCCCCCTTCAAACACGTCTGTGACTTCATTGGCAGACGTGTACGTCAACGTCAAAATCCACAGATCCCCTCCTTCCCAGCAGATATGATATCATTACCTTTTCCCCATACCATATAGATCAGAAGATTTGTCTGGATGATTCCCACTATCCCCTATATTTCTGGCATAATATATTTAGAACGCAGGTGTTGTTTTAAGCCGCAGTCACCAGTATTCCAGTTCTATCATGGCGGACTATTGACGGTGATACACAGACGGATCACACATTGTGAAAACACGATCCCCATTTCCGTCGGCTGTTAGACAATTAAAAGATGCAAGGGACCTGTCCTCAAAAGCGAAGTAACTCGTTCTTACCTCACTGACATTAACTGTATAGATGTTTTGTCCAAACTTCGGAGGATATTCGTTGACGTCTGCAACCAACACTGTAAAATCGCTCCTTATACCCTATGGAAGAAAGAACAGTAATTGTTATCACCAAAATCCAAGTACAAATTTCAAGATGATCTGGCCAAAATGTAATGTTAGATTCATTCTTTGACTAAACACTTACCCTTGGTGTCCGGGGCCCTGTACAGGTGAGCTGTCCAGTAATTTGACTGACCTGAAACAGGACTTTCTCCGTAATTTAAAATTCTAATAAAATATACATATAGAACAGTTCAGGAAGAGCTGATTGAATGGTTCAAACATAAACTAGTTGGGCGACTTCATCAATTTATAACATTTTCATTTTCACTAAAGATGTAATAACACGTATGTTCGACTTCGAGTGAAATTTCCATCAATTCATCAGGTTCAATACACATCTGTGACGTCACTCTATTGTTTAAACGATCAACTATTTTTCAGTGATGTACAGCTGATTGTTAATTATGTACACTTGGAATTAACGGAACCATTGATTTTTTTTAATTTTGACAGTCAAGTGAAAGATTTTAATTTTTGACTGAAAATACGTGTCGCTAGCAGGTCTCGAACTCTCATCATTTAACTGGAGACATGTAATTATCGACAACTAAAACAACTGGAGAAGAAAACATGCCCTTCTTCAGGTCTATATTTCCGTTTACCCCTGTCAGCAGGCAGTAGAGGTGTTCAAGGGGTTGCTATGATTCTCGTTAAGGGTCCCTCGCCTCTTCCGCATCCACGACCCAGTTCACTCTGACAATCCTCCTCATGTGGCCCACCTGCTCTGTGCCTGACCCACTTGTTCTGTGCCTTACCCACCTGCTCTGTACCTGACCCACTTGTTCTGTGCCTGACCCACTTGTTCTATGCCTTACCCACCTGCTCTGTGCCTGATTCACTTGTTCTGTGCCTTTCCCACCTGCTCTGTGCCTGATCCACTTGTTCTGTGCCTTACCCACCTGCTCTGTGCCTGACCCGCCTGCTCTGTGCCTTACCCACCTGCTCTGTGCCTGACCCGCCTCCTCTGTGCCTGACCCACTTGTTCTGTGCCTGACTCACTTGTTCTGTGCCTTACCCACCTGCTCTGTGCCTGACCCACTTGTTCTGTGCCTTACCCACCTGCTCTGTGCCTGACCAACTTGTTCTGTGCCTGACCCTCCTGCTCTGTATCTGACCCACATGTTCTGTACCTGAACCACCTGTTCTGTACCTGACTCACCTGTTCTGTACCTGACCCGCCTGCTCTCTATCTGAACCACCTGTTCTGTATCTGATATATCTGCTCTGTACCTGACCCACCTCTTCTGTACCTGACCCACCTCTTCTGTTCCTGATCCACCTCGTGTAACCCACCAGTTCTTTACCTGAACCACCTGTTCTGTACCTGTCCCATATGTTCTGTACCTGACCCACCTGTTCTATAACCCGACCCATCTGTTCTGTACCTGACCCACCAGTTCTCTACCTGACACGAATGTTCTGTACCTGAACCACCTGTTCTGTACCTGTTACCCACCTAATCTGTACCAGACCCACCTTTTCTGCACCTGATCCACCTGCTCTGTACCTGCCCGAATGTTCTGTACCTGACTTACCTGTTCTGTACCTGAACCACCTGTTCTGTACCTGATCTGCCTTATGTAACCCACCTGTTCTGTACCTGATCCACCTGGTGTAACTCACCTGTTCTGTACCTGATCCACCTGGTGTAACTCACCTGTTCTGTACCTGATCCACCTGGTGTAACTCACCTGTTCTGTGCCTGATTCACCTGGTGTAACCACCTGTTCTGTGCCTGATCCACCTGGTGTAACTCACCTGTTCTGTGCCTGATCCACCTGGTGTAACTCACCTGTTCTGTGCCTGATCCACCTGATGTAACTCACCTGTTCTGTACCTGATCCACCTTGTGTAACCACCTGTTCTGTACCTGATCCACCTGGTGTAACTCACCTGTTCTGTGCCTGATCCACCTGATGTAACTCACCTGTTCTGTGCCTGATCCACCTGATGTAACCACCTGTTCTGTGCCTGATCCACCTTGTGTAACTCACCTGTTCTATACCTGATCCACCTGATGTAACTCACCTGTTCTGTGCCTGATCCACCTGGTGTAACCCACCTGTTCTGTGCCTGATCCACCTGATGTAACCACCTGTTCTGTGCCTGATCCACCTGGTGTAACCACCTGCTCTGTATCCGATCCCACCTGGTGTAACCACCTGTTCTGTGCCTGATCCACCTGGTGTAACCACCTGCTCTGTATCCGATCCCACCTGGTGTAACCACCTGTTCTGTACCTGATCCACCAGGTGTAACCCAGCTCTTCTGTACCTGAACCACCTGCTCTGGAACCGATCCACCTGGTGTAACTCACCTGTTCTGTACCTGATCCTACTGGTGTAACCCACCTGCTCTGTACCTGATCTGCCTCATGTAACTCACCTGTTCTGTACCTGATCTGCCTTACGTAACTCACCTGTTCTGTACCCGATCCACCTGGTGTAACCCACCTGCTCTGTACCTGACCCACCTGGTGTAACCAACCTCTTCTGTACCTGATTTAATTCGAATTTTCGGCATTCTTTTACCCATTAATTCTGACAATCCACCTGATTTAACTCACAGTTTCTGCATCCAGTGACCCATTAACTCTGAGAATCCACCTGATGTTTCCAGCCTCAGGAAAGTTCTCAAGTATGATGTGATTGGACGGCGTTGTGGTGACTGTCACTTGACGATCACTTGGAAGTGTCATGTTTAAGTACACTTTGTTTTCTACAAGAAACGATTAAAAACATATTATATTCATATATGTTAAATATCTTTGAAACAAATACTCTCGTTTTCAGTTGATGATATACACGCAAGACTGACAACATAATTTACAGACACAAAAGCATGGAGTCCAGTCAATGTATTGAGAACTACTACAGAGAAGGAAGAGAATTTATGGACTTCTTTATTATGAGGAATACAACGTTTCGGAGTATTAGGTGATGAAGGAGTAAATATATACTCCGAAACGGAGTGTCCCTCATAATAAGTTGACATTCATAAATTCTCTAAGCTTCCGTACATACATGTTCATTATTTTGTTTTTATCAAACAAAAACTGGCTTCCATGGGATATATGGCTTGGGTGAGATCAAGTCATATCTCCTTGGAGATATCACTGCAATGAAATTGCACTACAATCATTTGCAGACTATCGCGGCGACATCGGTTACCATGACATCACAATCAAATGACATTTCTAATCTCTCTGTCATTGAAGCTGGGTGGGTGTACTGATTTTAAATCAAATAAAAAAACTAGTGTTTTTAATCAGTTTTTTAAAGTTTTATCGACAAGTCTTGATATAAGAGGCCGCCTTCGTGGTCTAATGGCAGAGCGTCCGCCCGGAGAGCGCGTCATACCAAAAGACTTTTAAAAGAGGGTACTTGTTGTTACCCTGTCTGGCGCTCGGCGTTAAGGGGCTAAAAAAAGGGCTGGTCGGCTCGGGGTCGGTAAACTGTGTCTGAGGGGGGTATTCATGTTAAACTGCGGCTTGGTATCTATAAATAAATCCGCATCAGTCCGGGCTAGTACAAGCAGCCACACACACATACACGTGCATGCACGTCGCTATATAAGTGCAATAATCTTGGACGCGACGTTAAACCCTATTCACCACACCTCACCTCTTGGTATAAGACACTCGGGAGAGATTCTCTATATATCAGTCTGATGGAGAGAAGTATTAAAGGTTAGGAGGTGTTACTGTAAAACCTGTGTGCACACTGTGCGGCGGAGGTACACGAAGTTTGCACGTCTGGGTTAACGTTAATACCGCCAACTCAAAAACACATTCAAGTCAATTCTTATGAATGAACAAGTGAGTGAGTTGGGTTTAACGCCGCTTTAAATATTATTCCAATTATATAACGTCGTGTCAGCTTAATGTGGGAGGAAACCTACGAGGACGGGTATGGGGCTGACAAACCTAAAAACATAATCGGGGCGAACGGGGATTCGAACCCACAATCCTGGTTTCTGGCGACTCTGTACAACGAATCGCGGCGCCTTAGAAGACGTGGCCACGCGTGCCCCTTATAAATAAGAAATCAAGAGGACTACGTATCTAATTATTTACACACAAATCTGTTGACGACAGGAAATCAGTGACAGAAAGGCAACCCAAGGCCCGCCTACTCTATTATCCGCCAATCAGGAAACACTAGCCCGCTTGTGGGCGTTACCTAATTCTTTTTATCGTTGATGGGAACATAATCGCAAAACCAATTGCTTGGTTAGCCAATCAAATTGAATGGAATCACTTGCAATTTATTTGCATACAAAATATGTTTGTTTTTTACCATGTTTCAGTATCGAATACGCGGGAACCTGACAGCGTTTGAAATGTGTAACTTACCTGCATGGTGTTCGACTTCTCGGTAGAAGGACAATATCTCACTGTTAACCTGTAGACAGTCTGTAACAGGGAGGTTTTTGAATATTTGTATATTCCGTCCAAATATTAGATTATGAGAAAATTGTGTGATAGATCATAAGCAATACACAGGTAGAAAAAGTCAGAGATCCAATGAAACCTTTGCTCACAAATCAAAAGAAATCGCGAATAAATATCGCTCTCTATTATACATTCAAGTATTGTAATATAATTGTATATTACACGCTTAAAACATAAATTCCAACTTTTGAAATCGGCACCCCGCTTATGTTGAACCACAGATGACACGATAAATGTCCAGTTAACGACGTTTACGTTTAGCTCAACGGACATATTGTCTGCCATGAGTGAGTGAGTGAGTTGGGTTTAACCCCGCTTTTAACAGTATTCCAGTCATATCGCGGTGCGTCAGCTTAATGTGTGAGGAAAGCCCCAAGTGATGCAGGTCTCAGACGTTTACCACTTCGGTGAAACCCACGAGCGCGGGTATGGTGCTGACAAACCTAGAAACATAATCGGGGCGAACCTGGATTCGAACCCACAATCATAGGTTTCTGGAGTGCCCAAGGGACGTAACTCTGCACAGCGAATCGCGGCGCCTTAGACGACTGGGCCACCCGTGCCCCCTTTGTCTGCCATGAAAATAACCACACGGCATAATAGCTATTGTGATATCCCCTGCACTTCATCAGTGAAAGCGGAAGAGTGTACCTGAAGCAGCATACTGATGAGGGAGGAGGATGAAGACAAGAGCTCCAAGAAGCGCTGGTGTTGACATACTGCAGCCAGCTTCAACCTACTGGAGGACTAGCTACCTAAAACATTTAAACAAATATAAAAGTTAGTTGGGACATAGCATGCACAAAACGATTCTTGTAAACTTAAACCATCTTGTAAAAATACTCTATCAATTGGATGCTGCCAGTGTGGTCATGGAGCCAGGAAGGAGCCCTGGATGAGGCGTTGGGTCTCTGCATTCTCACGTGCTGCCTGGCTACCATACAAATATGCTTGCATCGAACCATCCTTCAGAGTCTCATTCAGACACCAGGACATATATTTAATAACACGATTCACTTCCGGAACGACGCTTTGGTGGCGAATGGGTCCAGGGTGTTTATCTTGATAGACTGAAGATAGATAAACTGGATAATCGAGGGTGGCATCGCCCAGGCATGTGACATATAAATCGAATTTAGATCCCGGCTTTCTGGGGGGAATTTGGCCGGGAAACAGATAAATCTTTTCTAGTTCCGAGTACCTTATTCTACATATTTCCCGATGTCATTTATGAAGGATCATTTAGAAATGGCAATTTAGCCCTGATGACAAAATATTTCTAATTTGGTACGTCATGAGCAGCGGATGACGTCATGTCAAAATGCAATAAACAACGAAGCGGTATGGCGTCATTTTCTTCAACTGACCAATCAACTTCAAGGCTCACTTAACGACTTGTAGAGCCATTGGGATCATACGAGGGCCATTCAATGTATAACCAGCCTAACCTATTTGCTACTGCTCCTCACTTCTTCTTTTTCTACATAATCACCATTGAGGTCTATGCACTTTGTCAAGCGATGTTTTGAGAGCTAAAAGCCCGTTGTGATAGAAACCATGGGGTTGTTCGTGTAACTACCCCTCCACTGCTGTCGTGAATTCATCATCGGACCGGAAATGACGTCCACGCAGTTCTTTCTTCAAGTTTGGGAAGAGAAAGTAGTCGCTTGGTGCCAGGTCTGGTGAGTAAGGTGGATGAGGCAATACTTTGAACCCGTTCCGCTTCACTGCGGCAACCGCAAGTCGACAGGTGTGCACTCTGGCATTATCATGTTGGAGCAGCACACCTTTTGTGATCTTTCCATGACGTTTGGCAAGAATAGCAGTCCGCAAACGGTCCAGGAGATCGGAGTAGTACTCTCCAGTAATAGTCTGGCCACGTGGCAAGTAGTCAATGAGCAAGACCCCTTTGGTATCCAAAGATGGTTGCCATGACTTTGCAAGCCGATGTTTGAGTCTTTTTTGACGGGGTGAAGCAAAGCCAGTCCACTGCTTACTCTGTTCTTTGGTTTCTGGGTCATAGTGGTGTACCCAGGTTTCATCACCAGTAACAATTCTCTCCATAAAGTTGTCTGCATCCCGACTGCATTGCAGCAAAAGTGTCTGACACATTGACGCACGTACAGCCTTCTGATCATCACTCAGACATTTCGGGACCCATCGGGCAGACAGGTTCCTCATACCCAGACGATCATGCAAAATGGTATGGACACTTCCCTCTGAAATGTCCAAGGCCTTGGCCATTTCTGACACCTTCATTCGCCTGTCTTTGACAACCAGTTGTCTTACAGCTTCACTGGTCTGGTCATTGGTCACCTCTACAGGCCTGCCAGGGCGAGGCTCATCTTCCAGCTTCACTGGTCTGGTCATTGGTCACCTCTACAGGCCTGCCAGGGCGTGGCTCATCTTCCAGCTTCACTGGTCTGGTCATTGGTCACCTCTACAGGCCTGCCAGGGCGTGGCTCATCTTCCAGCTTCACTGGTCTGGTCATTGGTCACCTCTACAGGCCTGCCAGGGCGTGGCTCATCTTCCAGCTTCACTGGTCTGGTCATTGGTCACCTCTACAGGCCTGCCAGGGCGTGGCTCATCTTCCAGCTTCACTGGTCTGGTCATTGGTCACCTCTACAGGCCTGCCAGGGCGAGGCTCATCTTCCAGCTTCACTGGTCTGGTCATTGGTCACCTCTACAGGCCTGCCAGGGCGTGGCTCATCTTCCAGGTTCACTGGTCTGGTCATTGGTCACCTCTACAGGCCTGCCAGGGCGAGGCTCATCTTCCAGCTTCACTGGTCTGGTCATTGGTCACCTCTACAGGCCTGCCAGGGCGAGGCTCATCTTCCAGCTTCACTGGTCTGGTCATTGGTCACCTCTACAGGCCTGCCAGGGCGTGGCTCATCTTCCAGGTTCACCCGACCCCTCTTAAATTCTGCAACCCAGAATTTGACCTGTGCATACGAAGGTGCACTGTCACCATAAACATCTGACAATTCATCATGTATCTCCTTTCCCGGTTTCCCTTTTAAGTAGAGGTACCTAATAACAGCCCTGTATTCAACCTTTGACGAAAATTTGGCAGAATCTACCCTTGCCATCTTTATAGATCACGTGTGTGACTCCAAATACAATTTCCTCAGTGAAACTTTGTCTATGCACGTGACATACATTGGTGCACAGCACGTGACAAGCATGCAACCGTTAAGATCTGATAAATAGCTTAGGCTGGTTATATATTGAATGGCCCTCGTATTACACTCAATCTTGGGTAATGGTACTCATTTTTGTTGTTTGTTTGTTGTTTAACGCCTCACTCAGCAATACTCTAGCTGTATGACGGCGGTCTGTAAAAAAGCGGACCAGACAATCCAGTGATTGATATCATGAGGAGATACTCATTTTATTCTATAAGTATCATCACACCTTGATTTCATATCATGCGGTAAACCTGGTGCAACCTCAACGTCGGAAACTGAAAATAGGCCACAGCCACTGACCCGAACAAAAATGTCGAGGTGTAAAGAGAAAACACACTAAATCCTATTGTAGGCAGGCAATTATGTTATAGTTTCGACAGGATTCATATGGGTCTATCAACATTGACAAGTGTGTAGAGATTATCTCCATCCATCTTACAATTACCCATCCTATAATTGTGTATGCAGTTTATAAAACGTGTAGATGTCCTCATCATAGTTGCACCACATGTATTGTATACATCGTATACATGCAGGAACACGAATATTTACAGTAGAATGTTCAATTACGCTGTCGAAGTTTGTTCAATTATGCTGTGAATGTCTGTTATCGATAACAAACCTCTGTGATGATAATTTGATACGTGTCATAAATATAGGGTCACGTGATTACCACCTGTGATGTCATCGTGGTACAGTTATGTTTCGTTGGTTTAATGTAGCATTGATTGTGAAATCAGATTGTGTGAAGAGAACGCAGAGAGCATGATTGTATCGAATTTCAATACATCTGTTTACCAGTGGTATTTTGTAATTATAATTAATTAGTTTGTGAAATAAACCGCTGTCTTTATGCAGGACAAAAGAAAGTGTACACTTGAAACTTAACACTTAAATCTTCTCATTCCTGTGAAGCAGCGGCGTTAAACCCAACTCACTCACTCGTTGATGTGATGCATGTCATATCGCCATTGATATCAAGAACTTCACCATCGACCAAACATATCTTGTTTGGTTCGTTTTAACCACCTGAAACATGGCTGTAAACTTTCTTTTGGCAGCCTATATTTTTACTTTTTCGTAAATACTTACGTAATTGTGATTAGTGTTACTGACGAAGCTTGAGAAGAGAAGTGATTGATTATGGAACATTTGTATTTTATCTAAGAAATTGGCTGGGTCTAAAACTTTAAGTCTTTATCCATGAGCAGTTCATTTTTCTCTATTCAAGTGCAACGGTGATTCAATGGCAGAGTGAGTGAGTGGATTGATCTACAGTCGAGACGGACAATAATTATGTAGATGTCTGACGGGTGGATGTGATCGTTCAGGATACGATGACACACCAGCACAACCGGGGTTGATTTATTGTGAATTCTCGGGACAACTATTTACCTTCTAATTGTGATAGTTAAAACTTACTACAGTCGTACGATGGACGACGTCATTATGTATTGGCAAATATAAATCAAAATATGTCCATGAATTCATACTTATTAAGACTTTTATTGTAAGGTTTACAAATGTGGTGTTTTTCATTGACTAACATTTATTATGTACTTTCTTATTGATCATACAAGTATATAGTTAATGCGTGGTTTTTGTCTTTGTTCGACGCAATTTTCGATTAACCTAGTAGAATAAAAAAAGGGTTGTAATTTTTATATGATTTTTAAGAGTACAAATTAACACTTTTATTAATGTCAAGTGTAGATAAGTTTATCATATAACGAAATCGGATATACTGAACAGTCGGTCGTAATAAAACAGTTTGATTCATAAACATGGATAAGGACATAACAAACGGTAACCGGAACTTATAATGAGCCGATATGTTCGGTAAATCAGGTGTCCGCAGTGAAGTGTGTCAGTGGAGACTGGCCTCGTCACGTGAACCATTCCCACACACTGTTAGCATGATAATGTCAATGTATATCATTTATTGCATGCAATCTCTCTCTCTCTCCCTCCCCCCTCTCTCTCTCTCTCTCCCTCATTCTCTCTCCCTCTCGCTCGCTCTCTCTCCCTCCCTCTCTCTCCCTCGCCCTATCTCCCTCTCTCTCTCGCTCTCTCTCTCTCGCTCTCTCTCTCGTTCTTTCGCTCTCTTGCTCTCTCTCCCTCTCGCAATCTCTCACTCTCTCGCTCTCTCTCTCTCTCTCTCTCTCGTTATCTCTCTCTCTCTCTCTCGCTCTCTATCTCAGTGATATTAACATACATCTTTGTTTAATTATAAATGTAGTTTACACTTACCTTTTAGTGAGTTTCAGTAACCTGCTGATCAGTTAAACATAGCCAACTAATACTTTCCTCTAAGAAAACACGGCGAAGAAATAACATCCAAGCAGCGTACTCCAATCAAGGCGTATTCCACAAAGAATCTCAGGTTATGACAGGCTCGGCGGAACATGCAGCTTAGCGTGTGTTTTCGCAATCCGTCAAACGGTTATTCGTACATTAAGATCGACACTGACAAAACTGAACCCTCTTAACAGGGTGTGACGGCTATCAGAGTGAAAATAGAGCTGACATTCGATATGAACAGAATATACACTGTGTCATTGATAGTTGCCGATTGCAGTCAGCGGTATTCCGGTCAAAGGCCGACCGATAACACCCTTGATGGAATTCGAGAACTATTTGACAGCTTGTTGCGTACATGAAAGTGATACGTTACTGTGCCAACTTCACAGTCAAAGTGAATACACGATGTACAAAAATGTTGACGATCACATGATATAACTTCTACAATATTGATTAAAATATGTCATTGTTGTTGGTTAAAGAAATGTTAATTCCCGTATCCTGTGAAACTGTAGTCACGTTGGCAGCTTTAACCCAGAAATCACCTCCATATTTCCTCCTCTGAAACGAGTCTGCCGCCCTTTCAAGAAGGTCCAGTACTTCACGAATGTTTATGATGATGATCATCACCATCATCGTCATCACATGTTAACCTTCACATTCAAGGTTAAGCATTGACCGTAACATTTCCTGAATGCGTCAAAGACTGTCCACACATCAGTGCGTTGGCCAGAACTCAGGACAATCATCTGATATTGGAGGAATTCTTCTTCTTAATGGAACTCAATGGAACACCAAGTACCAGTAGGAAACCTCAAGCCTGTCTGACGTTGTTGTGGAACTGTTTTCTTCAGGAACAGGTTCGGCCGCCCTCGTCAGCGCCAAGGCCCATGTTGACTCTGGCAGTAGTTACCGTACTACTGCTTGTGGGCGACCACTATCTGAGTGCAGTCATCCAGGGAAACTCATAATGTAACATGGGTATTTTCTCAAATGGTTCGAGACAGATGTCCTATGGGTAGTATTGATTCATGTCTGTAAAAGCATTACATGATATGGGGAATCTCTGTGAAAGGGACAATTCATGCGTGTCCACTGTGGTTAGTTTGTTCTGCTGATTGTGTTTGTTTCTCGAGCACAATTTCTGTTTACTTTGAAAACGCCATTGTTGGAGTATTCTCCCCAGGGCGTGTTAATGTACATGTACTTGTCATAGTTTAGGTAAATGTAATGTACTTCAAATGGCATGTTTTATCATTTTCAAAGTTACATATTTTTCTTTAAAAATGCTTCTCGAATAGATTGTGTTAATCTTGTACCAAGTCCGTAATGAGTCCCGGTGATGTATGCTTTAATCAAGTGCCTTTGAGTCTTATCTGCGCATCTAATTTCTATATATATTATATATTTTATCAATATTTGACATAATTCCCAATGTTTGTTTGTTTCATGTTGTTTAACGCCTCACTCAGCAATATTCAAGCTATATGACGGCGGTCTGTAGATAATCGAGTCTGCACCAGACAATCCAGAGATTGACCTAATGAGCATCGATCAACGCAATTAGGATACGATGACATGCTTAAACGTGTTTAAATTCTAAACATGTTTAGACGGGTTGCCCAGACGTTTAAGGTACTGCAATTCGCTGTGCAGAGTTGGGCAAGCCAGAAACCTATGATCGTGGGTTCGAATCCAGATTCACCCCGATTATGTTTCTAGGTTTGTCAGCACCATACCCGTGCTCGTGGGTTTCACCGAAGTGATAAACATCTGAGACCTGCATCACTTCGGGCTTTCCTCACACATCATGCTGACACGCCGTGAACTGGAGTAATGTTGAAAGCGGCGTTAAACACACTTTTTGACCACCACGCAACTGTATTACAAGCACACCCCTCAGATATCAGGACCTGAGATCGAATCTAAATTTCGCTCATTGATTCCTAGTTTGTCAGAATCATGCGTGCTCGTGGAGTCAGTCACCAGAATGGTATCGTCTACGATCTGCTTTCCTCCCACATGGCGTTGACACGCGGTGATAAAACTGAAAGACTGTTCTCAGGTCCGTGACTGTTCAAAACGGCGAAAAACTCAATTCCAACACGAACGAAACAGAACACGGAGGAACAGCATCAGTAATATTACATTCGATATTCAGTCAATAGAAGTTAATTATAAAGACTGTGTTTTGGTGTGTGTGTTGTTGTTGTTTTTTGTTGTATTTTTGTTGTTGTTTTGTTTTGTTGTCTCAGCGGGCCAGCACTAAAAAGTCGAGTACAAGCGGCCACACGCACACGCATATGCACGTCGCTATATAATTGCAAGGATCTTGGATGCACGTTAAACCCCATTTCATCTCCCCTCACCATGTTTATTCTTACAACATGGGCGATCTCCCGAGACACCCTGTCCTTAGATCATCGTGAAGTCACCACTGTCTCCTTTAACCCTACTTTCATATATTCCTATGTTTCTTTCCCGGTACATTCTCTCACATCTTTCTAATATCACAACCATATACGCCTTCCAAGTCAGCTTGGGTTTCAAAGCGGGTTAATGCGCAGGTGTATTTACGGGTCGGGGTCGATTGGTGTCTTGTTACACATATTAAACTCTGGTGTCATTTGACGAGAAACATTTTAAAGTATGCTAGTCGTGAGAGCAGATGGTTCTGGAATGTCGCTTTCTGTTAGTTTCAAGTCTGTACCTAATCTCACAGACGCGATACGAATACTCCCAAATGTCCAATCAATTAATAGTCTGGTGGTGGACCTTTGCTAGGATATATTTTGTGTAACTGCTTAAAGAGATACAATGTATTATTTTCTAAAATAAAGAGTCGAACATTTATTTTCCAACAGTTATACTGTCAGGGCACCCATCATTTCCATGAAAATCACATTTAGTCCACTTGAACATTGAAATTAATTCTATGTCCGCTTACAGAATATCAAAAACTTGGTACCTAATACACTGATTTATAAATGGGCTATTAATACTGATTACTGACGCCGTTATCTACGACTTTTTTTCTCATCGCGTATGACATTATGATATGTAGTTGAAAACATCACGCCCAATATGAACATGTGCTTACGTGTGCACTACACATACATGTAGATCTATATAAAGATTATTAGATTTTCTAATCGGCTAAGATGCCACTATTTATCCTGTTCATATTTGAAATCGCACGAATGGACATATTTATTGTTGGACATTTATATTTATGAAAAAACACTATATTTCTAAAATAATGGTAGTTGAAGAACTACAGATTTCATATACAATGCGACCACGTTAGTCAGAGAACCCCGCTATACAGTGATAACTGATATGATATTTAGGATATTACTCCACCCACATCAAGCTTTAATCTGTAAACTTGTTAATCAGGACTGTTTTATGGGTGACGGTTGGTTTGTTTGTTTGTTTGTTTGTTGTTTAACGCCGCACTCAGCTATATTCCAGCTGTATGACGGCGGTCTGTAAATAATCGAGTCTTGACCAGACAATCCACGCAATTGGGATCGATGACATGCATCAACCAAGTCAGCCAGCCTGACCACCCGATCCCGTTAGTTGCCTCTTACGACAAGCATAGTCACCTTTTACGGCAAGCATGGGTTGCTGAAGACCTATTCTACCCCGGAGTCATCACGGGTCTTATGGGTGACGGAATAACAAAGATTCACAGGAGAAGTTAACTTATCTCATTACATTTCCATATTCAATATCAATTTCGATCCGAAACGTTTTCACTCTGTCGGGTGTCTCACTGTCCCACTGTCGGTACATTAAACTTGAAATATCGATGTCAGCTTAAGATGTTAACGCAATATATTTCTAGTTTTAATAGTATTTCATTTTTTTAAGAGAAATAGGATTAATTGATAACGTTCGATAACACTATGTTTTGTGACTCCCTCACTTTTCCTGTAGGTGCATGTACGCTCAGGATCAATGTTATACAGGTAGAACGGGAATACAAGACAAGAAAAAAACCGGATGCACACAAAATTATTTAAAACAGTAGGCATTTGTCACTGGGGGTATTAAGGGAACACCTCCTCGATTTCCTTTTGTAAAATAAACCCCAAAAAAAATTACACATATATCTTTTTTATAGAAACATTCTTAACAATTATTATCCATCCCAACTGCTTTGTATTGGAAAAAACTATTCAATCGATTCTATATTGTAAAATGTTACAAGCAATATCCCCAAGAGCCCTATATTATATAATTTACGGTATCGGTTGACAAGAAGGTGGCAAGAAGTGTATTTACCATCGCGTTACCTGATATTACTGGTTTGATGTTAAAATGGTCCGCGCAGGTGAGAAATGTTAAATCAAAACACCAGTTACCTCCCTTGACATGACTCTATAATACCAATTACAACCTGCAAAGAGTAACTTATTCAGACTATGTGACAGTGACGTAGCTCTCTCGTTTAATCGATGTGGCGTTTGCCGTGAAATATTGTTTGGGACTGTGATCAATAATGGCCGGAATAATCACTCAGAGAAAAGTTCTTGTACAGACTTCACCTAATTGCGAAATCGTGTGAGGTGGAGTAATTTACTTTATCGATAAATTAAATTCAGGTGTAGCCGCGACACCACAGGCCCACGTAGCCATGGCAGTGGGGACACTTTGTTAACGGGACGTACGGGAAGGCTGGGTTGCAGGGGACGTGCTGATCGTTGCACTGCAGCATGGCAGGTCTTACTGCATTGAGTGCTTCATTGAGTGGGCTTCGTGACTCAGGTTAAAAAGCGATAATTGTGACATTTGAATGTGAACAGCGTTCTGCGTTCGATGGAAGAAAAACCCGCCATCTAGCGTGATTGTAGAAGTTTTTCTTCTCTTCGCCAGGGTTAGGCGTCAGTTCTTCGGAGGGTTGGTTCTTGGTGTCTGACCCGTTCCGGTAACCTGGATGACCCTGTGGTGCGTGGCGTTGCAATTCACCGTGAGTTGCTTCCCTTAATCGTGTTAGGATCAGCTACTAAAGGATACGAATCCCATCTAACTTCCTCTTTCCTCCGAAGTCTGTCTTTCGAAACACCTTGCTTTAAATATTTGGTTGAAGATTAATTCAGTGAGAGCCAAGAATGTATAAATCACTTTTACAAACTCACATTACATCATCTTGTGTTTTCTAACATTCGTACACCGGCTGCTAACGATCATGCTTTCCGGGTTCAAGTAGACTCGCCGCCCCTGGTGTCTTTGTGTACAAACTTTATAAGAAGCTATTGTCGGCTACTATAGGTATTTTACAACGACAATAACTTATTTCTTCTCTGGTTGTTTACAAATTATCTACCGCAAGTAATGAAACCTGTCGTGCCTGAATTCACTTTAAATATTTTTTTGGTTCTTTTAAAATTATCATAAACTGAAATGTGCAGCCCCACAAAAAAGATTTCACAAAGATGTAGTTCTCGCCATTTGAAATAGAATCACGAAACCCACTTGATCAAAACTCAATGATGTTTATCGCTATCAAAATGGAATATTTCTTGAGGAGCGCACTCAGCAATTTTTGTCATTACTGTACGATATGTTTTCGGCGTAATGGCTTGTTTTCACACAGCGTCTTGTTTTCGTTCATTAAACCCCGGGCCTTTCACTTAGGTGATGTATCAACTTCAACGTCGTCTGTCGTGGTGTATATAGATGGTGTCACCGCCCACGACCCCCCAATAATACCTGAATACCATCTCTTTGTTCACTCCGGGTCTCAGTTGCTCACCCCTGCAGAATCCCGAATACCACTTAACACAAATCACATAGGCATTGAGAAAAGTAAAATTACTGACAAAATATAGAAAAATATATGAAGGAAGCTTTTACGTATTTTTACGTACACCATTATTTTAAAAAATGCTGAATCTGCGTAGGAAATACGACTTTATACGAGTCCCGCGTACCACACTGCTGAATCTCGAATACCCTGTAAATAGACCCCAGAATCCCCCGACCAGGGGTTGGCAGCCTCAGTATTCTCTCCGAGCGTCAGTGTCCCAGGTGAAGCGAGATAAACTGGTTATCATATACAGAGGCCTGACAGCAGGATGACATGGTCGGTGATGACTGATAACGCGCTCTTGTTCATTGTTATTTATTGCCTGTGTTATCAGATGAGATTGTGATGACCCTACGTCAACAAAATCCTACATAGATGTCTGATTGCGAATAAAAATATACCACAATTGGCAATAGGTCAGCTTACTCATGGCGGCCTGTCAATCGCATCGAGACAGACCAGTAACTGATGTCATGTTCAATGTCCAACCCCCACTGCCTGTCAGCTCTGTCAAGTAGGGGATGGTTGGGAACGCGCCTGCTCCAGACTCACGAAGAGGGTCTTAGAAATTAGTGAATGACTTGTGTTTTATGTATTTCAGTTATATATTCAGTAGTGGCACGTGACCCGTGAAGATCCGGGGTAGAATAGACAATCCAGTGACTGACATCATGTGCATCGATCCACGCAATTGGGATCGATGACATGCATCAACCAAGTCAGCCAGCCTGACCACCCGATCCCGTTAGTCGCCTCTTACGCCAAGCATGGGTTGCATGGGTAGCTGAAGACCTTTTCTACCCCGGTAGTAGTAGTAGTAGTAGTAGTAGTAGTAGTAGTAGTAGTAGTAGAAGCAGCAGCAGCAGTAACAGCAGTTAGCGGTGACGACACAACACCTCAGCATTTACATGCGTTTTATTCGTTTTAGGTATCAACACTGTCAGTCCTAGTGAATAGGCATCAATCACATCATAATAATAGATATTTATCGGTGTGTATAACATAGCATAACTTACTTTTACATATACATTTTATCAGTTTAAGAGGTAAAAATACATTATAGTTCATTATTATATGAATAATGTTCATTGATATTAACTGTCATGCATAACTTTGAAATCGGAAAATTTAGATGTTTAAGCAGTTCTGGATATTTCATTTTTTATATATATGTATAATTATTAATAATTCTATACACTTGATTTGCAGTAGTTCGTGTTTACATGGTACATTTCTCTGTACGATCTGTCTATGAATGATTGACGTCTACTGAGTCACGTCAGTGCTTGCGTCGTGTTATTTTCATGTGGCAACAGAACAACATCATATATCATATCGACATGGGTTCAGCAGTTCTCATCCAGCTAATGGCACAGACATGTGTTTGACAAAATAATGTAACAGAATCGTTATCAGCCTTCGTCAGAAGTAGACTCCACCAGTACAACGACGTCACTACTCCACCGTCACAACCAGGTTTGCCGTGTTCTGCGTATGGAGTTCATCATCAACCGTCATCTGCAACACCAAAGCATTGATGTAGGGTGAGATGGTGAGCATCTTTAGCAATATTCCATGTATATCAAGGAGCATGGTCAATACCTCATGTGTGTGTACGCACTTCCGTCGTCGTCCATGAATATATACAGCCGCTATGCGATGTAGCAGTGACGCGACAATGTATTCTTTATAGAAGTCAAATGAGCCTTTATCCGTGTATGAAATCCCGAAGTGATGCAGGTCTTAGACATTTACTACTCTAGAAATTCACGATCACGGGTATGGTGCTGACAACCTTGAACCTTAACCGGGGATTCGAACCCACAATGTTGACGTGCCCCAAGTGACGTAACCCTGCGCAGCGAATTCCGGCGTCTTAGACGACTGGGCCTCCCGTGCCCCCCTAAGCATTCACGGGTGACGCAGGAATGTCGTGTATGCAAACACGTTACGTGTTGACGATGAAAGGACCGGCCACACCAAGAATAAGCTTCACACATTCTAACCACGCGACAATGTCCCTTCTAGGGTTCCATACACCAAATTTAGAATCCAACGCCTTAACCAATAGAATAGTGATCTTGGAGTTTGTTCGCCACTCTCTCAACGCCGACTGTAAGAGGAACATTTCACACATTTTGAAGATCGTCAGTCGAAAACAAATCCCTATCTATATCTTGTATGACCCTCGTTGGTGCTTACACATCGGGCGTTCAACAAAAGGTAAATCCCAACATGGTTGCAGCTAAGTATAGATTCGTTAGATCTGACTATGCACATATAACAGACGCAATGCAAAATAAACTCAAAAGTCAGATATAAATGGTTAATATATTGCCGCGTGACACGCCCGCTGTGTGCCGACGGACGGATATTTTTGCAGTTTATGTACACACAAATAAGTGACGCCAAGATTATGATGTCCGTAGCTGAGTGTGTAAAGCGTTAAATTTAATTTGAAATATTGCGTGAGTAGGTGAGATATTTATCTGAGTAGCAATAAACACTAGGTCACACACAAACGGTCATTCAGCCTACCTGAATATGGTATGTTTGTTCAGCAAGCTTTGATGGGTCAAGAACGACCACGTCTAGCGTGTTGTGAGCTTGTGTGGTGATGATGTTCGGAGTTGAGGGAGCAGTGACAACATTGTAATTCAGCTGAAACAACAAACACATTGTTGAAAATAAGTTATAGGTAAAATATCAATATTCAGCATTTTTAATAGCAAGATTACAATTAAGTTCTGTACTTCATGTACAAAAACAGACGTAGGTACTTATAGGATATGTAGATATGCAGGGGTCAGGGTGGGGGTGAGTTGGGGACTAGCATATAAGAAACAGGTAATGAATCGCGCATTTGTCTTCAGCGTCGGATATTAAATTAAAGGAGTAGACGCGTTTCCTCAAAGATACAATATATGCGCAGGGTCACACAGATAAGAGATAATAGTTTAATTCAAAAGACGTCGCATTTTCAGCTTCCAAAAGTGCAGTTCAGTTGCATCTGGAAGGAGCCATATATACCCACATTGACTGCTACTTGTCATGTCTTGCACCTGCATGGACTGACTGGTTGCATTCTCCAGTGTGTTTTGGTAGCTATTTCCAAACCCCTCAATCTTGCACTTTTCATTATTTCAAATATTTGTTGTCCATTTTACAACTCCATAAAATCAGTGTGATAGGGCCATAAACAACATGTTCTTCAAATATAAATCACATTGTCAACATACAATAAACGGTTTGGGGCATATGTTCATGTTTAACACCCTACATACCTAGGTCACACTTCAGTAATGCCTCTGAGTATATAACACCGTTTGTCTCTAATCTGAATGTCTAAAAGGTCGTGTAGAGTTTCTTCCATCTCGATGTGACTACCCTGTACCCACCTTGGCACCAAGGTCTTTGTCGACTGCGGTTATAGTTGCTATGACAGTGTTTGGGCCGTCGCTTCGTCTGATGGTGGTGTGGTTCGTGCTGAAGGGGAAGTGAGGGGCGTTGTCGTTGATGTCTGTCACGTTTATTCGAACCTGCACGAAAAAAGACAGGTTAAAGCATTTTGAGTATTAAACAACGTTTGTATACGAAACATTGGGGTCACATAATAGTTGCACAGATACAATATGGTCTCCATTTGGTAACTGTGGCTGTGGGGTAGCCTCGTGGCTAGAGCGTTCGTTCGTCACCCCGAAAGCCCGGATTAAATTCCCCATATGGATAAAATGTCTGAAGCCCATTTCTGGTGTCCCCGCCGTCATACTGATGGAATATTATTAAAAGCGGCGTAAAATCTTACTCACTCACTCATTTTGTAATTAACTCTAACCAATGGCCGATAATAAAGCATTTTATTTGTTTATTCGTTGATTTACGGATTCACCGACCGTAAAAATTTAAAGCAGGAATTTGTAAAAGGTGTTCCAGTTTCTACCTTTTTTAATTACCGCCTCGTCTGAAAATCATAGTTACGGAAAAAAAAATTATATATTATTTTTAATTGCTAAATTATCCGTGAACGGTCACTCAAAGCTTGAGGTGTAACCATGCATACTGAATACTGTTGTTGTTTTTTTGAGTCGGCAGTGCACCAACCAATGTTTGAAAAAAACTATTTTATAACTATTGAATGACTATTTCAACATTAATGTCGCGTTTGACTCAAATGCTAAGTTAAAGTAAATTAAAAAGAGGAGAATTTGAAAATCGCTTTTTTTCTCTCTCCCTACAGGTCTTATCTTTTAACAAAAACCAACAAAATATTCTATTTGAACAACAAATATTGAACAACAAATCCGGAAAGCGGCGAGTGGGAAAAATAAGACCCAAGTTACGAAATGATAAACTGTTGTCGCTTGTGTGAGTGAATTGGGTTTAACGCCGCTTTTAACAGTATTCCAGATATATCACGGCGTGTCAGCTTAATGTGGGAGGAAAGCCCGAAGTGATGCAGGTCTCAGGTGTTTACCACTTCTGTGCAACCCACGAGCACAGGTATGGTGCTGACAAACCTAGAAATATAATTGGGGCGAACCGGGATTCGAACCCACAACCATAGGTTTCTGGCGTGCCCAAGGAACGCAACTCTGCACAGCGAATCGCGGCGCCTTAGACGACTGGGCCCCTCGCTTGTTTGAGGTGGTCTGCCAATGTATTCATTCATTAATCTAGGTAACGACCACATGCTTCCAGTCGTGTACCGAGTAACGTTTAGCATGGAGACGAAAGCCAGACAACATTAATTATTTCTGACGATATAAAACTACTGTCACGTGTGACACAGTATCTGTTTACGTATTATCAGAATATAAGGTGTCTTTGAATTCAGATTGTTGGGAGCACAAGCCAGTCGTCTGCGGCGTCGCAGTTGTAGCAGACGTGAGAATAATGTTATTTGAAGTTATTTGGTGGTGGATTTTAAGTTCAAAATGATTAATTTAGTTATTCCCAAGATAAATGAATACTTCCCACAACCCAATAAGGGCCCCCAGTCCATAAAGAGTCTCATTGTTATTGTAAGGTGTCATTTCTAAAGAAGAAGTGTGCCATCACATTTGATTGTCTACAAGTTTCTGTAAACCAAGATGAATATGGTGGCTGAGAGGGGACATCGCTTTCTCGCTTTCTCGCTCTATCGCTTTCTCGCTTTATCGCTTTCTCGCTCTATCGCTTTCTCGCTTTCTCGCTTTCTCGCTCTATCGCTTTCTCGCGGTTAAGCAATATCCCCTCTTGACCACTATAGGGGCCGCATGTGATATCTGCTGCAATTGGGAGGTAATGTTGAACTTTTCTCACTATTTACTTAAAACATAATTTAACTGTAGAGACGTCGGTGATTTTAAAACAATCCACCGAATTTTGCGTATAATATAATTGATTTATTTATAGCCCTTTTCAGTTGTATGTGACCATCTCGCCGTAAGCGCGTGGCAGATCATGGCAATACGTTCTAAATAAATCAGGTTAAAATCTAAATATATACTATATATAAAAGTTAAGAAGACTTTGGTTAATTAGTCATGGCTGATTGTTTTGCAAAAATACAATCTTATAATTTTGGATGTTCTATAACTAGTTTTCGGTAGTATATGATGTTACAGTGTGTCATAATTTGGTTGTCCGTAAATGTTCTTTTTGACATTTAACTTGAATTGTGTTTCTTGTCTTGTGCAAATCTACAAATATATGTACTTGCATATAGTAATTTGATAAACACCGCTGTGAGTAAGTGAGTGGGAATGGTTTCACGTCGCTTTTAACAATAATCCAGTAATATCACGGGGAACACCAGAAATGGGCTTCACACATTGTACCCATGTGGGGAATCGAACTGGGTCCTCGGGTTGACGATCGAACGCTTTAACCACTTGGCTACCCCACTGCCCCCATCGCTGTGGCGTTACCACAGTTGATATGTGTACTTGTGTTAACTACACATATGGAGAGACATAATTATTGTGGCCACATAGTTAAGGTTGATAACAATACGAAATGCATTACTATAATTATCTATAACATATATTAAATCAGCTATCATAATAATATGCTATGTATATCTTAAGTATAGTTTTGTCAAAATTATGTATGTGTGTATGTGTTTGTGTGTGTGTCCGGTAGTAGATAACTACAGAACTCACATCAGAACGCACAATTGTTAACCATACAGTTAAAATGGATAGAGAATTGCTACTTAAATATGTATATTCCTGTCTGAGCTTTACTATAATTGGATATCTAGTCTCTCCTGGCGGGAAAGTTAAACTATATTTTACAAGCACTTTAGCATTAAATTTAATTCCCGAAGACAGTTTGATCGAAAATCATTATAAGAAACGAGTTGTTTTTAAAAAATATCTACGACGCATTTCATTTCTGTTGTCCAAGGAATGGGGTTACGGGTTAATGACGCTCTCGAAAGTCGTATATATGACTTAAGATAGAGACATATATCTAATTTATCTGTATTTTGTAAGGGAAACATAACTGTGTACATGTACATCTTTTGTTTGCATAATGTGCATGCAACTTAACTGCATGAACATAATTGTGATCCCGAAATCGGACGAGCATATATTCGGCTTCAATTCCAAATCTAATGACCGAAAAAAATAATTCTTTGGACGTTGTAAAACAATACAAACTGGCTAATAAAACTGACAATTATTTGTCAATATATTATCAGTTTTAAGATTGATGGAGGAATGAGGGGAGGATACTATGAAAAAAATGAAGATATGAACAGTGACTATCTGTATTCTGTGAATCTTGCTTATTTATTACACTACAAGAAAATATACAAGCTAAACGAGAAACAATTACGTGTGTATTTTGTAACATATCTATCTACTTCAAGATGTTTAAAAAATCTAATCATAAGAGGCAAAATAGCGGTGAGAATTACAGGAATGGATCACTAAATGTCAGCAAAACCGTTTTAATGAATGGCATTATGGGAAATATCGCTTTCATGCTCTATCGCTTTCTCGCTCTATCGCTTTCTCGCTTTATCGCTCTATCGCTCTATCGCTCTATCGCTTTCTCGCTCTATCGCTTTATCGCTCTATCGCTCTATCGCTTTATCGCTCTATCGCTCTATCGCTCTATCGCTTCCTCTAATGACTAGTCATATGAAGGAATCGGGTGTTCTTTAACTTCTTTTGAATAGTATGTACTGTAAATCTTGAAATTAACGTTAGAGTTAATAATAAATGCAAACAAATTAGCGTAGACTTAATTACCGCATTCGACGTGATAAGCGCACAGGGCGCTCTCAAAATTAGAATATTATCTTGGTGTAAAAAATGTTGAGTTGAAAGATGAATTTCTGGGTTTATGCTGACAGCCTGAAATGTTTATGTACGACAGATATATTTTTCCCGAATTTAATTTCCCATAATTAAGTGTGCATATAACGAGTGCTTATTATACGCGAATAAATAAGTCTTGTGTACATTAATCAATCGGGAGGGGTGCTGGGATTGTTCACTAGCCAATATATTAGCAAATAACGCCGTGGGCGTTTATTAGAGCGGGGCGCTCATTACATGTACGTCGAATGCAGCAATTAAACTTAGCATTTATGTCTCAGAAATGACTGTTGATAAGACGGCCTCACTGAACACTTTGAATAGCGGAAATACCAACTTGAATATAAAACCAATCAACTATCTATTTCCACATTACGGTTACTGAGAACAATATGTCATCCCAAAACTAGAAATTACATAATGAATATCCGGTAGTATTACCATTGCTTGGGTGAGGACTTCCACTTTGATGAAATCTACTCCGCAAACAGAATAAACATTGATATAAGCGTTGTTTTTAGGAAAACACTATTGCCTTTTAGGAAGTACGTACTACTCAGCGCTGTTGAGCGGTGTTATTTGCTATTTGTTTCGATACCTTGGCCTGGGGGCGGGGGATCCAATAGCTAAATAGGGGCATAAATCAATCAAATCCTTTTGTACGCAGAAATACGTGGATTGTTATAAATGCACCTATGTCTGTACTGTTAAATTATTTTTAAGTAGATTGTGAGAAAATTTCAACATTCTCCGTCCATAAGTATAATTGGAAATGCGACTTGGAAAAATCTCAGCCCCCCCTCACACACACACACTGAGGACAATTCATTAATGTTGTTTTACGTATATACTTTTTATCGTATAGAAACACATGACGCATGCGACCCATATCGTGGCCAAAAGGGAATATCGCTGTACCGCGAGAAAGCGATAGAGCGAGAAAGCGATAAAGCGAGAAAGCGATAGAGCGAGAAAGCGATAAAGAGAGAAAGCGATAGAGCGAGAAAGCGATAAAGCGATAGAGCGAGAAAGCGATAAAGCGAGAAAGCGATAGAGCGAGAAAGCGATAAAGCGAGAAAGCGATGTCCCCTCTCAGCCACCATAGATGAACCAGTTTGATTGGTTTGGTAATGCACATGCTTTTCGTGTTGTGAGCATGCTACATGCATGATAACTTGGCTGGTGACATCAGGAGTGGGAATACCTTTTTTGCTGGGTATGCGAAAAACATACTTCAGTTTAGTTTAGTTTGTTTTCGAAAAGTTGTTTTATAAAAAGTATAAGATATGATTTAAAATTGTTGAATTGCTTTAAACTTTGTCATGGTAGTTTAATTGTTCATGCAATTTGGTAATAACTTAACTTTGAACATTTTAAGCGTGTAGTTGTGTACAAACAAAAAAACTGTTGACAGTAAACGTTTGGCAGTTTTGTCTATGCAGTTATTTATTGTATTATTTGGTGTATTTGATAAAATGTAGGTTGGATAAATGGCAGTGGTCCTGGTAAACACACGTGGTTCAGCCCATAGTCGGTAATTACGAGTGTTGTATATATTTGTCATTTAATTCATAATAATTATGGTAAAGTTTCAAAATGATTTTGCTAACATCTCTATTGTAATTAAGCAGTCACTTGGCGTTTACCTTTTGTTAATGTTTTGTATCTTGTAATGTTATTTTGATATTAAGTTATTTTGTATGTTCGGTACCAGAGTAAGTTGCAAGTAACTGTATGACGTTAGGTAACTGGATATATCAGTTACAGTTAGTATATAGATTATTTTATTAGATGTGACATTGTTGACAGGGCCGTTATATCCACGAGATCGAAATGGTAATAAAGAACTCAGCCCAACACATCGGATCATGTCGTCATTGATTGATTCCTCAGTCGCGCCAGGATCCGATGGCCCGGAGTTCAATATTTGCCCTGATTAAGATCTTTGGTTTGTCAGCACAATGCTTGTGTTCCAGGGTTTCACCAAAGTGGTAAATCTTAAAGACATACTTCATTTCATTTCTGCCCCGAACCCCACACCCACACCCACACCCACACCCACACCCACACCCACACCCACACCCACACCCACACCCACACCCACCAATACTCCCCCTATTGTTATCACTCATTGAAACTATATTCCACAACGCTGATGGCAGAGTAACGTCCCCTGATACGTACGAACACAGTGGTTGACTTGACGGGGGTGTGGAGGGTGGTTGACGTGATGGCCAGCAGATACATCGGGGTCACCTCGGCGTCCATCTCTGTGTTCGTGTATAGATCTCCCTGAAACACAGTAGTGGCTGCATCATCATCATTATCAGTCTGTTTTACTGGAATACCACAAGTTGTTAAAGGGAGACTCTTTTGTACCCACTGGAGCACAATATCAGTCTTAGTCTAGGCGTCGCCACAAGTGCAATGTGTGAAAAGAGACGTTGCCTCTGTATCATTAAACCTTACTGTCATAAACATCATACAAATGTGTTACACAATATAGATACACACAGATGTGTTCGAAGGAATTGAAATAATTACGCTAGGACTGTACATTTGACTGAGTCCAGTCTCCCTTTAAGGCTTTTACACATGATCAGCAAATCTCCCATCCATCACACGTATATACTGGTAGTGAGATCGAATCCCAGATTACCCCGATTCTGATACTTGGTGTGTCAGCAGCATACCCGTGAATAAATAGCGGTTACAAGGACCTGGAGAATATCGGACGTTCCTCCCACATGATGCTGACACGTCGTGATAGAATTGGAAGAATGTATACATTGAACACAAAACCCACATGTGGATTTGTTTGTTTGTTTGTTGTTTAACGTCGCACTCAGCCATATTCCAGCTATATGACGGCTGTGTCAAAAATCGAGTCTGGAGCAGAAACCCAGTGATATCACTGCAGTTATCCTCGCAGTTAGGACACGATGACATGCAGCAACCAAGTCAGCGAGCCTGAGAAGCATAGTTGCCTCTTACGACAGCACGGCCATGGGTTGCTGAAGACCTGTTCTAACCCGGATCTTTACGGGTCATATGTTGATGTGGCACACGCCTTTATCAAGTAGAGGCGACCGACCAAAATTAAAACTACGAGCCTAAATAAAATTAATTAAACAGTCTGAATTATTTATTTTTTTAGACATATTTTCTGGGATAATTTTATATTCCACTAGCCCCACCACCCAAGGACCATGATTTCAGAAAGAAAAAAACGGCTTGCTTCCTTCTCAACGTTTTCCGAGTGCTTGGCCGTCTCAATAGGAGGTATAAAATTAATTAGTATTCGAACATTTGAGCTAGTACACAACATAGCTTTTTTGACTGATAGGCTTACACGTAGGTGTACATTTTGTTCAACATCAGCACTACGGTTATTTATTGATGGTGTTAGTTTATCAAAGCACAATATTCTAATATACTTACATATGGCGCAGTTATGTAGAATTCTGATTTGTGCAATCCCACCATGTCCACAGCGAGCTCATGTTCCCCGGGGAAGACAGTTAGGACTGGGTTTACCAGCATGACACTCGTGCGTATCGGGGAGTTCTCAAGCACAGACCCAAAATAAGCTGGTTCGTGGAACGTAGGGTAGCCCTCTGCAGGGTCATATACTCTGAAATTAATTGGTGAACTTGTCCCAATATTCCCGCCTCCATCTGTTGCATTTGCTGTTACTGTGAAAGAAACCTTGTTGTCCGACTTCGCCAAAGCCCTATTCAGTGTAAGCATCCCGGTGTACTTGTCAAGGAGAAATGGTGATGGTGATCCTCCGAGAGAATAATTCACAACGCCATTCCCATCAGTTGTGCTGTCTTTATCAACGGCCACGAACTGGTAGACAGGAACGCCTGATTTTGCTGTGACGGGAATGTTGAAAGTGGAAACTGGAGAGGCGATGAAACGGGGCCTATTGTCATTAACATCCTGGACTGCAATAGCCACATGGATGAAGCCGACGAACCTGTTGGTCGTTCTACCTGTCACGTTAACAGTAAGGTCCAAGTACTGGATTGTTTCATAGTCCAGCGACCCCACATTCAACTTGGCATCATTTATGTTGGCAACTGAACGACTGTAATTGTTTCCAGAAGCGATACTGAAAGACACTTCAGATTTGGGAAATGTCTTGAAGGGTCCGACAAGAAGATCCAGCGAAACCGGCGAACTGTTCTCGGTGATGGAGCGATAGATGAACTCTTCGAGGATGCTTTCTGATTTGATTTGAAATGATATTTGTCTTGAACTCGTCAATGATGGGCTCCCGTTATCTCTTGCTTCTACAGTGATGTGAAATAGATTGTCTTCAAGGTTAAACAGACTCTGTCGCGTACGTATGTCTCCATTTGTCCTGTCAATACTGAAGCGGGAAGCGTCGATGGTGTTCAGTATAAAATATGTCACTCTTCCATTGTCACCAGAATCCTTATCCGTTGCTAATACAGTGTATATGATCGCTTCCGGTTCCCTAAACTTACTTACGGGGATGACCATATTGTCGGTACTCGGTATTTTGAAAATGGGGCTGTTGTCGTTAATATCTGTGATTGTAACAGTGACGTTGGTGTAAATGGTTGTTTGGTCGTCTGTGGCTGCAACTTGGAAGAAGAAGGAGCTGTGGAGTCCATCATGATCGACTGGCGAAGTCGGCGTGGTATTCAGCCGGATGGACCCGCCATCTTGGGTGATGACGAAGGGGAAATCCTTGTCTGTGTATTTCTTACTGAAACTGTAGCGGACGTGGGAGGAGTTCACAGTCACCTTAAAAACATCATAAAAGCAAGCGCTGTTTACATACTTATGGTGTTAGGAAGGTACAATGTGCGGAAGGAAAGTAAACTTATACGTACATGTTTCAGTTGAAATATATATGCAATGTACGATAGGTAAGTAAGTAAATATTAGTACCTCTGCAATATATAAAATAAACTTTAGAAGTGCCTGTTTCGTGAATTGTCCTTCCATGTTCGAGTCAGTGTCAACTTTCGGCTACAAATGAGAATCGAATGCCCGAAGGTATGGGTTGTTGGTCATGCCACCAACCACTGGTTTGCATGACCAAGATTCGAACCCTTGAACCCGCCAGTGCCGAGTACCCACCAGCCCAACTTCCGCGCTTGATGGTGTATTCTCTGGTATGCTGAAGTTGTATGAGGGCTTGTAGAAGAACCAGCGGTTGTAACCGTCTATCATCCTCATCAACACCAGAGTCTGGCCCATACGTGGAGATTTGCCGTCTGAAGAAACAGATTATGACCAAATACAGGAAAACGTTGCCACGTATTTCATAATATTAAAGAGGGTACGGGTGACTCAATCGTCTAAGGTGCAGTATTTCACTGTGAAGAGTTGCGTCCCTTGTGCACAACAGAAACCTATATGATCGTAGGTTCGAACCTTGGAGTTGGTTTAACGCCGCTGTGCACAGTGTCACAGTTATATAGCGGCGTCTCAGCTTGGTGCAGGGGCAAAGCCTGAGGTCATGCAGTTGTTTGTAGTTTACCAGTTTGGTGAACCCACGAGCACGAGTATGGTTCTGACACACCTAAAGACATAATCAGGGTGAATCGAGTCTATCGAACCCACGATCTCAAGTTAATGGCACGCCCACAGGATGCATCTCTGCATATGTAATGTAGATGGTATGTACAAGCATACACGTTTAAGTCTGTTACCTTCTATTTCAAATAGATATTTAGAGGAGTCTACTAAAGAAGCCGCTCCTTTATGAGATGATGTAACTGATGTTCTTCCCTGTAGTTTTACAAGATAATTTATACTATAATGCTATTTGATGTTTGGCACAGTAGCTTTAACGACAATTGTAAGGGTGATTTAGGCTCATGCGTAGTTTTGGCAGTATATCCATCTGTAACAGCCGATTACCTGAATACATAGAGACAATGTATGCCTTCTACACAGGACAAGACATGCCGATGATTATATCTAGGCTGCAACTGGGCAACAGACATCAGACATTGTCAGCCCGAGCTGAAGTCAGCATCTACCAGGTGGGCTAAACAGGAATGACAGACACAATAATAACTCTTACCGTCTGTGGCCATAACAAGGAAAGTAAAGTTCTTGTTTTTCTGTAGTGCATCTACTCCCGCGTTCGTGACGCGGATGTCTCCAGTTTGGTCAACAGAGAGGAAGGAGTCAACTGGAGCTTCCATTGTGTAGTTGACTGTTCCGAATACACCAGAATCCCTATCGTAGGCCGTAACCTGTGAAAACACATTTAATGTTCCATAGTATTTAGTACGTGATAATATATTTACACTAGATTTATTGTAAAGAAACTCTCACACACTGTAATGGGTCTGTAAAGTGGTTTACGTGCATATCAGTACAACACTGCATTTAATCCTTAGGCGATGCTGGGCGAGGATGTTTAACAATTTGGTGAAAGCTACGGCATTGGTGCTGACAAACCATGGCGCAGAAATATTTTAAATATTTTGCTTAAAGCGGTTGAGAACCTCCACCGACTTCTCTCCTATTACTGGTTTCTTTACAAAGATGCTAAAAGCTGATACATGAAACAACTGCTTGAAGGTGGAAGCTGACTCTCGCTAAACTTCCCGTTGGTTTAAATTTGACACATTATTATTGACATGGTTAGTGCTTCACGGCACAGTCTGCAATATTCCATCTTTAGGACGGCAGCCTGTAAATAATTGAGTCTGGACCCAGTGATTGGTATCATGAACACCGCCCCACGCCTATAGTGTACAAACAGCCAAGTCACCGAGCCTGATCACCCATCCTATTTAGTCCAACTGGGGACCTGTCTTTACCCACCCGGGTTTGTTCCCACAATAAAATGTCAGTAGCTTTTGTTTCAAGTAGAGACCGCCTCCGTGGTCTAATGGTAGAGCGTTCGTCCGGAAAAGCAGGTCCGGGGTTCGATCCCCGGCCGCGTCATACCAAAAGTACGTGTTGTTACCCTACCTGGCGCTCGGCATTAAGGGGCTAAAACAAGGACTGGTCGGCTCGGAGTCAGTATACTGTGACGGAGTGGGGTATTCATGTTAAACAGCGACATGGTATCTCAGTGGGCTATCACTGTAAAACCGGCATTAGTCTCAAGCAGCCTCACACTCACGTGCATGCACGTCGCAATATAAGTGCTATAGTCTTGGATGCGACGTTAAACCCCATTTCCACTAACCTCACCTTGTTTTCTGTCGGTAAACTGCACCTAGATTTGTATAAGAATCAATATGTTCGTAGACTTTGATGGATCCATGGATATGTGGATAATAGGTATTCCTCAGTTGTGACGGCCGATGTTAAATGGTAGTTCGTGTGGAACTGTTTTACCCAAAATGGCATAATGCGCCATATGTACGTACAGAGCATTTCTAATAGTTGAAACTAGATTATTTCATGAGAACTTGTTCTTATGAAATGCTTTGCACAAAACACTTTCGATTATATAATAATCTAATAAACAGTAAAGTAATAAAAAACGAAATAGTGCCTGTCTATTAATACATGTACTTATTAGTCACTAATTGATTGGCCTGTTTGTTTGTTTGGGGTTTTTTGTTTAACGCCGCACTCAGCAATATTCCAGCAATGACGGCGGTTTGTAAATATTCGAATCTGGACCAGCCAATTCAGTGATTCACTGCATGAGCATCGGTTTAGCAAATGGTATACGATGACATGCATCAGCGAGCCTGACCACCTGATCGCCTTAGTCGCCTTTTACAAGCACAGTTGTGTTTTACGGCCAGCATGGGTGCTGAATACCGATTCTAACCCTGAATCTTCACCGAAGACACTAACTGATAATTGGAAATAATTGATATAATTGTATATAAGTGTATTTAAGTTCATTTACTTTTGTACACAAATTACCACTAATCTTTCGGGCTAATGAACGATGGGCCCACGATTTCAATTTTAAGCGATATATTCTAAAGAGTACAGCCGTTTAAAAGATGCTTCGTTCTTTGAAATGATTCGTTTCACCCTACTTACAGTTCCGACGTACATGCCGTCTGTGGGAGGCCATGTCATGACAAAGTCGTACGGGTTCGAGGTGAAGATAGGGCTGTTGTCGTTAACATCGTGAACTTTGATAATGATTGTCGACTGGTTACTTTGAAAATGTTCGTCTGTGAGTGACTCCTCTGCGTGTACCTGTTGTGGCAACAAGTATAAATAACTAACTGATATGTCAACATTCTCCGTTTACTCTTTTACAAGACATAAGTGTGAACACGAACAAAATAGAGGAAGGTTATATACAATGTCATATAAAGGTCTTCAATGCTATTGACAGAGAGTGTGTCAAGTTTAACGCTGTTTTCAGCATTAATTCAACCATGATACGACAGAAATAGGCTTCACACATTGTAGCCATGTGGGGAATCGAACCTTTTCTTCGTAACTAAAACAATTCTCGGACTAACCCTCATTAACGAGGTATCGCTGGACAAACTATAGTCCAGTCAAGTCAAGTATTGCAGCAGCAACTGCATATGACACTCACCGGACAAATGTATTGATGGTGTTATTGTTGATAGTCTACTGTATCGGACACTCACCGGACAAATGTATTGATGGTGTTGTTGTTGATAGTCTACTATATCTGACACTCACCAGACAAATGTATTGATGGTGTTATTGTTGATAGTCTACTGTATCGGACACTCACCAGACAAATGTATTGAAGGTGTTATTGTTGATAGTCTACTGTATCGGACACTCACCGGACAAATGTATTGATGGTGTTGTTGTTGATAGTCTACTGTATGGGACACTCACCAGACAAATGTATTGATGGTGTTGATGATAGTCTACTGTATGGGACACTCACCAGACAAATGTATTGATGGTGTTGTTGTTGAAAGGCTACTGTATCTGACACTCACCAGACAAATGTATTGATTGTGTTGTTGTTGATAGTCTACTGTATGGGACACTCACCGGCCAAATGTATTGATGGTGTCATTGTTGATAGTCTACTGTATCTGACTATCACCAGACAAATGTATTGATTGTGTTATTGTTGATAGTCTACTGTATCTGACACTCACCAGACAAATGTATTGATGGTGTTGTTGTTGATAGTCTACTGTATCTGACACTCACCAGACAAATGTATTGATGGTGTTGTTGTTGAAAGGCTACTGTATCTGACACTCACCAGACAAATGTATTGATTGTGTTATTGTTGATAGTCTACTGTATCTGACACTCACCAGACAAATGTATTGATTGTGTTATTGTTGATAGTCTACTGTATCTGACACTCACCAGACAAATGTATTGATTGTGTTATTGTTGATAGTCTACTGTATCTGACACTCACCAGACAAATGTATTGATGGTGTTGTTGTTGATAGTCTACTGTATCTGACACTCACCAGACAAATGTATTGATGGTGTCATTGTTGATAGTCTACTGTATCTGACTATCACCAGACAAATGTATTGATTGTGTTATTGTTGATAGTCTACTGTATCTGACACTCACCAGACAAATGTATTGATGGTGTTGATGATAGTCTACTGTATGGGACACTCACCAGACAAATGTATTGATGGTGTTGTTGTTGAAAGGCTACTGTATCGGACACTCACCGGACAAATGTATTGAAGGTGTCATTGCTGATAGTCTACTGTATGGGACACTCACCAGACAAATGTATTGATGGTGTTATTGTTGATAGTCTACTGTATCGGACACTCACCGGACAAATGTATTGATGGTGTTGTTGTTGATAGTCTACTGTATCTGACACTCACCGGACAAATGTATTGATTGTGTTGATGATAGTCTACTGTATGGGACACTCACCAGACAAATGTATTGATGGTGTTGTTGTTGAAAGGCTACTGTATCTGACACTCACCAGACAAATGTATTGATTGTGTTGTTGTTGATAGTCTACTGTATGGGACACTCACCAGACAAATGTATTGATGGTGTCATTGCTGAAAGTCTACTGTACCTGACAATCACCGAACAAATGTATTGATGGTGTCATTGCTGATAGTCTACTGTATCTGACACTCACCGGACAAATGTGTTGATGTTGTTATTGTTGATAGTCTACTGTATCGGACAATCACCGGACAAATGTATTGATGGTGTTATTGTTGATAGTCTACTTTATCGGACACTCACCAGACAAATGTATTGAATGTGTTATTGTTGATAGTCTACTGTATGGTACACTCACCAGACAAATGTATTGATGGTGTTATTGTTAATAGTCTACTGTATCTGACACTCACCGGACAAATGTATTGATGGTGTTATTGATAGTCTACTGTATCTGATACTCCTCAGATAAATGGTTTGATAGTGTTGATAGTCGACTATATCTGTCACTTACCCGACAATAGTAACTATGCTCCTGTTCATAGTCTAGTAGACGGGTCAGATGGACTTCTCCCGACGCGGAGTCCACATCGATCGGACACTCGGGTGTATCAAGTACATACATAACAACAGCGTTGTTTCCCTGTGGAAATTAAATGTGAAACAATATGTGTCAATTCAAGGTCAACAATTATTTCCTTACTACTATACAAAGAAAAATGTGCATAGAAAGATAAATTGAATAGGTCATTTATCTGTCAAGAATATTCTCACAAAACAGTTTTTATCGTAAGTGTGTATGCAGATCTACCTGAAATCAGTATAGGATTCGGACACAAGTAGAATAAGCAAATCATCTTCTATATGAAAAGTACCAAAAGGACACTCTCAAATCTTCTCCCATGACTGCTACATACCACCTTCCGAGTATTTATTTAAAATATTTAGCTGGTCCTGAAGGCGACTCGTTTCTGATACGAGTATTACATCGTCTACAAATATCCATTATACCCAGACAAAATCGGGTTATAACTTAATCCAATTCTTACCAATGCTGGCAATGTTCCAGAGATAACTCTTTGACGAAAAACTAAATTATAACTGGGTTTAACATACATCCTTGCTTTACATCTTTTGGGCAGTCGAAATACTCGCTTCGTTCGTCTAAAGAGTACACGGGATTTAACACAAGCATAGATTCGAGGAATATATATACTCAAATTTAGTCATTTGTTTCCCAAAGTATCAATGCATGCAACAGCCTGAAACAACATGTCATGTATTGAACTATGTTATATTATACTCTTATACCACCGTAACTCAAAGGTCCTTTGGGCCTTTTCTTATTAAGGCTCAGTGTCCTTAATTGTCCCTCCCAGGTACCCCCCTTCCAACCAACCGTGTCAGCGTCTGTTGCGGATAACGTTAGCAGGTGAAGCCCAAGTGCACTGGCCTCCGAGATGTCAACGTAGTAGGTTGTCTGCGTCATCACGGGTTTGTTGTCATTTACGTCCACGACGTCGATGATGAGAAGCGCGTTCCCTTCATCGCTTCCATCACTGTGCGTCTCCTGAAGAAATTGCGTATACATAATATTAATACTAGGTGAGGTGAAATGGGGTTTCACGTCGCGTTCAAGATTATCGCGACGTACATGCACGTGTGTGTGTCTGCTTGTACTTGTACGGACTGATTGCGCTTTATAGTGCTTACCCACTGAGATACCATGCCGCAGGTTAACACGAATGCTCCTCTCAGACACAGTATACTGACTCCCAGCCGACAAGTCCTTGTTTTAGCTCCTTAATGCCCAGCGTCAGGCAGGGTAACAACAAGTACAAACGTATTTTGATATGACACGGCCGGAGATCGAACCCGGACCTTTCGCTCTCCGGACGGACTCTCCACTACTAGACCACGGAGGTGGTCTCTTCTTGAAACAATAACTACTAACAATAACTACTGACATCTTATGGTGGGAACAAACCCGGGTGGGTAAAGGTGTGGTGTGTGTCTTTATTTGCGTGTTTAGCTGGCGTGTTAAATCCATGTTTACTTACGTGTTTAGTGGGCGTGATCAGTGTGTATATATCATTTCCCGCACGGCAATAAGGATATAAATTTGCTGTGTTTTGAAATTTGATGTCGTAATGCCTTAGATTCGATATCTTTTATTTTTAATTTTGAAACGAGCGCTTTCGTGTGAAAAGGCTCAATTTAGAGGTGTCAAATGGAAATTTGATACCTCCTGTAAACCAATCAGAAGTAAGCAAGCTTTATGGAATGTTAGAATGTCCGTTTACCTGCAGTAGAAGATCTACACGGTGATTAGGTGTGCTCTCATAGTCCACGGGTTGGGTCATATAAATGCTTCCCGTTCTGTTGTTTATCCAGAACAAGTCAGATGACGTATCTGTGTCTGCAAAGAAATTAATATAACCTCACAAGCCCTTACTCAAACACGTCAGATGACGTATCTGGGTCTGCAAAGAAATTAATATAACCTCACAAGCCCTTACTCAAACACGTCAGATGACGTATCTGGGTCTGTAAAGAAATTAATATAACCTCACAAGCCCTTACTCAAACACGTCAGATGACGTATCTTGGTCTGTAAAGAAATTAATATAACCTCACAAGCCCTTACTCAAACACGTCAGATGACGTATCTGGGTCTGCAAAGAAATTAATATAACCTCACAAGCCCTTACTCAAACACGTCAGATGACGTATCTGGGTCTGTAAAGAAATTAATATAACCTCACAAGCCCTTACTCAAACACGTCAGATGACGTATCTGGGTCTGTAAAGAAATTAATATAACCTCACAAGCCCTTACTCAAACACGTCAGATGACGTATCTGGGTCTGTAAAGAAATTAATATAACCTCACAAGCATAATAAGCATATTTAATTATATATATTTAACACATAGTGGTGGATAAAACATGCATTACGACAATTCTCTCATACATATAAATCCACAAGTGCGTAACCGACTTCGACTCATCTGATTCATACATAATGCTCTCGTGACCCGTGAAGATCCTGGGTAGAATAGGTCTTCAGCAACCCATGCTTGCCGTAAAACGAGACTATGCTTGTGTAAGAGACGACTAACGGGATGGGGTGGTCAGCCTCGCTGACTTGATTGATGCATGTCATCGTATCCCAATTGCGTGGATCGATGCTCATGATGTCAATCATTGGATTGTCTGGTCCAGACTTCATTATCTACAGACCGCCGTCATATAACTGGAATATTGCTGAGTGCGGCGTTAAACAACAAATATACAAACAAACACAGTGCCCTCGTGAATATAAAATGTAATCGATTGGGAACTATTCTAGTGCAATGTTCTCATCATTGCTAGTATATGTTTCCATCGAGTAAGACGACTTTGAAGCAGTGTTCTCATCCACATAGTCGTCCTACATCGATTTAAACGATTCTGGTGCAATAGTCTCCACCATTTAAACTCACATCCATTAAAACGTGAGTGAGTGAGTGAGTTGGGTTTAACGCCGCTTTTAACAGTATTTCAGTTATATCGCGGCGTGTCAGCTCAATGTGGGAGGAAAGCCCGAAGTGATGCAGGTCTCAGATGTTTACCACTTCTGTGAAACCCACAAGCATGGGTATGGTGCTGACAAACCTAGAAACATAATCGAGGCGAACCGGGATTCGAACTCACAATCATAGGACTGTGGGAATACAGTGAGAACGGGTCCGGGAAGCCTTTCGCAATAATCCAGCTGTATGCCGGCGGTATGGAAACAATTGGGTATGTGCCAGGCAGTCTGGTGAGTGACATCATGAGCATCGATCCACGAAATTGGGATACGATTACATGCATCAACCAAATCGGCGAGCATGACCACCCGATCCCGTTAGTCATCTCTTACAAACATGGGATGCTGAAGACCCATTCTAACCTGATTATTCGCAGGTTCGATGACCATGCAAGTCACCGAGACTGACCATTCGAAACACGAGGAACAGATGATACGGGTACTGTAGTAACAGTATGTTCACAATCAGTTAGTGGGCGTTAGGGGAATATGGTGGTTTTTTAAAAGGAGTACCATTGCGTGATATGGGGAGAATGTCAACTGGAACAAATGTAGTCGTTGTGATCCATTCAAGCCGTCTGGTTTCAACTGCGACATGGTATAACCATAACAGCTTGTTAAACTTACCAATCATGTAGACAACCTGGGTGTCATCTCGGCACGCTCTGATTTCAGGGGTAACTGGTACAGAGATTAATTGGTAGCGAGCCTGAAAAAGTAATATTAATATGGTTCATTTTGTGAGATATCCCTTGCATGTACTTACAGTAAGTGCACGTGGCGGCCCTGTTATCTCAAGGCGCCGCAATTTGTTGTGCAGAGTTGCGTCCCTTAGGCTTTCTAAATTTGTCAGCCGTGCTCGAGGGTTTCACCAAAGTGGTAAACGTCTAAGACTACATCGCTTAGGTGAGACTTTCATCCCACATAATGTAACACGCCGTGATGCAACTGAAATACTGTTTAAAGTATCTTTCCGAGGCAAAGGAGTTAACTGACTATAAAAGTTCATTTTCCACCCTTGCCGAGCTAGGCTGGAATTTCGGAGTTATATATCGGCTGGAATAACGATTTTATGCATAGTCCAATCAAATTCACGGAACGAAATCGATGCCAGGTGCAGATTCGGTCGATTGTAGGATTTGGCGTGGACATATATATATTTTTTGATATTTTCATCTTTTTTTAATGAAGGTACTCAAGTGATTTGATGCATTTCGCGAAGTAAGACCCGTTTCATTACAATATAGATCTTGATTATCCATCAGATTGTCTGGACTGGGCGCCGCCATTTTGTTTGAAGAAACCGCAAGTGATTTGAGAGGTGGAATCTGATTAGTCAATAGGAGGGACGTAGAAGTGACATAACTCATAATAGCCACTACGATCGAGCATCGAAATTCCAACCAAGTTCGGCAAGGGTGGAAACTTGACTTTTACAGTAAGGTAAATCCTTGTGTCAGGAAGATCTGTTTGAAGCAAATCATTCACTCACTCCCTGTTCGTAAAGCGGTAATTTATCCAACCAGTGTTTCTAAAGACTCGTGTATATGGACCTAAATTGCATATGCATGCACATGTGCACTCTGTTTTAATATACATATCTAAGCATAAGTTAATTTACCATGCGTATAAATGACCTACCTTGACATGTATTAACGAAGGTTAAACCGCTTTAAAAATGCCCTTTTTTCTCTCTCTTTAATAAGGGGCTTAAAGCCAGTGACAGCATGAAAATATTTGAAGTTTTTCATGTTTCAATTGATTTTTTAGGAAGCCCAGATAGTCTCTTCCTTTTCAGGGCGGTCGGGTAGCCTATTGGTTAAAGCGTTCGCTCGTCACGCCGAAGACCCGGGTTCGATTCCCGACATGGGTACAATGTGTGAAGCCCATTTCTGGTGTCCCCCGCCGTGATATGGCTCGAATATTGCTAAAAGCGGCGTTAAACATACTCACTCACTCACTCTTCCTTTTCACTCGAAAACTGAACAAATCTAGACTTGACAAAGGATTGTCAATATCTGAAAAGCGCCCCTTTGAACATCATTTAAGTTTAACTTCCGTCACGGAGGTTTAATCGGGGAGGACAGCCTTTGGTGGCGCATATCGTGAACAATTGTCCCGTTAGTGAAAACCAAGAGCTTTGTCATGGTGCTGACAGACAAAGGGTCATAATCGGATCGAAAACATGACAGCGGATCCTGACACGACTAAGGGCCGCAACAATTTATGGGACCTCAGATAACTGCTCCGCATGTACTCCTGAATCAGAGTGAGATACAAGCACAATTTCGCAGTAATGATGTAAATAGACTCACATTTTCTTCAACGTGAGCTGTGTACAATGACGCTGAAAACCCCTTGACGCATGGCTTATCCTCGGGGACTTGTGTTGTTGGTGTCTTCAACACTGTACAAACAAAGCAGGCAATCTTTCGAAATAAGTGTTGATTAGTTCTACTCCTGAATTCCAGGCCATGAATGTGGAAACAGCGTATGATTGATAATTTGCCACTTGATATCACGATCGTCGAAACAGTGGACGTATGATTGATAATATGTATCACGATATCACGATCGTCGAAAAAGTGGACGTATGATTGATAATATGTATCGCGATCGTCGAAACAGTGGACGTATGATTGATAATATGACGCACGATATCACGATCGTCGAAACAGTGGACGTATGGTCGACCATTTGCCGCACGATATTACGATCGTCGAAACAGTGGACGTATGGTCGACCATTTGCCACACGATATCACGATCGTCGAAACAGTGGACGTATGATTGATAATATGACGCACGATATCACGATCGTCGAAACAGTGGACGTATGGTCGACCATTTGCCACACGATATCACGATCCTCGAAACAGTGAGCGTATGATCGATCATTTGCTACACGATATCATGATCCTCGAAACAGTGGATGTATTGTCGACCATTTGCTACACGATATCATGATCCTCGAAACAGTGGATGTATTGTCGACCATTTGCTACACGATATCATGATCCTCGAAACAGTGGATGTATTGTCGACCATTTGCCACACGGTATCACGATCATCGAAACAGTGGACGTATGATCGATCATTTGCTACACGATATCATGATCCTCGAAACAGTGGACGTATGGTCGACCATTTGCCACACGATATCACGATCCTCGAAACAGTGAGCGTATGATTGATAATTTGCCACACGATATCACGACCGCATAATTGATAACTTGACATGCAAATCATGAACTGCTGTATAAAGAAGAATATAAACTTAAGATTAAAAGTACAGAGCATTCGTCTTCCATGTTTTTTTGGCAGAGTTTATTTGGTCGTTTCCATCTAGCTGTTTTATCATAAGGACACGGGAGCTTAATTCAATTCGAAGTGCTAGTCTAAACGACGCTGTAGGATAATGGCCGCTTAGCTACTTTAATCGACTTGTGTTGACGGTTGGGTGAGAATCTCTATGTGGCAGTAATTTTCATGAAGCGTTCTTGCTGATATACATATTTGCTTTGACCTTATCTAATTTAGGAAGTGTAGCTATGGACAACACAGACACATGGTGAAAGATTCATCTTGCTTACGGGATTGACTCGTACGTGAATTTTAGCATTTTAAAAAAAAATCGAAGTTTATCTGGTCTGGAAGGTCATGTGACATCGCGTCGTCGAAAGTCGTCCACCTCCGTGATCAGCGTCTTCGTCCAGAAACTAGCTACATTTCTTACTTCTTCTCTTTAATTTTGTATCGGTATTTGTATTTGTGTATTGTATTTTGTAATAAGGTGGTTCAAGTTTGTCAACGGCAATATGGCTGCCAGGTAGCCAGCCATCTTTCAAATCTTCTTATTCACAGGGCCAGAGGCCTTAAACTTTGTGGCTGAGATGTGCATGGCTCTTGTGCTTACGCAGTTTAGTCAGTCTTTTGAACTCAATCTTGATCATGTCGTAAATCCAAAACTTGCAAGTCCAACTTGTCAGTCATATGAACATGTCCGACAATTTGGCACTGGCCAGGTTTTGGGTGACATTTCAAAGGGTCAAAGAGCCTTAATTATACCCCGTCCTTTCTGTATTTCGATAAACATCGCCGGCTATTCCTAATCTTGTGTTCCATTATAAATATGTATACTCTATTGTTATGTCAATAAATTCAATCGATAGGCCTCCAGTAGACCTCATATATAAAAATCAAGAACATCCTGTTTAAAAAAACTGTTTTGCTTCGGTTCTTAAAATGAAACATGACCTAAAACTTATAAGTAATACTAGGAAAGTAACCGCCGTAATTTGTAGCATATTATAGTTTGTAATATATTAGTAGTTTTATTAATATTTGTTACTATATACAGTCTGTGTACACCGTCTATATATTTATTCACACTGCTGTCAATAAAAATAATGTTATTTCCAGTCAAAATCAAAAAACAATCACAAGAAAAATACCCAGGTGTCCGCTAACAATAGATAAACGTATACTTATTGTGATACCAACAATGCATTAAGAAACACGAATGAATTGTAAAATTACTAAATTAATTATAACCTTAAGTTTGGGCAGCAGAAACTACACGTGCAATAAGGGTATATAAATGATATCGACGGCCTGTCAGAAACTCACACTGATAAACGCACCACAGAAATGCCACGCCTGACACGTGAACAACGCGCGCGGGCCCTTGGGCTGATACAGGTGGGAGCCACCATGCCCACATTACTAGAACTTTGGCTTTCTCCCGTTTTGCTGTATCAATTCTTTATTCATGTACATGTGTAGGCCAGCGGCCCATGGTACAATATTTGGTCCATCATTAACATTTATAGGCGTAGTGTTTGGAGTAGAAGTTGCAACATTTCTAATAACAGTCTCTTTGTTTACCGCCATAAGCATATTGAATTTAGCAAGAGTAGGATGTACAAAATACTTCTGTGGTAAATACTGAAGACGAAGTTCATCATAAGCGTTACAAATTAATAAAAAATGATATTCATTCTCGACATATCTTTGGTTGCAACTATTGCACAATCTCTGCTCTCGTGGAGTATCTACCAGTCTCAATATGGAGAGTGTCGGAGCTACAGCGAAACTGGGCTAGTGCAACACGAAATTTGTTGATAGTGATAGCAGACAAATACAACTCTAGACTAAATGAATTTTGGAAAAGTGTATAATGGAACAGTTTATAACTATTTGCTAAAGATCGGAAATAAATTATTCGTTTTGCTGTAACTAATCTGATGCAACGTTACATACAGACCGGGCAGATATCAGGCAGGCCAAGAACAGGCAGACCCAGGGTAACTACGCCCAGTGAAGACCGGTCCTCGCGTACTCCGTACGTGCATCTCCGTATTCGATTCCTGGCAGTGACGTCATCATCGACGTATGTCCTCGGGCATATGGTTAGTCGACAAACAGTGGCCGGCGACTCAGGACTCAATAAATGAGGGCTTACAGATCTCGCAGAGGACAATTATTGACAGCGCAACATCGTCGTCAGAGATTGACAGCGTTCGTTGGCAGCGACGTGACTGGCACAGGGTCTTTACCGCCGAAAGGGAGAACGAACGGCGGTATGTTGCGTTCAGGACGTCGTGCCGTAAGGTGGAGGGGGTGGTATTGTGTGGGAAGAAATTTGTGGGCAGTAGAGAACACACCTGGTCATCGTTTACAGGAAATTGACAGCTCAGCGTCACATGGATGACATTCTTCGTCTGATTGCCCCACCGTTTCTACAACAGCTGCCACGTGGTGTCCTTTATCAGCATGACAACGCCAGACCCCATACAGCGCGAATTGCTCAGAACTTCCTTGCAGCAAACAACGTCAATGTGTTGCCGTGGCCTGCACGCTCCCCAGGCATGTCCCCCCATAGAACACATTCTGGGACGTCATGGATCGTCGAGTTCAACAGCGACCACATCATCCAGCCAACCGAGAAGAACTGATCCATGCCCACCAAGAAGAATGGTGAGGTGTCCCACGTGACGTCATCAGACGAATGACTTTTCCAGTGCGCCGGAGCATTTTTGCGTGTCTTGTATCAGGGGCTGGTCATACACACGCTATTAATGTGAACTTGAGCTATTTATGATGTGTGCGCCCTTTGTCCATTAGGTTGAAAGCTTGTTTTTGCTACCCCATTTTCAATGTTTCGTTGAGAGTTTGATCTTTTCAATACATCTCACTTGATATATCTATCTTTCGTCGTTTTTAAACTAGAGTCATTTAAAACTACGGTAAAGTTTCTTTTGGCCGCCATATATAATACTCAACGTTTGATAGATATAATCAATCATGTCATTCCATATAAATATACACGTATTTACATGATATGATAATCATGTTTGTGTATCATGGGAAGATATAACATATCCCTATCAAAACTGTATTAACCATCAGTAACTGTATCAATTAAAACATTAAAAAATGAAAATATCAGGTTCAGATATGCCTAAATTCTATCATAAAATTACCTTTGTTTTCTGTAACCGTAAAGACAAGTGCCAATACGAGCACTGTGATGCAGCTCGGGCGAGCCATGTTGGGAAGACGGTTTACCTCTTACTCATCTGTTGTGATGAGGCTGAGCGTCCTACTTATATACCTGTGTGGTAACAACTTTCTGCACCTCCCCGACCTAACTGCATCCTGTTTGTGTTATCACTCTATCTACACAGTGATGTGGCTATATTCGTTGCACAGTTACTATCTATCATCTGACGAGTTTCCGATACCTGAGTTGCAGTGTACTGCCTTGTTTAACAATTCTTTTCTACCATTTGTATCCTAGATATCTGTTTTTTATTCGTCCCTAATGTAGAATTCCACCCTAGATGTGGACAATTGTATTCTTTCCGAAAAGAGGGTTAATTACACGTCGTGTTTCCGAAGGATACGTATCTTATGTATGCGAAACTAAACGTACAGTCTGGGAGGGATTATTTAGGCTGAAATACGTATCAAGGTTGGGTTGATAGATTTGATTGCTTTTTTGTTACTCAGCATTTTGAGTTTAATATTTGTGTGTCGTACATTACCAGGCGCCGGGAGAAATTCGGGTTACACTAGGTCTCCAACGTATAGTCATACTTCCCGAGGCGACTAATTATATATAAATGGTCAGGTTCGGTGGCTTAGTTGACGTAGGGATTTAAACAACACATAAATGTGCGTACAAGTCTCAAACATAACTTCTTGTCGCCTGATATATTAGAGAAAAACTCTTCTCTGATAAAATATCGTGCTTTTTGTGATCTCGACATGAAATACAGATCACTACTCCTTGAATGTAAATGGTATTTATACTGGACAACTAATGTTTCTTTTTTTTTGTTTAATATGTCTATTGTAATTGATTATAAAAATCCTTGAGAGCAATCCAAACGTTCTTTAAGTCAATATTCAAAGAGGTTTTTGTATCAAATCATAGATTTCATATCAATATCACTGCTGTTGTCCTTATTATATCAAGTATTTCAACAGATAAAATTCTTCTTAATATATTTATAAAATAAGGGACCGGCCAATTGTTACTCTGGCAATGTGAAATCAAATTGTTGAGAAAGGGATATTCTGTCTCAAGCACATTTGTCGCCAGCTGTATTCGTAAAAAGTCCACAGCGAAGGATAACGAATGTAGCCTTCTACTTCGGTGACATGGGCCCCGTTGTACAGAGCGATCTTAGCGCTAAGGTGATCGAAATTCCTATACCTTAACATAGACGTAGCGGTAAGGTTGTTTTGTACAACGGCACCTAGGAAGAGAGTACGTACAATTAAAAATAACCCATTTACTAAAATCAAGACGCAGTTGAGAAATCACTCGAATCTAGAGATTCCGGAAGTACAATCAACAACCCCCAAATGGAAATCACTCGAGTGTGTTAATTCTGGAAGTAGAGTCCCGAATGAAAATCACTCGAATCTGTGAATTCCGGAAGTAGAATCAACGAGCCCAGAGTGGAAATTACTCGAGTCTGTTGATTCCGGAAGTAGAATCAAACGAGCCCCGAGTGGAAATTACTCGAGTCTGTTGATTCCGGAAGTAGAATCAACGAGCCCTGAGTGGAAATTACTCGAGTCTGTTGATTCCGGAAGTAGAATCAACGAGCCCCGAATGAAAATCACTCGAATCTGTGAATTCGGGAAGTAGAATCAACGCGCCAAGAGTGGAAATTACTCGAGTCTGTTGATTCCGGAAGTAGAATCAAACGAGCCCCGAGTGGAAATTACTCGAGTCTGTTGATTCCGGAAGTAGAATCAACGAGCCCTGAGTGGAAATTACTCGAGTCTGTTGATTCCGGAAGTAGAATCAACGAGCCCCGAGTGGAAATTACTCGAGTCTGTTGATTTCGGAAGTAGAATCAACGAGCCCAGACTGGAAATTACTCGAGTGTGTTGATTCCGGAAATAGAATCAACGAGCCGCGAGAGGAAATTACTCGAATCTGTGAATTCCGGAAGTAGAATCAACGAGCCCAGAGTGGAAATCACTCGAGTCTGTTGATTCCGGAAGTAGAATCAACGAGCCCCGAGTGGAAATCACTCGAATCTGTGAATTCCGGAAGTAGAATCAACGAGCCCCGAGTGGAAATCACTCGATGGAAATCACTCGAGTCTGTTGATTCCGGAAGTAGAATCAACGAGCCCCGAGAGGAAATCACTCGAATTTGTAAATTCCGGAAGTAGAATCAACAACATCCAAATGGAAATCACTCGATGGAAATCACTCGAGAATCAACGAGCCCCGAGTGGAAATTACTCGAGTCTGTTGATTCCGGAAGTAGAATCAACGAGCCCCGAGTGGAAATCACTCGAATCTGTGAATTCCGGAAGTAGAATCAACGAGCCCCGAGTGGAAATCACTCAAATCTGTGAATTCCGGGAGTAGAATCAACGAGCCTCGAGTGGAAATCACTCGAGTCTGTTCATTCCGGAAGTAGAATCAACGAGCCCCGAGAGGAAATTACTCAAATCTGTGAATTCCGGGAGTAGAATCAACGAGCCCCGAGTGGAAATCACTCGAATTTGTTAATTCCGGAAGTAGAATCAACAACCTCCAAACGGAAATCACTCGATGGAAATCACTCGAGCCTGTTGATTCCGGAAGTAGAATCAACGAGCCCCGAGTGGAAATTACTCGAGTCTGTTCATTCCGGAAGTAGAATCAACGAGCCCCGAGAGGAAATTACTCAAATCTGTGAATTCCGGGAGTAGAATCAACGAGCCCCGAGTGGAAATCACTCTAGTCTGTTCATTCCGGAAGTAGAATCAACGAGCCCAGACTGGAAATTACTCAAATCTGTGAATTCCGGGAGTAGAATCAACGAGCCCCGAGTGGAAATCACTCGAGTCTGTTCATTCCGGAAGTAGAATCAACGAGCCCCGAGTGGAAATCACTCGAGTCTGTTGATTCCGGAAGTAGAATCAACGAGCCCCGAGAGGAAATCACTCGAATTTGTTAATTCCGGAAGTAGAATCAACAACCTCCAAATGGAAATCACTCGATGGAAATCACTTGAGCCTGTTGATTCCGGAAGTAGAATCAACGAGCCCCGAGACGAAATCACTCAAATTTGTAAATTCCGGAAGTAGAATCAACAACCCCCAAATGGAAATCACTCGATGGAAATCACTCGAGTCTGTTGATTCCGGAAGTAGAATCAACGAGCCCCGAGAGGAAATCACTCGAATTTGTCGATGCTACCTCAAGAATCAACAGAGTCATATGATTTGATTTCTCCGTCTTAATCCATGGTTGCCATATTATTTCTATAATTAACTCTCTATAGTTATAAAATGATCTATAATTCCGTCACTCGTATATGTTTAAACTACACATTCTGAATCAACTGCAAGAACAATAGCGTGACGTCGTAATGATGGTTCAATAGTTCATCCGTTTATGAACGCGAACAGTATTTTTTCCCATCTATATATTAAACCTTCGTGTGATTTGGTAGGTTTTCGTTAAAGTCGTTTTATCAGGTCTACGTTTCCTTATAGTAGGCCATGAACATGGGCAAGTATAATTTAGGTAGAAGTGCTCGGGATGGTCCTATATGGATTGTACACCTACCCAGGACATGCATTATATATCCCGAGAGCAAAAAGCCCAGGGAACACATTTGACCTGCATCACAGTGCGCCTTACACAGTGTTCTCACAGTTGAGCATAAGAGTTTCTTGAATATTTTAATACTCTTATCAATACAATGTTTAGAAACATTTTCGGTGATAAGGTTCTTTGAATATCCGCCAAGGTAAAAATAGGTCAGACCAGACGGATCCGTTTCACACTAGAGGTTATCAAGATAAACGCGACAGGGGTATTCCCAAACGACAAGGTCATGCGTACCACGTACACCAGGATCCACATCGCCATCCGACGAGTAAGCAAACATATACACAGTAGTTTTGTAAATAGTTTTAGTTAGACATGAAACTGCATTGTTTATAACATCTTGTCAACCATAATTTATTGTTTATTATATTTGAAATGTGTTTGTCACAATGTTTCAGTAATTCATAATTCTTATCTTATCTCTTCATAACCGTGAAGATGGATGTCGGGAAGACCTCTGGCGTTTTTCAGTTGTCAAGGACGTCTAGAGTGATCCGTTTTCCACGAAAGATCTACCCCTAAATATCTACCCCTAAAGGGAATGAGGAAGCATAAGAGCCCAGATGAAGCATCCTTCCTAAACAACGCACCGACCTGTATGTTCAGTACATTCATCCCAGGGTTAGACTCAGCACTGTTACATGGCAGTGTAATTTATTGCCACAAATTGTTGTAGTTGTATTACATTGTTTATGTTGAGATTCAGTAGAAGTTCATAACATTGTGTTTTGACAATGGTTAGTTGTCAGGTATGTAGTGCTATCAAATGTAAGCAGTGATGTTTAAGTTACTACATTTAGTTGCTTTTGGAGTCAAGTGTAATCTGGAATCTTCTAGAACAGCTGGACTAATCCATCACTCTATAGAACCTTCTAGAAGGTATTTTGACCATATAAGGGGGTAATTTGGAAGTCGACACGTAACAGCACAACAATTGTGGCAACTCCGGGGCCTTCTATTCTAGGTTCTGCCAAGGTTGATGTACGCACATACAAGTACATGCTGATATTTTATTTACATTTTATTTCAGGAATTCACATACACTCACGTGAGAAGATGGTATATGATACTGACATTTGTGGCTGACTACATCGTATTATTTCAGTCAGACATAAGGAAAACACAGAAAAACATAAATCAGTATTAAGTCATCGTTTTCAATAGATACATTTTTGGATTTAACAATACCAAATATAGAGGTGCGACAAAAATGTGTTACAGAGGCCGATTTTAGTTTTTTGTCTTCTAATATTTGAACATTAGAAAGGCTTTGACCAATGCCGACTTTTAGTGGAAATGCTGATTCAGTGAAAACGGGGAAAAACTATTTTGTGTTACTAACCTTCTCACAGTTACTAACCGTCTCACAGTTACTAACCTTCTCACAGTTAGATTTGTTGTCGTGAAATTCGAACAGTTGGCTCTTTTTCTGACATATATTCATACTTGATAATGTCATGAGTCAAAAAAGCAAAGTGTAAGAAAGATAAATAGGT